GAACCTAGCAAAACTTATTTATAGTTAATATTTTTTTCGAAAAAAAAAAAAAAGTTTAAAACTAAATATTCTCTTGAATTTATGTGAAACCGATACAGTTTGCTACTTACTCGGAAGCTTTTTTTCCTTCTTTTTTCGAATATTAGTCATGATAACTTGAAGCTCAATTGTTTAAGTACCCCGAAAATAGGAGTTTAAGAAAAATTAGTTAAGCATCAAAAAGACCTTAACATATAAAACATAACTATATATGCCTTGCATAGCCATTCATCTTAATTGGCATTAATAGCCTTGCATCTTAATCATCAACAACACAAGTTTGCAATTAAGAGAAGAGAATATGAATTCAGATTTAAAGGATGCAATGTTTTTAAAAACCAGCTCACAAGTTTACTTCAGCCAATCAATCAAAGCTACATGTTTAAAGTCATGTGCTACATGTTTAAAAAATCTTATAATATCTCTACTACAAGTTATCAATGGTGAAAAAAATTTTGTAGGTGCTTAGAAAGAATTAATGGTGAAGGTCAGGGATCTAAAAATCCCAGTCACAACACCTAAAATATAGATAAAACCAATATTTTAGAAAAAATTATCATAAAAGCAAACTTTAACACTACTTTCCATTCTATAACATGCAAATTCTCATATGTTGGTCAACTACACTGAAACAACTTAATGACTTCAATATTCCTGTTAAAACTATCAAGCCTCCAATTTATGCAAATTGGGTCTGTAATTTCTATAGAATAATATTTATATTAAGATTCTCCCAAATTACAATTTTCACTTGATTCATATTGTTACCTTCTTTAACGGTTACTTTTATAAGAATTTGAAGCAAATACTTAAGTATAATTTAAGCTGTTTTTACTAATGAATAAAATAAAAATTCAATTCTATACAGCAACAAACCATAATATACAAGGAAATAATCAAAAATTCAAGAAAGATTTTAATCTCCCTGAGACTGAAAGAATGAGGGAATCATGCCCTCAAAATCATTAGACTAAAAAAATTCAGTTTTACTAATTAGACCAAACTGCTAAAACTAAACACAGAATTTAAAGTAATTTTTGTTAATTATGAACTATATAACTCTTTATTTTTACTCTCTAGAATACTATTACTAAAACACAAGGCTATGCTAAACTTACAAGATACCACAATAGTTTGCATTTTCTCTTTCTTAATCAATTTCTAAATTCTAGAAATGCTTAGATAGAAACTAAAGTCTAAATTATGAATTTAATATTTCTTTGAGGTGTTATTAATAAAATAGCTTAAAATATTGGTGTAAAATTTGGAACCAGAAACATAATAGTTATACTTTCTAAATTATTGTAATTTTATCTACAAGACAGCAAAATAAAATTTTGCTGTGCACTTGACAAATGGAAATTACAGGACTGGAAGTTACAAAAAAAATTAAGAACTAATTAGTTTACAAATTTGAGAAGACCAACGGAAGCAAGATGAAAAGGGTGAGAAAAAAAAAACATTTGGGGAAAGGTTAAGATTTCTTTAAGTTCCTCAAAAAATTCTTTATTGAATTAACTGTTGATAAAAAAAAGGGGGTAGGAAATACTCTAGATCAAGAAAATTGTGAATAAGTAGCAAAATTTAAACTTGGGTGTTCATTTTTTATTATACACTGTCATAGAATATATTGAAATTTATAATTTTTCTAAATTTAAAATTTCTTTCAGCTTTTTTTTTTAGAAAAATATTTATTCTTCATTAAATTAAACAAAAATTTCGTAAATCACAACAATTTCAGGAGATTTTATGAAATTTTCAAAAATAAGGAATTTTAAAGAACAATGAACCATGCAATTACTTTATAACTAAGATTAAAATACCATCTACTTTCCATAAGCTTTAATTTTTAATAACTCAAGTTTAAAATAAGCCTTCCAATTTTGCATTTTTAAAAAGTTACCACTTGTACATTAACCCCGTGGCAGAATCGCAGCAACACGGCGACATTGTCGCAGAACGTTAGAGTTCTTGCAGAAATTTTGAAAAGTAAAAAATTTTTGTTTTCTTTTATACAGAAATTTACATGCAATATTTGAATCATACATAATCACACACTTGACTCGCTCAATTTACGCCGATAGTATCGCAAATGGATGTTATGTTTCGCTTGAATTTTCGGCAGTTATTGATATTAATTTTTACGTGGTTTTAAAATATCCCGATAAATTTCAAACAATATGGAAAATTCAAATCGTGCATTCGAGTATTTACTTTTTAAGGCAATGATTCTATCAAATTTTTAGCAGTTATTGCTATTAATTTCTCCATAGATTTTAAATCCGATATTCTTTATAGAGTCTGCTTCGAGTGATTTCGTCGTGGATCTTTTTTCCAGCAACGCATTGCAGGATTTTTAATTATTTTTTCATTGTGATGATTAATTACAAAAATGCGAAGAGGGAAATAGTGTGTGTCCCCCCAAAAAAAAATGAGAGGGTATCTAATATTAGAATAAAATTTTTTACATGTTCAATTAAAAAAAAAAAAGATATTTTTTGTTATTTTAAATTAGCAACATATATGTTTGTTATGATTAAAAGTAGCTTGCAGAAAGATATTAGTGCGTTTTGTCTCAGATAGCTTGAAAAAATTCTGCCATAGGGTACATTAATAAAACCACAACTCAACTGAATATTTAAAAGTAAGATTAATTTTAAGTGTTACAATATTAACCAATAATTGAACCACATGAATTTATATTGAAAAACCTACATATGTTTAGCCAGAAATATACAACATATTTTCCAGTGTATAAGCAAGCTATCAGCATATTCTACAATGCTTATAAGTAAAAAAAAATGATTACAAACATTAATTCCCAAACCTCACAATTCTTTTGGACAAGAATGTGTTAAAATATAATTCTGAGAAAAAAAAATAGACAAAAATTAATGTAGCAAAAATACTTTGCACAACAAGAAACAACTGTGTATCTTTTGTCCAAAAAGAGAATGATTTATTTTCCCAAAGAATAAAATTTTTAAGGTTAAAAATTCAATATCAACTTATACACTAGCAAATACAGTACAAACTTTTCTCTTCAAAAGAAAAAAAAAAAACAAGGATTACTTACGCTTCAAACATTGCACAACCCACTTTCAATTAAAATGAAACAGATCAACAAAATAAGAGCTTGATGCACATCTGATGTTTGAAAGGAAGATTTTTTTTACTTCAACAAACTTACTGTAACTTATTTGTTTTATAGTTACATGTAATACAAGATTACTGAGCAATAAAGATTTAAACTATTACAGGTGTGATAAAACTACACATTTCTACAAAAAATATGCCCTTCTTTACTAATAGTGACTAATGACTTGACTAAACTAAATAAATTTCATAATTTAAAGCACTGAATTTTTTTTCCTTCAAAAAGGAAATTAAATCTGCCATCCAATTAGCCATAAGTTTTAATTCCATTATAAAGGAATTCTCTAACACAGAAATACACTACCACACAACTTTTGGTCATGTTATATTCTATCAATAAACACCACTATGAGAATTTTTTACTCGACTAACAAGGAATTGAGATTCATCTATTTCCATTTTATTATTATTTATTTTTTGTATTCTTTAATGACCTTTTATCTCCAGATTAAAGTCATAAGTGAAATATTTATGCCTCAAAATCTAAGTTTATCACACTATTTCATTAATTAACAGATTTAAAAAAGAAAGGGAAAAGCATTAGCTAACTTAGTTTTTAATTATCAGTTAGATGTCCTCTTTAATTCCTAATCTCAAACATTTTATCACAAATTGATGTTTTCAAAAAATAAATACTTAAATCTACAAATTTAAATTATTAATTTTAAAGCGAACTAAGTAACTAAGTTGTACAATAGTAGAATTAAAGAAAAACCTTTTAGTATGAAATTGTTCACATTCAGTGTCTTTTCTATCTGAATTTCTTATCTTACTTTTCATCTATACTATACCCATAAAAACAAATACCAAGACACTAAATAAAATCCACACTGACTAAATGCAAAATCAAGAAGAATTTTGAATTATTAGCATATAGTATTATTTATAAAACACTAACATTCAGAATTAAGTCTATTGTTAATCAAAGCCTTGTCCCAGAAATTTAGAACCTTATAACACTTACTCAGAAAATATAACAATACATGCTAAAACTTGTTTTTCAAAAATATCATAAAATACTTAAGGATCAAAAAGTGCCAACAATAATTTGATAACATAAACACCTTTACTACAAAAAAATAAGCTATTTTAGGCTTAGAATACCATAATTAAATCTTAATATGCAATGTGATTGCAACAACAAAAAAACATCAACAGCATTTAAGATCAAAGCTGTAAATTAAACTTTTAAGTCATAAAAAATTTAAACCTAAATACAATAAGACTAGAGAAAAAGCTGTTAGCACTGACCATAAAAACTTATGAAATTCTTAAGTTTATTTTGTTACACAAAATTATAAAGGTTTTAAGTTATCAAAATAATACAAAAATACTCATGCATTTAAGCCTTAAAAAAAATAAGTCAAAATTTCATGCCACAAAAGTATACTGCATAAATTCACAAATTTATACATGCAGAAAGCCTAGTACATCAATGAACATTTTTTACTACAACTAAAATCCTACACCTGCTTTATTCTACAATTTAGCAAAAATTGTCCTATCTAACCTCAATATAAAATTAAAATCATGATATTACCACTAATTTAAAACACCAAAATTACTATAGCTATATATTAATTTTTTGACAAAAAAAACAAACTTACAAATAAAACCTAAGTTGAAATGTACAATTAAGTAACCTATTCAAATCATACTAAATCCGAATCTTCATTTTGGCCGAGTTAAATTTAGTAACAAACTTTTCTCTAGCCCCGATAGCCATTGGTATTTTAAGTTATGAAACGAGAAAACCTCTGAATATTTACTCTTCTCAAAAGAAGTTGCAACTTCAATAACAAAAATCAGTTTTACGGACATTTTTATTAATATCTCAAATGATAAACAAATTACACAATGATAGTGAAACAAAATTAAACACGTAGTGCGAACGTCAGACCGTAATGCCAGACGAAGCGAAAAACAGTTCACCATATGAAATTGTAGAGACGTCTGACAGCCATTTAGTTTAAACAATAAAAATGAAGTCTTCATTGCATCCATGTCCTTCGTGCTTCATCAAATCGCGATCCACTGCCAGAGCGACCACGCGACCGGCATGCTTCTCTTAATAGACCGGAGCGCGACGTGTGGTTGGTGTTAGCCGTCCCGAAGCAAATGTGCTTTAAAGAAAAAGTGGAAACACTAGTTTAGGATCACAAACAAAAATAAAATAAAAATCAATCACAAAAAACAACTTATAAATTCGTGTTGATCACATTTACTTTTAAAGCTTATGAAAAAGTACCAAAAAATATAATAGAATTTTACTTACGGGTCTTGTGTAAAGTCGTACCTAGGAAAAAAAAATCATTTTTGTTAATAAAAAGAAATCACTAATATTTGAAAAATATCTTAATTTAACAAAGTTTCATAATTTTGAAACATAAAGAAAACTAAATATTTTTAACAGCAGAAATTTGTTCAAAATGCTTAGCTAGACATAGCTTACTAAAAGTTAGGTTATAACTTGTTTATAGAAATAAATATGAGATTCAGCATTTCTGATCGCTATAGATGGAGAACCAGACAGGGAACTCACTTCAACCAGTAAAATTCGCCCTTCATGTGAGTTTTTGATCCTTCCCTATCAGTATCAGATGAAAGTCGAGGGACCAAAAAGATTTTTGATCACACACTTAGATAATAGGTAACACAATGAAGCCTAGAAATTTTTTTCAATAAAATTACAAATGTGCAAGATATACTTTTTTTTCTGCTTTAAAAAAAGGAAATCTTTAAAACACAGGCAGAAAATCAGCATCACTCCTCATAGTTTAAATTTAAGCATATAAACTTATTTATAAAAACTATTTTCATACAAGATGAACTGCTAGGATTTTAGTAATTATTAACCTCTTACCGACTTGGTACTTGTGGGACATTAGGAGGTGATCGTCTAGAATAACCATAAGAATCATAAGGCCTTCTATAATACATGTAGTTTTCTTGCTGAGGAGAAGGCATGGGAGGTCTTCGTTCATATGGATCAGGGTATGGTCTCATGCGGTCAACAAAACCTCGCTGTTCTCCAAAAGATCTGTCAGCACCATAAGGTCTATCCATTCCAAATCTAGAGAATCTATCACCACCATAACCACCTGTAGGATATCCTATAGGAGGACCATTGTTCATTCTAGTTGCTGGATTGCGGGGACATTCTTTGGACCAATGACCTTGACGGCCGCAACGGTAACACTGTCCTTTACCTCCCATACCAGGTCGCTGGCGAACTTTACTGTGAGATATCTGTTAATAAAATATATGTGTTTACACTTATAAAACAAGCATAACTAAATTGCAGTAAAGGTGCTTTAAAAAATAATAAGCAATGTGAATAGACTTTTGTCACATGTTAAAATAATTATAAAACGTTTTTTTATTTGATTTCTTCTAAAAAAAATCAAATATAATAAAAGTAATTTATTGTAGCAACAAGAAAAACAAAATTTTATCAAAGTAATACAAAGAGTTATTAATTATAACATTTTTACAGTTCATTCAAGGTGACAGATATCAATTTATGTTCATAGAGTTATATGAAATTTAATTTAACCTTTATCAAAGTAATACAAAGAGTTATTAATTATAACATTTTTACAGTTCATTCAAGGTGACAGATATCAATTTATGTTCATAGAGTTATATGAAATTTAATTTAACCTTTCATGGGAGCTCGAAAAGACATTGAGGTCTTCTCAGGAACTTTTTTTCACTGTGGGAGTGAAGAATGAACCACTGATCGTAAAAACAGGGTAGGTGACGGACGTTAAACAATTTTATCATCCCACTGTTTTTCTAAACCACAGATTAATACATATAACCACATATTTATTTTAAATGGAACTTAAATTTTTTTGGAAAATGTAGCTTCTCATTGTTTCACAATAAGTCAAAGCTATTAAAAGAGGGGATTTTAGTCATCACTGATACAAGAAAGGACAAATTATAAGCTCATTGTTCATTATAGAAAATTACAGCGAATTGAAAAAAAATTTCTCTCTTCAGTTTATTTTGTACTTGATGTTTCTTACTAGACACAAAAAATAAAGCACAAAATAAAAATAAAAAATTATGAGGAATACAAAAAATTTTCTTCCGGGCATGAATAATTAATTAAATAAGCGGTTCAATAACGCTCATGCAATACATGTAATAGAGTTAATAAGTATTAAAGTCCGCAAGCTTATAAACCAACAAGACATTAATAAGACTTTATAGAGACTGTAACTAAGAGAAACTACACTATTGCATGAGGAAAAAAAGAAAACACTAAAATAGCCCCAAAAAGCTTTTGTTAAGTATAAAATTAAAATAAATCTCTAACTAAATAAAATAACTTAAATTACAAAAGCCTTGAAAATATATCAGTCTTAAGAATATATATTTTAGAAACTTGTGACAATTCATAAGTTTATATAGCCTTAACTATGTATTATGTTTATAGCTCTAGAATCGCAAAGGTATAGATATAAAATGGTTGCATTTTTTTTAATCAGCAATATATAATGCATTCCTTAAAAATCACATATTTTTATAACAAGAACCGAATACAAATCCTAAAAATAATATTCATTGATTTAGATTATTTAAAAGTTTACTTTGATATTCATATCAATTTAAAATAATTTACTAATGGAAATGCTTTTCAACAAAGATTATTTATTATCTAAATAAAATTGAAAATGCTAAATGTTAAAATAAAACTCAAATAAGCTGAATCTTTAAAAATTGAAAGGCAGACAAAGATTTGGCTATGTGGGAAATGTAAAGAAACTTTTTCTCTTATTCTAAGGAAGGTGAGAGCTCCATAGTGCTGAAAACAATAAAGCATAATAAGCATACATCACTAACTTTATTTTTCTCTTTTAACTGTGAAGAGAGTTTCCTCCTTTATTCTTAGGTTGAAAGTGTCACAAAACCCTCAGAGGACCCAAACTATATGAGAACTATTTATTCATTGATGTTTTTACTAAAAAATTCAGCTAAAAAAATGCTTACACTTTAAAAAAGTATCCTAATGAGAAAGAAAACAAACTTTATAAGTAGATCAGTTTATAGTTAAAAGAGACAACATAACTAATGCTGAAAATTACCTCTACTGATATTTTAGATCCCATGAAATCTATATTGTTTAGTGCTTCTATTGCAGTCTTTGCTTCTTCTTCAGATGACATATGCTGAAATAATAAAAGTCTATTAACAAACTACTATCAATTTATTCTTTTCACACAAAGTACTCAAAATATCATTATAGATCTTAAATGTATCAGGTATAAAAGTTCAATGATCGGAATTAAGAGCATTGATTGCTTGGTCAATTAAAACTTACACTGGTTACTGCTTAAATTTCTAATAATTTTAATTAGGCAATTTTTTAAAAATATTAATGCATCTAGAGTAACTCAATACCTTTGGAAATCATTTTAACATTTCTCAAAAAGTGCTAGTTAAATTATTTTAAACTAAAAAAATTGCTTAATTTAGTTTTCAGTATGAAGGGAAAGTTGTGACCACTCACAAACTGACGTCACTTGCACTCATCTGCAGTTTGTTTACAATTGCTGTGCATTGAAAGCCATTATACTCTTTTTTTGATCAAAATCTTACAAAATCAAACTGTTTGAGATTGCAAATATATAAGTCAAAAATATACATAATAAATTATGCTTTAGATATAAAGCTTAATGTAAATGTGGGTCTAATATGAGGAATTGAGATAATATCATTTAATTTCAATGGAACCCATTGAGCTATTTTTTATAGCCGAAGATGTTCAAGATTACAATTTAGTGTAGAACAATTTAGTGTAGAAAAAAATATGTAAAAATAAATTATTGATATCTGATATTACTGATTCACAGATTAAGATAAAGCGAAAAATTTTCTCAAATCTCATTTAAAAATCATCCCACATTTCATAATTAATTTCAACACTTTTGTCGCTTCTAAATTTTAACATTTTTTTTAAAAAAAATCACCAAAATTTTTAAAAACTTGATTTAATTTTTATAAAAATATATTAAGTATTTTACATACCATACTGGAAAATCAATTACCATAAGAAATCATAATCAAAATACATTAAGTAATCATAAGACAAGTGCGGTTGCAAGAAACAGAAAGAACTCGTATCAATCTCGGTCAGATTGAACTTCTGATAAGGATAAAAGAATCACCTGGATTTACATCTTGTTGATTGAAAATTACATTAATTATGGGCTATTTGCTATCCTTTATTGTACAATAGGGAACCGATTATCCAGAACGATCGGGACCATCGCTATTCCGGATAACTGATTTTCCGGTTTTCTGAATCGCTGCAAAAAGCCGTTTTTTATTGTTAGACCCAACTAATAATATTTGGAAATAATCTTAAAAAGAAGAAAAAACGAATAGTAATAGCCTAATGATTATTTCCAAAATGATGGTAAGGTAAACATCTTTCAATAAAGAAATAAAATCTTATGAGGGGAAAAGAAATTTAAAAATGGCGGGAAAATTCATTGAATTTCGTTCCGGTTTTTCGGATAACTGGTTCTGTACTGTATAAGAATATTTTCATGCTTGTTTTGCCTTAAAGACCTATTATCCGGACTTGCCAGAGTCCCGACAATTCCGGATATGGGACCTACCACAGATTTGTTTATTGTCTTAAAAACTTGATTTTTTTCAATTACAATATGTACTTAGCGATGAGTCCCGACAATTCCGGATATGAGACCTACTATAAATTTGTTTGTCTTAGAAACTTAATTTTTTTCAATTACAATATGTACTTAGCAATGAAGTTATTTGAATATCAAATTAGCTTGCTTTAGATATAGATCTATTTCATCTAAAAACATAAAACACTGTCATTATCTATAAAAATACACCAAACAGACAGTTATAATACAATCAAATTACAGATGCTATATAAGTCAAATTAAATCTTTTTAAAATTTGTTACATGTCAAGACATATTTACTAAATAGCAAACCAAGACGATTTTGATTGCATCCAATATTCAGGAAACTAATTAAGAAGCTATTAAATATTTTGTCAAATAATCTTCACTATCATATTCTCAACCAAGAGTTTAAAACACAACAAGTTAAATATTTATTTCTAACTTACCACAAATGCATAATTCTTCACAATGTCACATTCTTTGACCTCTCCATACTTTTCAAACAATTCCTGAAGTTCTCCATTATGAGCATTTTCAGGCAAGTTACCAACGTATATTTTGGTAGTACGCTATAAATATATTTAACTCTTATAAATTATAAATCATTTTATGAAAGCATTGTTTTTCATATAATAAAGGAACTGACACATCAGAATACAGCTAATCTGAATGAGACATTCAACAACCACCAAAGTACCCAGGGTTGCCACTCAAATCTGGAAAAAAAACTCCTGTGTTTTCCCTGTACATATTAAACACAATATATTAAGAGGAAACAACAATTACTGTGCTCTCGTGTGAGCTATATTGGGCTAACTATATTTATTAGTTTTAATTTCTGGAAAAACAGCTGAACATACTTAAGTAATGCCATAGTAAATTAAATAGTTTAGTATAGCTGAAATATCATGGTTAAATATCCCATAGATTATACTTTGAGTGGTCACCATTTTTTAAAGGACAAAAAGAAGGAACAAAATTCCCTGTATTTTCCCAGTTTGAAAAGAAAAAATCAAAATTCCCTGCATTTTCCAGGTTTTCCCTGTGGAGTGGCAACCCTGGTACCATGATGATTTTAAACTTGATAAAAAAAAAAAAATTAAAATAGAGGTTTCCCTGGTGAAAAAGAATTATCCCCTTTGATTTGGTCTTTTCTTTTTTAGTTTGCTAGATCACCTGGCGATTAGTCTGCAATAGATCACAATGCGAAAATTTTCAGTGCAGTGATATGTTGGCAATTTTTAAAGGAAAAATCTAATGAATTTTGAGTGCAAACAATGTAATTCTACCAGGATTTCAATTGTTGACAGTTGAGGCTGTAATAGCAAGACCAGAAAAAACGCGAAATCTTTGCTACCTCCAGGTAATAGTAAGCCTCAAAACTCTACAAGTTTTCTTTTATTCAAATTAGCTAGTTTTAAAACCTTATGGCTCAACACATAAAGAAATGGAAATATCCCACTTTTTTCATTACTTTTTAACTCCATAGGTAGACTGAGATTTGATTATTTCCCGGAAACAAAAAGAAATTCTGGCCACAAAACAAGTTCGAAGAATAAAACATTTAAATACATTACATTAATATGAAGAAAATACATAATACATCACAATTAAACACGATGACTTACTCGTACCATCTTCACACAATGAATTTACCCTAAAAGGAAAAATTCAATATGAATCAATCTTTTATTTGAAATTTTATAATATAAAATGAGAAGTCAAAAATAAACAAGCTTACAGTCATAAAACTCATGCATACAGATAAGAATTTAAAATACGCATATTGAAATGGCAAAATGGCGCAAAAGTAAATATAATACAAATATGAATTCTATTGGATTAAATTAAAGTGCTTAAAATATCAACAATTAGAAAAAAATACTTGCAGTGCTCACCTCCAAATTCCAATAGATGATAAATAAATTTAGCTATATGTAAGGTTGATTTACAGTTTATAGCAACAAACAATGCAGCAAAGCACCGCCTTCGTAATGGACGCTTGGAATTCTCGTACTGTGACGTAAACGTATGAACCGAAAGTCCAGACAACTTTTTCCTCTTCGAGTCTTGTTTAAGTGATGCCATTTTAGCGAGCAATCACCGCTTTCTGATAAAAAAAATAACAAAGCAAATGCATATTTTGCATAAAATGTGTAGGCGACAAACACCTACTATATGTGAATCATATAATTAATAATACTTCAACAAATAAGACATAAAAAAGTCATAAAAAATTTTTCTTGTTAGCAGAAGAAATTTCACATTTCAGTTCAGTAAAAAAAATTTGACTGTAACTGCGAAATGAATTTTCGTTCTGATTTCTGTAATATGTATGTATGTTTTTATGTCTGCGATAAATTATTTCAGTAATTGATGTTAGTTCTCATAAAGTAAGAATTTAAATTATTTTAAATATCTTATCACACATTTTGGCTGATTATTTTCTTATTTAATAGCTATACTTTCTTTGGATTTTGATATCTTTTTGTATATTTTTTAAGTTTGTATATATGTATCTAATTTGCCATACCCAATTAGTATTAAAGTTTATTTAATGTTTATGTGATTAATTGAATTGGTTATTTACTCTGTTTACTCAACATTTTTCTATATTAATTTTTTGCATTTGTGCTGTATGTTTGCATGGGAACTGTCACTTGAATTGTTTACCTGTGTAACTTAAAAGTTGATAATTTAAGTTTTTTTAAATATCATTTACTTCGTGGAAAAACCTTAATCGATTTCTTGCATTTCATGGTTGCTTAGGTTTGATTGTTTATGAAATAAAATTTCCCCATCGTGCAGGACTACACATCATATACAAGATTGACATATAGTACATAGGAGAAATTTCATTGACAATTGTCCATGACTGAATCGCCTAGTTATAGTTTTTCACAAACTTTTGACAGTATTAAATTTTCAACTTTTTTTAAAATTTAAATCAAGCCTATGTAAAGAATAAAATGATATAATATATTCAACAATTGTCATAATAATATAATATATTGTTATGGCAATTGTTTAATACATTTAACATCCAGTCAAAACATATTATTTTCATCATTTTCTGCCATTGCGCTGTGAACAGATTCTTATAAGCATTCTAATAATTTTTGCCAGTGGTAGCCTGTGTTGTTGTCCTATATTAAGTCAATTTTTTTATTTTGTGGAAATACCAGTTCTTGTAAAATGCCTACTAGTTTATTCAAGTAGGAAGAAATCTATACATTTTAAGTTCTGAATGCTCTTAACTGCTATAACCATAAGACTGTTAGAATCATAATTTTTTCTAGAATCACATTCAAAGCTTTAATAAAAAATAGTAGTTGACAAGGTGCACTAATGTGTAAACATGAGTAGATATTAGGAGGATGTAAATGATTTTAATCAAATGATTAAAATCATTGATTAAAATCATGATTTAAATCAAATGAGTTTTTTAAAAAAATCACTGATTTTAATCAAAAATTCACTGATTTTAATCAAAAATGAGCGTTAACACCAGCTCATTTCCTAGCTTACCTCTTGGATCCTAATTCTGAAGTACAATGTTTAACACTAAATGAAAAAGATCAAGCTGTAAACTTTGTTAAAGAAAAGTATGGAGAAACCTCCTTATTAAGTATTTTGCTAAAATTCATTGTACGCTCTCCTCCGTTTAATGGAACTTTGTTTGATAAAGAATCTCTAGAATCTTTAAACATCTTGGAATGGTGGAAATCAATTGCGCTTCTAAAGAACTGTGTAGGTCAAAAAGAGTTTGATGCAATACAGTTGTTATGTACTGCAAAAGGAACAACTGCAGGGATAGAGAGGATGTTTTCCACTTTTGGACTTGTACATACTAAACTACGGAATCAATTGGGTGTAGAAAAGGCAGCTAAATTAGTCCTTATGTTTAAATCTTTAAATAAAACTAATTAAATGATTGTTTAAATAATTTGATATTGTAGATGTAGAATTAATAATTATCACATATTGTTTGATAAACAATTTCTTTCTTGATTTGTAGTTTGAAATCACTTTGTTATTGTTTATTTCTTATTTCACCTTTTGCTTTTAAATTATTAAGAAATATTTTGTTGATAATGGTTAGTAATGTTTATTTCCAATGTATACCATAAGTAGCAATAGTAATACAATACAACTTTAAATCTATGGTACACAAAATTGATTATATTCCATAGAATTGAAATTATAAAAAAATCATGATTAAAATTAAAAAAATCCGATTTTTTTGATTTTTTTAAAAAAATCATGATTTTTATACACCCTGGATATTAGGGCTAACTCTTTGATTGATTGGGCATGTAATGTCTGAATAGGTCAAAAAAGTTTTAACTGAAAAACATCATTAGAAAAATAAATATATATTTTTCTAACATATATATTAATGTATTATCCATATTGTAATTTTATTTTCAGATATTTGCATATTTATTATCCTGTCAACCATTTCACCAAATCAGAAATAAATTTGGATGTGGTTCAAATTTAAATAGTTTTTCATTTTTTATATGCAATAAGTTATATTTGTGTTTGACCTATTTCTTTGTGATCAATTATGTAAAAATAAATTTTAGAGAGATACTAAAATGACTTAGGTGCAGTTTTGGTGAAAATGGTAGACAGTATAATACGTAAGTGCCCATTTTTCTGTCAATACTAGTGCAAATTATTCTAAAGCAAAACATTAATAATCTTCAACAACATATTCTAAATTTTCTTTTTTTCTGCAAATTTAAAGAATATTTGAATTTTTATAGATGGTCTTTCTCATTAATATTTCGACAGTCAAAAGCTTCCTCGTTAACTTGGTCTGGATTTATGTTTTTCTTCATGAAATCAATATTATAGTTATAGATTTAAAGTTTTGGAGTCGTATACATGTATTTCTATACCACATATTACATATTTCCAGGTCCTCATCAAAAGTTTAATATTAAAAATACTGAAATTAAAGGCTTAAAAATGACTAGTTTGTCACAATTGCAGCTTGCCTACTTTGTTAAGTCAGCAAAATATACAGAAAAAAGCAAGTTTGAGACTTTTATTTATTTCTAGTATTAATACAAGAAAGGAACATCATTTCACCTTTTCTCATTCATACAATCTGCAAATTTTATGTTTCTAATGCAAGTGTTCATAACCAACCAAGTTATTTTTAAAAAAAAAAAATAATAATAACCTTGGCTAAATTAAATATTAATCTTTCATCAAAATTATTTTGCTAATTGGGTTTTGTCTGCTTAAAAGTTTTGAAATTTTTTAAAAACTTTTTAAATATAAATTTAATTGCTCTTCAAAACCTATTTTGTTTGTTCTGTTCACACATAATGTGCGTTAACATCAAAAGAAAATTTGATTTAATAACTTATTTGAAATTTTTGTGATATCACATGATTCATTGTGTATAGAAGGACTTGATATCGAAAGCAAAAGTTTTTGAAACTTACTTCCTCCAAAAACTCAGCAAAGAAATATTAAGTATTATGAATATGTGAATAGAATACAGGGTTATTCATAATTCCCTCCACCTGTAAACACCATTTTTCTTTACTACAACTGGCTTCAGTGGTACATGTTACTGCCATCTACCGGCAACTGCTTAAATTAAAACTCGAATACTTTCGGAATGATTTCATATGTTCTTTATTGCCATATTTGTTATTGTTCTTTTACTATAAAGCTTCGAGGGAATTCTAAATAACCCTGTATATATAATTATATGTTTAATAATATTTTTTTGGTAAAGATAAATTCTTTGCATTTATAGATAATTTAAAACAAATTTTATATGTTACAAAATCAAATGGAATACCAGGGCTCTGTCCAGACATTTTGTGAAAGGTCCATTTTTTGTAAAATTGTGAAAAAATTGCTTGTAATTTGTGAATATAAAATAAACGTTAAGTCACATTCTTTCAACTATTGTCCTGCTTTTGTGAATTTGTGCAAATAGGGTCCTGTTATTGCACAAAACTTTTTCAATGAGTTTTTAAATTGTAAAGACATACAAGATTATGTTCAACACTGTAAAATTATAATAAAAAAAAATTTAAATTTTTGAAAAATAAACAGCAATTGCTATTACTAAATCAGAGATGTAACATAGAAATATTTTGTATTTGGCCTATAATGCAGAATATTACAGCTGAATGCAGAATATTTATTTTGGACAAATAATGTAAGAAGCATCTGCCGAAGGCAAAATTTAGTTCATTAACATCTGTCTTTCTTCCCCCCCCCCCTTCTTGGGAAAGGTTTATTCGATTAACAAAACAATAATGAAGGTAAACAAATTTGTGAATGGTTCGATTAAAAGATAAATTATTTTGTGAAGGGTCAGATTAAAAGATAAATTATTTTGTGAAGAGTCCTTTAACGGACCCAAATTTCTTCTAAACAGACCCCTGATAATGATTTTCAAACATTTAGTATTGTTACAAATTTTTGCCTGACTAACAGAGGGAGTTGTAATCACTCACAATAATTCTGTAATCACTTGTAAGGCAGTCAATGCATTAGAATGTATGACTTTTTGGAAAGTCCTAAAAATATTGTACCATCATATTGTTGTTTACAATATTATTGTTTACTACAGTACAGAACCCGTTATCCGGAAATCGGAAAACCAAACCGGAACGAAATTCGATAAATTTTCCCTCCATTTTTTTTAAAAAATGTTTTTTTCCTCATAATATTTTAGGATTTTTCTTTCTTTTTTGAAAGATGTTCACCTTACCATCATTTTGGAAATAATCATTAGTGTATTACTTCATCGTTTTTCTTCTTTTTAAGATTATTTCCGAATTTTTTTTTTTTGGTTGGGTTTAACAATTAAAAAACGGCTTTTTGTAGCGATTCAGAAAACCGGAAAAATCAGTTATCCGGAATAGCGATGGTCCCGATCGTTCCGGATAATCGGTTCCCTACTGTATTATTAAATTTGTTTGTTATTAAAAATGGCCTCTTTATTCAATGCACACTTTTGTCACTGAATAAATTTGCAACAAATACATTTTCATAGGATTACAGACTTTGAAATTATATTTTCTTTTCTAGGTAAGAATGATATTTTAAATTTAAAAATTCTTTATTCATGATTCAAAGAAAACTACAAATATCAATGCATAAAACTGAAGTTTTTTGACAAGTGGACTCATGAGCACTAAAGGCAGTAGTAATTCATGGGTGCTAGTCGGTAAGGATGGCCGTACTCATGATTTATCTCATGGAATGATATTTATTGGAAGAGAAGAATGTGATATTGTATTACAGGTATGTTATTTTATAAACTTTTTTTTTATAAATAAACAAGCATACTTTTTTATGAAAAAACATGGCAGTTTAAATTTAACCTAACTCTCTTCCAAACTTGAATAGATGTCTAATCTTAAAAAGTTATCAATATTTAAAACAAATATTATCTCACTTTACATGCAAAAGTTTTAAGTATTCTCATTATCTTTACAATTTTATATTTTTACAACTTGATTAGATTCGAGTAAGAATGTCAAGTACTGAAATCATTGTAATAAAATTAATTGTAGATAATGTTTTTATATTCTATCATTCACTGACTTAAAACACTCGCAGAAAAGGGCACTTTGAGTTTTAAAAGGTCACTGACGCTGATAAAATGTATGAAAATGTGTAGTATTATGTAATAACTGAATTCGAACGTCAGTTTTTAAATTACCCTCTTGTACTTTTTTATGTGTATATTTTACAAAGTAATTCTCTCTTATCAAAATAACAGAAATATTTGAAGCTTTTGAAAAATAAAATAATTAAAGGCAAGCTAAAAGACAATCTTAGCATATGAATTTTCTTTTTATAAAATAAAAAAAATTAACTGCAAAAAAGGGATTAATTGATAAACAACTTGAAATTTATTCAGTTTGTATTTTAAACTGTAAATTTTGAAAAAATTAACACTTAAAGATGCATTTTAAAATAAAAGGTGTTTATTTAAGATAATGGTAAAATTTAAAATCACTAAAAAAATCTTTAATATAGGGGCCGATTATCATGTGAATTATAATAATATAACTAGACAGCATAAGAAAAATTTCACTAAAATGAAGGAATGAAATTAATAATTAAAGTTAAGTAATTAATACCTAAATAAATCAGAAGTTTACTTTTCATTAAAACAGATGGTTAAGAAAACAACTTTTTCCTGAAAAAATAAAAAGCCAGTGTTTTTAGGACATAGCAGCTTAATTTTACAAAAAGAACAGAAAGGATGCATTTATAGGGATCAAAGGGCAGGCGGAGCGAGTCACCCTTAAACAGTCATCATTTATTTCCTACACTGTTATTTATTTCCTAAATTTTTTTCTTCATTGTCCTGATATGCATTGTAATAATATGCAACCTGGAGATTTTTAATGCCTTGAATATTATAAAGAAAAATTCTAACCCTTATATTCACTGATAATTGAAATATCAACCCCTAACAATAGACTTGGTGGTAGAGATTGTAGCAGTCTAGTTTATTTGTTTAAATGTAAGGATAATGATTTGGTATGACAGTCTTCTTTAACTGAAGCTTGCTTTTCAGAAATAAGCAAGATAACTTTGAAAGAAAATATATACAAAGCCTCTCACCCTCACTGAGAGCTTATCTAGGCATCGCCAGACAATTGAAATTCCTCAATTTTTAACCTCTGTCTTAAAGGATAAATATCATGTTAAGCTGCACTGTGCTGCCACTGTCGACAAACGATAAAATTTTACTTAGTTGAGAATCTCTCTGGCTGCACCAAAAAGTAAAGTTAACAACTATTTAAGTAGGAGAAGAAAAAAAAAAAGCTATGAAGAAGACACAATAAGTAAAATAAAAATTTTAAAAATAGAGTTATGCTTTATAAGGTTTTTCTACCTAAATATGACTTTTAACACTTTTTTTAAAAAAATTATGTTGTAATTTTCTTAATATTTTGAACCTTTTGAAGAACATTTATCCAGATTGATTTTTCAGTAGTATAAATAAAATCCAAAAATTTTTAAAATAAATTAAGGTGAAAATTGGGTGTATTCTTTTTCAATAACCAGCAATCAGATTGATCAATTATTATGCAGTAATTATTAATAATTATGTTAAACATTAATTGGAAGTTTGTGATTCAATCTAAATTAAGATAGATCAACCATGTATAAGTGTATCAGGATCTGAAAAACTTTGATAAAAGAAATATTTAACAAATTTCATATCTTATATTTGTCTGTCGTAGATCGTTCATTCATAACATAAAATGATCTTTCTGTTGTATTAAATGTTCTTCTCCATTATCTTGTTGCTTAGTACAATGTTAAATGTTTGGTTATCTTTGATAGGCTGCCAGTGCTGACAAGAGACATGCTGTTTTATGTTACAATAATGGTGAACAGAAATTTCATATTAAAGATTTAAATAGCCTAACTGGGGTTAGTGATATTTTTTTTCTCATTAAGATTTTTGTTATTATTCTTATTCATTTTTTTTATTGTTCTTATTTTATTTATTTTTGTTATTGTTTGGCTGTATGATCTTTTAAAACAAGTCGCCTTGCAGTGCATTTTAGGACACTGTCTAGCAGGTAATGAGCTAGCAGACTACTTTACTAAGTAAGGTGTTTCTATCCTACAAACATCAAAGAATGTTACCCTTTTTGACAACATTTAGTTATTTATTACAAAAAAAAAAATAAGAGTTTTTTCTTAAATCGATGTTCGGTGAAGAATTTTAATTAGATCTAGTGGAATATCTTCCAAGATACTCCTAAGTAGCCTAGACGCAAGGCTGCAGGCCTTAAGAAGGCAACTGCCTCCTTAAACACCTTTACCATATTAATATTGTCTATGACCCTTTCTGCAGTCTCTATGATCTTTGAGTGTAGATGGGCACAAACCACTTTCACTTTTGTCTAGCAATAAATGACATCATTTTGTGCAACTCTTACTGTAGCAATATTGACATACTTGGCTCATAAATTTTTCTGACACTACACTTAATTTTTCTTTGATGTTATTTTTATATAATTCTCGAATTTGTGGGGCAGTAGTTTTCTGTAACCTCTGCCATTGGTAATAAAAAATTTTGCTATTCAGATTTGAATCAATTTTATGTTTATTTAATTTTTGCTAATTATGTGCTGCAAGACTTTTTTCTTTTAGAAAAATTTATGATTTTTTTTTTTTAGAAAATTATTGTGATTATTTTGTAATCTTAAAAAAATTGCTAAATTTTTATTTTTAAATCTGAATTTATTTTTAAATGTTGATGAAAAATATTCTATTTTCTTGTATTGATTTGTTCTATTGAGTAGTAAGATCAAAGACTGGTTATCTTTATTAGAAAGCAAATATGTTTCTCTTGGAACTGAAATTTTACTTAGTTAAAAAACAAATGTATTTTAGAATAAGTTTTCAAAAAATTCTTTAAAAATTTCACTAATTTTTTATTATGAAATTTCTTTCATTTTTTGGCATTAAAATGTTCCTTTGAAATTGATCTTCAATTGCCTATTATTTTTTAGCATTTTAAAGTCAGTGTGGTTTTTAAAAAGTATAAGTTTAATGTATCCGTATGAATGAAAATCGGCAGTTTCGATGAAAATTTCAAATTTACTTTTTGTTGTCTATGTCAGAACTTTTGTTCATTAGCTTTCTAAATCTCTTTAAATTTTAGAAATGAAGTTAGTTATTTTTTGTGTGCTGAATGATAATACTGAAGCAAATGACATATTTTAAGTGCATATTCAGAAAATCTCTAAATGCTAAAACACATTAGAAAAAAGTTAATTACAGAATTCTTAGAAATTTTGTATATAGATTTTGTATAATGTTGTTTATGTTTTGAACTTAAAGTAAAGGTCTGAGTGTGATTTTTTTATTTTTTTATCATGCTTTAATTAAGAATGTTTAGAATTTTTCTTTAAGAAAATTGATATTGAATAATATATGTAATTCTATTTCATTGAATATTTGAAATTTTTTAAAATTTTTAGTTTAAAACATAGCCAACCATACTATTGTTGAACTGTTTGCATGACATCCAAAATTTGTAGTTTTAATACTCATATTTGCCTTATTTTGAAATAATATTTTATAAATTTTTAAAGTTAACTTAAGATTTATAATTTTGGGACTCGTACTTACCAAAATATAGTTAAAATTTTAATTAAGGCTGTTTTCTTTAAAGAAAAAAAAAATATGTTGAACCAAGTCTTAACTGAGCAGCCCGTGTTAAGCATTATATTAATTTGTTACACAATCTTTACCTTCCCTATCCTTTTTTTCTTCTGCAGTGCATTTTAATAGAGGGCATTGTTTTCTTTTATTTCAAATGTTTCTTTTACATTGAGTTTGTTTCAAAAAATTGCTGTTTGACCAGTTTACTGTGAGTTTTTGTATTTTCATTTTTGTATTACATTTTCAAGATTTTGTTTGAAATTTCTCCTCTGATTTGATTTTATGTATTTCTTGTATTTTTCCTGGACTTTTGCAAAACCTTCGGGGTACTGAGGGAGCAAATTTTGACATTTGTCTGGTTCTCTCAATAGTAAGGGTTTTGTTCTATGACTTCCGGAGCTGGTACCCCCTGAAGACGTCATTTTTTTATTTCCATTGTTTTTCTTTTTTCCTTCAATTATTCTTTCTTTTGAAAATTTATGCTGCTTTGCACATTTCTTTCAAAGAATGTTCTGTTATTATAGAAATAAACATTTTGATAAATTTTATGTTATATCAATATGTAATTAAAATTTAGCAATAGCTATTCTGAAAATATGGCTAAACTTAAATCACTGTTACTCTGTAGTTAAATAATTAACTACATAGTAGCACTGATTTGAGATTTTTGAAAAATCACTAAAAAATAATGTTCAATGTTTTTGTAGAAGTTCTTATTTTTTATTAATTTGTAAAAATTTACTCCTAATTTTTACTGTCTGAATAATTAATCAGGTTCTTTATAACCTGTTATTGTTTTTGCATGGGGGAAAAAACACAAAAGCCACATCTTTTAAAGAGTTGTAGTTTTCAAATGATGAATTGAAGATGCCTTTGATTGTATTTTTCAAAGGATAATTTTGTGAAATGTGTAGGTACTTTAAAAACAAAAAATATTGTGAGGGGCTCTGTTTTTAAGACTAACTGCTTTGTGGATCTGTTTTATTAATTTATGAAGATAAAATTAGATTTAAATAAATTTGTGAATTGGTAGAAATTAATTTTTTTAATAAATGTGTGAAATTTTTTTGCTATGAAAATAATCAGTGAAGTTTTCATTAATGAACTCAAATTTTTTTTAAAATTAGAAATTTAGTCACCACAAGCTAATTTTAATAATAATTAAAAAAGATTAAATGTTTTTTGTTAAAGTGACTAATTATAATTCTGTTTATTATGTAATTTTCTTTCAGACTTATGTGAATGGAATTAGAATTCCTGAACAGACTTATGTGAAACTAAAACGGTTAGATTGTATTAGATTTGGTTATGATATCCTTTTTATGTTTTTCAACTGAATTATAATTTTTGAATTTTAAAACTGACTTAATATATTTTTAAGTGTGAAATTACATTTTAGTTATTTTATTTTATAACATAAGAAATGGTCTTATAATCTGTTCATTTTTAGACAATGAGTATTTTTTGTATGCTTGTAATAAGGCAATAATTTGTATTTGGATTTAAATAATCATTTTTATATTCCGATTATCGTTATTTAAGGCACAATCATAAAAATTATGATTTCTCAGCAAATAAATAAATAATACTAATATACTATAAATAAAACTGAGCCAATGAAAGTTGTAACGTTAGAAACCATTGTTGCACTTGAATGAATTTGTAAATTAAATACATAAGTTTGTCATGCTTTTCTAAAGAGAATTTTCAAATATAGAATGAGGCTTTTGCTGAAAATTGATACTTTTTATCAATTAATATTTGCTTATTTACCAATTACATAATTGAATCTATTTACTTATGTTACATCGATTGTGACTTAATTTCTCTTTCCAAGAAGGGGTTTAAAAGATTGTTGAAGGGAAATTCTAATTATTATAAAATTTCTACCCTTGCTGCTTTAAATAATAGCTCATAAATACATTGTTTTTCTTAATGATTTTTAAGTCCTGATGTGTTTTACTTAGAAAAAAGTTCTAGCGCTACATCTCCTCGGAAAGAAGAAATTCCTCCTGTTTCAAAAAAAGAAATTGTAAAGGTAATAATTTTGCATAGTTATTTAAATGTAGAAAATTATCTCTCTCTGAGTATTAACAATCTATTTTGAAATTAAAAATAATTTTTTTTATTTCCTAGTTGTAATTTAGAAAATATGTGTTTCAACAACAAAGCCAATAATTTTTTATTATTAAGAAAAAAAAATTTTTAGTTGAAAGAAACATATCTAAACTACTTCCAAGGTTGAATGAAATTTATCAGAATTTTTATTATATGTTTTCATTTCAATTTCATTTTGTTCTGCAGAAAAGAGCATTTTTAAAATAAAATAATAATTTTTTTGAATCACTACTTTTTAAACATATTTATGAAAAATAGTTGCTTTATTGATTATTCTGCAGAAAAGAGCATTTTTTAGAAAAAATAATAATAATAATAATTTTTTTGAAGCACTACTTTTTAAGCATATTTATAAAAAATAAAAAAAATAGTTGCTTTATTGATTCTAAATTTAAAGTTTGTGGACCTAAAAATGATTTCCCACAAAAATTATTTTTAATTGTTTTTTCTCCCATTTAGTGTTTTGATGTTTAACCGTAAAGAAATTAATCAAAGTGTGTGTGCGTTTTTTCTTTAAATTACACCTAAACATTTAAAGTCAACAAATTTAAGTATTCCCGAAGAATCTTGTTTTTATTAAAAATAAAAGTTTCACAAAAGATTTTCACATTTTTTCTCATTTTCTGTTGAATTAGTGTCTTGTCTATTGTTTATTTTTATTTTAGTAAGATTGGTAAATTAAGATCTCTTTATTTCCACTTATCATTGCAGGCAGTTTCTAAAGAAGAATTACCAAATGATAAAACAGTTGTCTCATTAGCTGAAACTACTACTAGTAAAAATTCCAATAATGTAGATTTACCTTCTTTGACTCGAGAAGATAACCCACCTGATACGCTGCCTTTAAATTTTACCAATTCAAGGCAAGAGAAAGACTGGGACTGGGTTGGCCAAGATGGTGCTCTGTCAGATAGTCCTGGTAAAATTTTGTTATATGTTTAATAATGTTTTTAAATTATATTTTTTTATCAATAAGTTAAAATTATTTCAGGTCCAAATCAAATACACTGTCTTGTCCCCTAACATTTGTATTGTCGTAAAAAAAAATTTCCTGCTTTAGTGGACTGTGGTAAAATTGTTTAAAACTAATTGATAGATGAAAGATAATGAGAAAAGAAGTTAAATTCAAATACAATAGAAATGAAAATTTGTTTATGTGTATTAGACTTAGTTTATAACAATGTTTTATGATTCTTAGTATATGATATTATGTTATGCTATTTGAAGAGTCCCGCTGTGGACTGATCGTTAAGACACAGTTTCCAGCAGATCATGAAAGTCAGGCATCACTGGCTGCAGTCAGTGTGCGGGTGGGTGACCACTTGGATCAGTCTGCATAGGGACAGAGAGTGTGCGGTATTGGTCCTCATTAAACGGTTCTACCGCAAAGGGCTCGACTTCACTTGCAGGTTGTTGCTCTACCGAAGTGGGTGTGCCATCCCCTAGGCAAAGGATCAAAATTGTAATGGCTTGTCTTTGGCTCATCCTCAGGGATGTTTCTTACACCGTCGCCAGTAGCACATTGTGCAGCTGTAGTGCGACGTAGATTAACTACAGCAACAGCAATTGAAGAATGGTATAACAACCTGAGACAAACATACCATTATTATGTCTGTCTCTATTTTGAATCAATAATGAATTAAATGACCAAACGTTTCAGACCAGGGAAAAGAATATTTATAAAATTAAGTCAATTAATTTTAAAAGAATAATAATTTGTCTAAGCTAAAAATGTATGTTTGTATCTGCTAAGCAAATTTTATTTAACAATATTTTAATTTTTATTTAACTCAATTACTTTTCAAAACAATATTCTGTTTTATAAAATTAACATCCCAAGAATTTTATTAATTTTACTTCAGACTTATAATAATAGGATTTAAAGCAGTGTCAGCTATATAACCATTTTATATATAAAGACAAATATTGTTTTTATAAAATCTTGTTAAGAAAAACTAATATAATAAAATTTTTTTCCTTCAATTCCAATTTATAATTCTTGAATCATATGCTCAAGATTTTAGTCAAAGAAGTGAAACTTCTTCCTGTTCTGCTCCTCCCAATTATGGCACAGCTACAGCTGATGATAGAGATACGGGTTCAGCTCATTCTTCTCCTGCTGCTACAGCTTTTACCATAGCCTTTGAAACCGAAGCAAGCACACCTAGAAAAAAGCTTGGAATTAGGGATAGTATTAGTAAATTTGCTCCTAGTAAATTAGATTCAGAAAACAGAGTATCATTTCAAAAGAATAGTAAGACGGAACCAAGTCCTAAAAAAGTAAGATTTTTATACTTAAAACAAAATTTTTAGTTAAAAAGTTAATATAATATGTAATTTGACTTGTGTACTTTTTTTTAAAATTATATTTTTATGATATTTCTGTAAAACAGTGTTTCCCAAAGTGTGGTACGAGTACCCCCTGGGGGTACATGTGATTATGCGAAATATATTATGTTCTTATGCAACAAACGAAAATTTAAAAAACCTTTATTTAAAAACAAAGCTAGCCATGAAACTTTACGATTATGTATTTTCTATTGGCTATTTTTTGCAAAGTTAACAGTTAATAATTAGTGATGTCAACAGCCAGTTGTGATTTTTAGCTTTTGTGAAATTTTTTATTTATAGTAAGAAATATATTCAATTTTCTATTAGTGGTACACAGCGTTAAGAAAAATTTAGAAAGGGTACGCAAAAGTCAAAAGTTTGGAAAACACTGCTCTGAAATTTGAAAATAATTTGAAATTAACTAATCGAGCTATTTATTTTCAAAGATCTTAAGTTTTATTTTTTTATTTGAGATTATGTTACTATATAAGATGTACAATAATAAAAAAAATGTTACGCATGTTGAAATTTTTGAGCTCCCTTTTTTTAAAAAATTTTTTTTAAATAGACCGTTGAAGTTTTCTGAAAATTGTCAGAAGAGAGAAGTAGGTTTTTTTGGGAAGGAATGTGTTAGAATCACATTTTGCTGAAAGCAAAGTTATGTATAACTGCATTTGCCAGTTATATAAATAAATTTAACTTTTTTCATCAAAATGAATTATTTTAATTCAGATTTGCATTTTTTTTTTCTTTCAAAATAATTTTCAAAATTATTTTCTAGTTTTTGCTTTATATCTTAGGATGTCGAAAAATTACCAGTCTGCCAAAAAAAAAAAATTTCTTTTATTTTCAAATTCTATGAAAACTAGTCAAATTTAAATCCAATGATTAAGATTGAGGATGGTTTCCAGGAATTTGATTTTAAGAGCTGGCTTATAAGAGGTCATTAACTAATTGAATTTTAGAAGTTATTAAATTTTAATTTAATAACTTACACTAATTAAATTTTTGAAGTTATATATTGTATCAATTGTACTGAATTTTCTATTGCCAGTTTTATTATCTGAGATATATTGATATTTTTATTACTAATTTCATTTTAAACAGTAATTTAAGTTATTTATTTAGTTAAAATTTCATTGTTCCAAAATAATTTTTAAAAAATTAATAGTCATTCTAACTATTAGTAGTTAATAAAAATTCCTTTTATATATTTGCTGTCAGCTATTATTATATCACATTTCACAAAAGCATGAGTAGTTAATAAATTTTTCTGCCTGCAAAATATTCTTTTTATTCCTCTTTTAAACATATTCTTTTATTTTAATTTAATTTTCATTTCAATTCACATTTTTTTTTTTTTTTTTTTTTTTTTNCTTATTCCTCTTTTAAACATATTCTTTTATTTTAATTTAATTTTCATTTCAATTTACGTTTTTTTTTTTTTTTCATGCCTACATAAATGAGAAACACACTCTTTAACAAGCAGTGTAACAATTTTCTAGTTTCTTACTTTAATATTTTTAATTTATTTTTGATTTTATATTGGTTTCATTTTTGCTCTTACATTTATCATCTGTTATATTTTGTTGAAAATGTAATTTATCTGAATAAAACATTTTAGTGATTTAAAAATTAATGTATAAATTTTTTTAAATTATTTATTCAAATTTTAATTTTTATATTTATATTTGTTATGTAAATCAATAATGTTTTAATATGATGCAATAATTCAATACTTATGCTCTATTTCTCTTCCATTCTTCCTGTTTATGCATCCTCTTTTCTGTTTCCTTTTTCCTTTGTCTCTACTTTTTCATGAGACTTTTCTGCTCCATTGATGACAATTTCATTAATATATTATCATAATGCCTTTTTTTACTAGATCTCAAAGAGTAAATATATTTCATTAGTTTTTTATTTCATTTAAGGCTAGCCTTAAATATTTACTCATCATTATATTTTGTAAATTAATTATAATTTTATTCTGTATTTACAGCTTCCCTTGTCAGATTCAAAACCTCCATTGCCAAAAGCTAGGACCCAGTTTGGATCTGCTGATTTGAAAGGTTTGTGTTAAATATCTTCAATAGCTGGTGGATCAGATGATTTTTACTTTCCATTGCATTTTATATAAATACAAGTTAATACTTTCTTTTTAGCTCATTTGAATGTGAACAATATTTTATATTGTTCATAACTACTTAATTTTTATAAAATATTTGTGTGCAGAAACAACTCTGATTATAATACCACTGTCAGTATTTTCTTTGTTGAACTTATCATAATTATCGTAACTCTTTTGAACTCAGAGCACTTTTACTAAAGTACTAAATTATTTAAAATGCAAAATACAATTTTTTTTTCATGTTATGACTAACAGTCCTAAAATAATATAGTTACTTAATACTAAGATATAAAAATTATAATTTTCAGTCTGGTAACTTTTGATGTCCCATCAGAGGGGATATAGAATGGCAAAGGGTCTGTTGTCTCCTAAAGTATAGGAAAACTCTACATTCATATTTTCTATAAGAGATAAAGCTAAAATAAACTTTATTTTCTTCCTTAATCATAAAATAGCCATAATTAATGTGTTAAGGTTTTTATCTCCTGAAACAGTTTCTCAATTGCAGAAATTCTTAAGAGTTAGCTTTATCAGACTTCTTTATATAAACGTTAAAAAAACAGTACTCTTCAAATAGATACATCCTAGAATAGTTTCCTAATTACTCATGAGCCCATATGATTGCCTAATTTAAAAATATCACATATAAGCCACTTATAGTTTTAAGATATGGACTTGTTGCATTTAGTATAGTGTTTTTATTGTATTTATCCTATGTATTTCGTTACATATATCTTCTGCGGGTGAGTTTTATGCAATTGAAACATAAGTCCACAAGTATCAAATATTTTTTTAAAGCAAGATTCTAAAAATTTTAAAGCAAAAGCTTTTTTTTTTATACTTTAGCTTTTAGAGTTGACAGCTTTGAGTTTGTTTTAATTAAATTTGTAAGCATTTTAATTTTGCTGTGGTTCTTAATTATATGTTTAACCTTTAGATATTAATGAAGAAATTGGGAAAATCACAGATTCAACCTCTTTTCTAATCAAAAAGATGCTTAATGGTGAGGTTTCACCAAGTGATGTCCCTAACGAATTATCATTAAAAGAAAAGCAACAAAACTCTCAAAAAGATGGGGATGACAGAAGCGAAGCTGGAACATACACGGTAGAGACTGAACAAGCTGACTGTGATGTGGAAGAAGCTAGGAGGAAAATNGTTTAGATATGGTTTAATATATGGTTTAAGATATGGTTTTAAGATAGTGTTTTTATTGTATTTATCCTATGTATTTCGTTACATACATCTTCTGCGGGTGAGTTTTATGCAATTGAAACATAAGTCCACTAGTATCAAATATTTTTTTAAAGCAAGATTCTAAAAATTTTAAAGCAAAAGTTTTTTTTATACTTTAGCTTTTAGAGTTGACAGCTTTGAGTATGTTTTAATTAAATTTGTATGCATTTTAATTTTGCTGTGGTTCTTAATTATATGTTTAACCTTTAGATATTAATGAAGAAATTGGGAAAATCACAGATTCAACCTCTTTTCTAATCAAAAAGATGCTTAATGGTGAGGTTTCACCAAGTGATGTCCCTAACGAATTATCATTAAAAGAAAAGCAACAAAACTCTCAAAAAGATGGGGATGACAGAAGCGAAGCTGGAACATACACGGTAGAGACTGAACAAGCTGACTGTGATGTGGAAGAAGCTAGGAGGAAAATTGATGAAGTGTTTGGAGTGATACAATTATCTAATTCTGTTCAATCCTCGTCTTATTCTTCAAGCACAACATCATCTTCAAACAAGCAGGTAAATTAAATTTTACTAATTTAGTGGATATTTTTTTTGCGCATTAGCTTATTGTTGAATTAAATTATTAATTTAAATCTTTTTTTCATTCTAGATACCACGTTTAAATGGACGTTTAAAACAACCTATACTAAAAACTCCTATTAATCCCAAAAGAGGTTTGTTTCCTATATTTGTTTAATGTATATTTTTATCCTTTACCATTACTTTTATAAATAATTTTAATTTTACCTATGCCGTCATTTTTACTTTACATAAAAGCTAGAATTAAAAATTAAACTAACAAGTCTTTTATTAAATAGATTTTACCTGTGTCATTTGTTGGTTTTATGTTTTTTAGAAACATTAAGGTATTATTTTCGCTACTTAGTTCTTTACTAAGGTTATTTTGTGTAATTTTTTTTTACTAATATGTTATTTAATATCAGTGTCAATTAATGCTAAATGACTTAGACACAAAAAAAAGAAAGAAATTATACTTTCTCTAAGTTTATTTTTATAATTATATTTGGTTTGTGTAAACTTTATTTTCTTTCTGATTCTATAGGCGAAACATTTTTTTCAAAATCAAGAGCAGTAAAAATATTTCTAAAACATTAATCTATTATACATATACCGTAATTTCAGGCATATTATCCACAGTGGCGTATCATAGGCAGATGGAAGTATAAGCCTATAAAGGAAAATTCCAGGGTGTAATCTGCAGATTGTACGACAGTTAATTCAGCTCTGCAAAAAACAAAAAATCTCTAAAGCGTATCTCACCCGCAGAAGAGCTCAGCATATCGGAAGAGCTCAGCATATCGACCATAGGTCTATTGTACCCAAACCCTAAATCAGGACTAGCGGAAAAGCTTATAACTGAAACGAAGTTCAGCAAGCAACTGACAGGAATATCTTGTAATTTCCTAGCCTTAATGCAATGTTGCTCCAAGTGCTCAAATCTTTGAGCAGAATAGACTATGTGTCATGAAGGCTCCTCCTTAAGATGACAACCTCAAATGAGAAAATCAGATTCAATACCCATAATGTATAGGTGTTTCCTGAGGGTGTAGTGTCCAATGAGAAGACCAATGTTCTTCCTCAAGATGTTCCTGTTAAGGTTAAGAAGCTCTTCATGCATACTAGGACAGTCACGATTTAACTCTTTATCTTATCTCTTATCATTCGAATTGCGCCATTGCTCATGGGCAATCTTGACATAGAGCTTGAAAATAGGTGCCCTGTAAGATGTGGGAGAAATTCCCAAAGCTAGTTCAGGACCCCAGAATCTTGTGCTGGAGTCAGCACGTGCTACTCTATCAGCCAGCTTATTACCAGGAATACCCATGTGCCATGTGTCTTGTCACCTGATGTAAGTATACCTTGTTACGACTAGAAAAGTCACAGAGGACCGAGAAGCACTCCAGGTGAATTAACACCTTGATAGTGATAGAAGAGAAGCCTGACTGTCAGATGTGAAAGGGTATATGTGGAGGAATACTTTTTGTGAGAAATAAGTAGACTCGCTTCTTGTTATAAAATATAATATATTAACAGTTTTGAATAATAACAATAACGTACATATAAAAACAGGAGAAATATTAAGCAGCAGAAAGAAAACATTAGTTTTCTTTTTTTATGTGTTCCTCGTTGCTATGGGATACGAGACTGTCAGCGTTGAGTTGTAGTAGGCAGGTCACCACATATATTTAGATAACCCTTGTCTGAGCATATCCAGCAGCACAAAATGATAGCATACACCTCAGCCTGAAAAACAGTGCCATAACTACCAAGAGGAAAGTGAAGTTTGATACCATCATTGGAGCAGTAGATTCATGTCCCATGATGTAAGATCCTTGATCCACCGGTGTACCATACCAGATAATTGCCCTTAAGCCACTGAGGAGATTTAAGCCATTCAACTCTAGAAGGAAAATGGATCTTGAAAGGCTTATGAAAAGCATATTTTAGTGACATAATCACTAGACATGATAAGCGAAGGAATATCTGACACCTGCAAAATGAGGTGACCCCGTGACAAGAATATTCCTTCCACAAACCAAGGTACATAAGACGTCATATACTTGTCTGAGCTTCAGCTTCAACGCAGAACCTTATTTATTAGCCAATATGCACATGTACGTAAATGGGCGAGCAGGCATTTGATCCTGTTTTAAGGGCATTCATGCTGGATTTGAAAAAGCTTAGTATTCGAGTTCGGAGATGAGAATGAGAGCCTGTTTTGACGCTTTATCACCAGTTAATATATTTCACTGAGAAGATTCATGTTTGCATTTACGAATTTCTTTCATCCCGTGTGAATGGTCCCTTAGACTTTTATGACTGACATAAGTTTTCAGCAAATTCAAAATGATTGACGTCAAGAAAATAATTTCGACAAATTAACCGCAATGACAATTTTCATGTTTTTAACAGGTAATCCGAAAATTACATGCAGGAAACTATGGTGTATATATATAAATAACTTCAGACTTTGAAAAATTAAATTTTTGTTCAACTTAAGCTTATTTACATAATTTCTAGTAAGGCAATTGATGATATCGGTAATAATTTGTCTTAGATTAATTAAACACTGATAAATTTTTCTGCGGATTCAAAAGATTGTGATAAAACAAAAGTTTTTGATAAATTTGAAAAATATTCCAGTAAGTTAAAACAAATTTTAAGTTCTATTAGAGTATGCGCTGTGCAACATGTTTTTTGGTTAAAATATGTATATTAATTTCGAAATATATATATCAATTTATTTGTGTTCAAGTCATTACCAAATTTTTTTAATATTTTATTACTAATTAAATGTATAATATTTTTGCATTTATTTCATTTTATGATGCATAAAAATGTTATTCAAAAAAATCATAATTTTAAAAAATAAATTATTTTAAAAGTTCTTAAGTTATTGATTAAAAATTTATTTTAGCAAATTTTATGCATATTGACAATTATTTAAAGGTTAAATTTTAAAATATTGTTCACGTTTTATTTTAGATTCTAGTATGCAATGGAATACAGCAAACAAAACTTATGGTAGAACCAGAGGACCAACGCCGGCAGCTTCCACAGAAAGTCTCAATCATAGTGACTCATTGCCCCGCTCTCTTCAGCGCACTAGAAAAGTGGCTGATCCCCCTCCGACTCCTGATAGAACAAGAAGAGCGTCCAAGCTTGCCACCTCTCCTAAGTCTCCAGGAAAAGCAAGAACTCCTTCCACTTTGAAATCGCCTGGTTCTTTATCTAACAATCTATCTGCAGCTCCATCCAATAGAGACTCTCTTCATAAAAGTAAACTTTTTTTTTAATTAAACAATATCATTGTCATATTATAGTAAATATAATTATTTTGACAAATTGTTGGTTCAAAATGCTGTGAAAGTGAATTTATTTCTATTTTTTTACTTATGTAAAGATGAATGTGGGGTAATTCCGGGTAGCTAAAATTCAGTGGCCTGTTGGAACTACACTATTCGATCTAGAAACTGTAGGATTTGATCAAGATATTTTTTCATTTCATTGTTTAGTTGCGTTTGATATATCATTCCTGAAAATCATTAGTCTACTATTTTTTTTATAAATGATTTTTTTTTTCTTCTTGAAAAAGTCAAAACACCCGGTTATGCCCCACCGTTGGGGGTAAAACTGGATATTTATGTTAGTCTAAGGGAAATTTAGAAATACAAGAATTTCAAATGAAAAAGTATTAGAAATTTCTATTTTATATAACAATTTAAGAAAATTCTGCATATAGTTTACATGCGACATAGTTAAGGCCGATCTCAAGAAAGAGGGAAACAGAAACAAATTCCTAGGACCCAGGACTGCTGAAGATCTGACCAAAAATATTGTGCTTATTAATTAGTTTTTTTAAAGAACTTGGCAGAGAATTTCTTTATATTTATATGAAAACTACTACAGTGTAACGTCCCATATCCGGACGTCCCTTTTCCGGAAGGGTCAATTTGCCGGACACTTTTTAACAATCAAAATAAACAAACATTTCTTCATCTTCCCCACTCTCTTAAAAAAAAAAAAAAGTATTTTTACATGTTTTTTCCTTTCTTAGCTTCTAGTGATCTATGCATTAACCCCATAAATCAACAGAAAAGAGAACAGAAGATCTACTAAGACCGTACCGTTAGTAACGCTCCTCCTCTGGAATGCAGGAAAGGGCGGGGGAGATTTGTTTTCAAAAGAGCACAATTGAGTCCCCTCCCCCCTTCTTTTCTGTGCAGCTGGCTAGTAAAAGAGGCATTTCCTGGAACTTTTTTGATAAAGTGTTAGGGAAAGAAGTACTGTGAAAAAGGGTAAACACAGCAAACGTTAAAGTGGAGGGGGATCCCCTTTAGTCACACAAGAAAAAATAAAGAGAACCCAATCAGCATGCCACGCCTTTATGCTTGATTGATAGCCAATGACAGGAGAGAAAATAAGAACTTTTCACTTCCCCCCCTTCAACTTGAATGACAAGTAAGAGGGAAATGAATTTTGCTTCTTCACCTACCCACCTTAATGAATGAATGACGGGAATTTCCCCTTTTTGCTTGAAACGTTCTAGTTCAAAATGGCGGAGAGAGCAATTAATATTTTCATAACTGTAAATTTTTTTAGTTTCCTATATTTATTTTTATAACAGCAATAATTATTTTTTTTTAAATATTTTGTTTTTGATTGATTAGATATCATTCTAATACTAAAACATTATTGCCCGAAAAATAATGTTATTTAATTTCTGCTTTTTAGATTCAGATGATTTTAATCTCTGTTTACCTTGGGGGGTCTATTATACGGAAAAATCGATTATCCGGACTTCGGAAAGTCCCGCCGATTCCGGATACGCGACTTTCCACTGTATTTTATACCTGTTTTGAAGAAGGGGCCCGCAAACATTTTGTCCTGAGATCTGTAAAACCTTTGGTCAGCCTTAGGTGACATTACCTTCTTCTTACCTTCTTCCCTCGCTGCACTGCAACTTTTATAGGCCTAATATAGACACACATCAAAGGGGTATCCGGTCTTACCCCAAGAGCTAAGGTTGCCAAAGTAGAACAGAGCTACAGTTGCGCAAAATCCTTATTGTTTGTTAGGTTATGAATCTTCAGTAAGCGAATAATAAGCTGGACTATACATAATTTTTATAACTCTAATAACCAATAAATAAAAATAACTTAAAAATAAAAGAATATTAGATAGTTGTCCATAGTAAAACAAACTTATCTACACAGACGGCGTGAATTAATTAACTACAACATGCCAATATTGTAGATTCTTCTTAGCTAGTAAAGTGTAATTCAGAGTTTTATCCCTGGAAAATGGAATTGATATCTCCACTATTGAGGTAATTGGTCATACTCCATTCTTCCCTATATGCAAATGTCACACAAAACACTGTTATTATATCAATAATAACACGAAACGTTCTTCTTATAGCTGACGAAATCTCCAGGAGGCACTCTACTGACAGCCGCTCAGAAGGATCGAAGTCTCCTCATACCAATGCTCAATGGCAGAAAGTCCCTTGGAATCTCTCAGGCTCAGATCTAGACCTGGATCGCAGCAAATCTGAAAACAATAGTATTCTTTCCGACACTAGCACAGAACCTAGTTCGCACAGTTCTCATTCTGGTCAGAGTCGCCCGGATCAAGGGCCTCAAATGAGGCTCAACAGGGCATTCGCTTTAAGAAGGGCTAGACTTGAGTCTGATAGTGGGAAACGAGGGAAGGAGAATCGAACATCTACAGCCAGCACGCAGCCAAAACCCATTAAAAAATCAGGAAAATTATCTTCGAGTACTTCTACTCTTCGTGATGAAAGTAGTAGTGGACTTAGTAGTAGTAGTAGAATGAGTATGAGGCTGACTCCAAATGCTGCAAAACCATTTGTTGCTAGACAAATGGCTCAGTGTTCTGATCCTCTGAAAAGAAAGGTTGGTCAATTTTTACGAATTTTTAACAACAACAACAAAAATTTCTTAGATTTAGATATTTTTATTGAAGGGCACAGGCAATATTTATAAGTAGAGCTTGGATTTTGATTTCCTGAAAAATGCTCTTAATAATGACATGTTTAATGAAATACTTGCACTGGGTTCAGTGAAATTCTTGCACTCTCGTGTGCAACACTGCTGCTGCATTTGGAAGACATTCTCAATTTCAGGCTTTACTTTCTACCCTCAGAAATCGAACTGAAAAATCTCTTGATCTTTTTATGGTGGCTAATATAATCAAGAAAAGAGTTCTTTATCAGAAACTAGTTATTTTATCATGATCATGTAAAGTCTTTGAAAATTATTTTGCATTTTGTTAATGTATGTAGTACTTAAAAGGTGCTTATTTTTTGTTGAAGGATTTGGCTGCGCGCCCTGTGTAATTAATAATATTGTTATAAAAATTATTATATATTATAATTTAAATCTTTGTGAGTACTGGTTCAGTAAAACTGAATTAGAACTGATAAAAATTTTGAAAAATATGAAAAGAATTCTTTAAAAAATCTTTAAAAGAGCAAAAAACTGCAGAAATTAAAAAAAAATGCAAATGTCATCAAAATCCAAGTTTTGGTGACACACCATGCTTTTTCCAAAAGCAAAATTTTTTATATGGAAATGTACACAAAATCGTTATAATGTTATTATAGAAATTGTGTTTTTAACCAAAAGTTGCCTTTAAAGATAATTCGAAAATGTGGTTAATGAATTATACCCTTCAATTATTTTGATGTGTCTGATAAATTTCCACAGGAGTCAGTCATGGTAAATTCCAATTTCTTTATTGAATTGGATTTTTAGCTGTTTCTACTGACTACAGTAGCTAAGAAGAAAAAGTTAATTACCTCTTATAGCTTGTTCTGAAGAGAGAGAAAAAACATTAGTTTGTAATAGCCATTTTTCTTTGCTACTCAATTGTGTTCTTTCTTAACTTTTTCCAAACTCTGCTTGTATACAAAGTAAATGTACTTTCCTTCCCAGAGTTTTCTGTTTTAATATTTTTCTTTTTCAGTCATCTGGCTTTCTTGATTATGTTCCCCGTGCTGTAATTTTCTGCTTTAATATTTTAAACATTTTTATGTAACATATATATTTCAAATTATAGGAAATAAAATTTTGTTTTAATTCAGTAAGACTATATCAGTGATTATCTGTAGTTAAATCATTTTAGTTCTCTTATAAAATTAATTGCTAGGAAGGAAATGGAGAGAGAAAAAATTATACTATCTCATACAAATCAATGGTTTTAAGTTACCTTGAATAAATATGGAGATTTCTGTATTGTATCATATAAATTTATGCATATGCTCGCGTGTATTTCATATAATTGTTGATATTCATATAATAGTTTACTTTTTTTGTGCTAAATTATTTTAAGAGATTAATTTTTTTTTCTTATGTCATGCTCAGTCTTTTATTACATTTAAAATTATATTTACAAAAAAAATTATAAAATGCAGATAATAAAAAAAAATTTCTTACTAATTACAAGATTTATAAATTTTTAAAATTGAAATTTCCATGTTTCAATGTGCATTTTATTTATTCCACTCATTACATTTATTTAATTATGTGTTACATACTAACTTTTTACTTCTCTAACTTTTAAATATTCTTTCCTAATAACATGGACTGCTTCTTAATTCCTCCCCTGCTCTATTAACCCATCTTCTCTTCTTCTTGTTCATGCTAACATACTATGCAGAATGAGTTGAAAAGCGGACATAGGCGAATCGAAAGCGATCCAGGCAAAGGCATCCCCATATGGAAATCTGAACCTCGTCCTGTAACTTCCGACCATGATGATAAAGGTATTGTTAAACCCAAGCCTCTGGATTTGTCCCTTGATGAAACCAGGCTTCAAAAGTTTCATCGATCAGTGTCCTGTAGTATTGTGAATGAAACTGATGTGCCAAAATCTAAAGCATTCCAACGTGGTAATGCTCATCGAGATTTCCCTGCATCCCTTATAAAACACTTAGATTCCCTTATGTCTGGCTCACAGGTATTCATAACTCTTGCATTCTTCTTGCTCTTATTACCTTTGCTCTTTTTAAAAATTCTGATTTTATGCATGTTGTAAAAAAATTTAATCTGCCAAATACAGATAACTTTATGGCTACATAATATAAATAAAACTACATAATACGTCTGCTACATAAGATAAATGAAACAACAAGAAAAAAGCACAAATAATGTTCCATAAGCATTTTGGGTTCCCACACCAGGGTTGCAAAATATGTCCGATCGTTCGAAGAAGGATCAAAGAAAATTAAGCCCTGGGGAAAAAAATTTTTAATATAATAAATAAAAAAATGCTTCAATTTTTTGTATTGCTTCAATATTTTTTATTGCTACAAATTTTGTAGCAATTTTTTTTTCATATTTAGACTACATGACTTCCTGACTATTATTAAATCTTGTTGCTAAATTAATTATGTAGTATGTAAACAAATATGGAAAAGAAAATCATTATTTAGATATTAAAATATTAGGGTTGCCGCTCCACAGGGGAAACCTAGAAAATCCAGGGAATTTAAGAATTACCTAAAATAACAGGGAAATTTGAGTTTTTCCTTACAAACTTAAAAAATACAATAAATTAAATTTCCTATTTTCGTCTTTTAAAAGTGGTGACCATTCTATGGGATATTTAAGGATGATATTTCAGCTATACTAAACGTTTTTATTTACTATAGCCATTATTTGTTTTAAGTATGTTAAGCTGTTCCTCCTTTATTTTAGTTTTTCCAGCAATTAAAACTAGTATAACTAGACTAATATTGTCACACAGTGATTGTATGTTTCCTCTAAATATATTAAGTATAATATGTACAGGGAAAACTCAGGGAATTTTTTTTCCGGATTTGAGTGGCAACGCTGAATATGCATTTTAAAGTTTATTTTAACATATTTTTTATTTCCTCATGTCTTATCAAGTTACTGTCTAAAAAGGGAAAGCTAATTCAGTGCCCGCCGCTAATAAATTCACCGGATAATAAAATCAGCCGCTTCATAAAATCAAATCGGCAAGAACCGAATCGTTACAATATTAATGCGTTAAAAACATCCTTTAATAAAATCAATGCCGCTGCTTTTTAAAATCAAAATTTTGACTACATAATAAATCAAAGGTGCAATATTTCAGCTTTTTTTGTTCTTATTTATAAAATTTTATTTTTTCGAAGTTTAAAGATTTTTTTAGTAGTAGCAACAGTTACTCACAAGCCTGTGAAACAGGTGTAGTTAGCACTTTTCTGTGATATACATAGTGTAAGAGTTAAGGGAAAATGTGGGTGGTAAGCGGCGAGTTCATAGAAATCAATTTATCAATGTTAATTCCTTGACTTGAATGAAGTTTGGAGAAACCTATCTCACTCAACAGGGGGTCGAATTCTTATCTTACTTTTTATTGAATGAACCATAGAAGGGAGAGAAGTTTCTTTTGTTATCTATCTTAACAGAGAACATGAATAGATTTCCATAAACTGTCTGTGCGCATGTTCCATATTATTTAAGTTGTTTGAGTAAATTATAGTTAGAGCGCATATCATTTTTAAATTCGTTTGGTGTTAAATTTTATCAGCATGCCAAAAAGGATGGATTTGATTCTTAAGGATACATTCGAAGTGTTGCAAAACTATGATAAGCTTCCTAAATGTAGTCAACGTGAAGCTTCAATGGAGATGGGGCTCATATTGACGATAACCTACAAACATCAGGAGAAAAATCTTATTCTGAAATTGTTACAGACATCAAAAATTGCAAAGTTATTTCCCATCAAGAAATGACTCATCAGTGCCATCTTCAATGGAAGTCAAAAAAGCACTTAATGTATTGCGGAAACCTTTAGAACAAAGAGGAGGAATATCGAAAACTATAAAACTTCTATAAACTCTCAAATGATGTTGAAAAGTTAATTTTAAATACTGCAACTCTAGCAACCATTGATCGGTTGTTTGCAAACCTTTTGTAAATTTAATCTTATGTAGGGTTTTACTTTATTAAAATAATTAAATTTGTTAAAATAAAGCATTAATGTGGTCATTATTTCAACTTTTAAAGTGTGTGCATTTAGAATGTATCGTAAAAAAGTTTTCTTTTTTCAAATGTTGAATCGCCTCTTAATAAAATCAGCCGCTTAATAAAATCAAAAGAGCATAAAACGAAAGGGATTGTAATAAACGGCGGGCACTGTAGTTGTGTTGCATATAACATAAATAACTTAATGTGTTACTTTATTTATTGGTTTAAATTTCGTAAACTTATGAGTGGAATTTTAAATTCAGTCATTATAATATATTTTTATTTCTATTATTTTTAACACATATGCTAGTTTGTTCAAGAATTGCGTAAAATAAAAAAAAAATATTTTTCTTTTTTTAAGAAAATATTCAAAACACTTTACTTTCTAAAAATATTGTTAAAAATTTATTGTAACTAAAAAAAGGTGCTATGCTTTTAGAAAAAATTTTAAACCAAAGGGAAAAAAACTGTGCCTGAAAAAATTTAAGCTTTGAGAATTTTCTGCATCCCCATCTCACTGTGTCCTTAACCATAACATTTCCTTTCTCTCATTTCCTGATTTTTTTTTACTACCTTATTTAATTTTATCCACTACTTTGTAAGTCAATGTCTGTTTATGTGACTTTATTTGTACTTTTTTCATTATATTTATTTTATCATCAGTTTTGATCTTATATTTTTCTATGTCTATAGGTTTAAAAAATTCTGTTCTTGTTATTTAAAAAAACAGCTTTATAATTCAAACTTAAGGGAATCTGTAAAAATAATTGAATAATTTTAAATTGGAATGAACAAGAATATAATTTTTTTCATTTGTTTTAATATAAGTTAAAAATACTTAGCAATATTTTATATTCTTTATTATATAATTATGTTCATGTTTTGATATTTTGAAAATACAGATTTAGAAGCAAATTTTATCACTAAATTTATGATTTTGTAAACTGAAAAAAACTTGTAAAATCATACTGATTGATCTCTTGCAATAATTAAATCTCTTCAGGCATGACACCAGCCATAAGCCAATATGTGCAATGGCTTTTAGCCAACATTGTTCTGATAAGTTAATTGAGCCACCAAGTCTATTTACAGGGGTCTGTCTAGGTTTTTCTGACAGGTACCCATTTTGTGAAAATTTAGACGCAATTTGTGAAAAATTAAAAATTATATTAAAAAATCAACACAAAAATATGGATTTATCGTTTCTTAAGGGATACAAAAGTGAAATTTTAAGAAAAAGTATTTTGTGAAACTACCGTTTTTCCTAAAATTGAATTTGTGAAACTGCCGTTTTTCCTAAAGTTGAATTTGTGAAGGTACCGCTAAACGGTAGTAAATTCGGCCTGGACAGACCCCTGATTTAGCTTTCAACTAGTCTCATGTTGAATAAAAAGTAATAAAATGTAAAATAAATAATTAAAATAAAAATAAATCAGGTTGTTTATGATTGAGCAAGGATTTTAGGGTGTTTATGGTGGTTGAAAAGATTTAATATTTAGTTAATTTTAATTTTAAAAAAAAAACTATAATTACTTCAAAACTAGTACTAAAAAATGATCACATCTTAAACCTAAAAATCAAGAGGGGATGAAACAGCATGTACAAGATTGATTTGAAATCTTTCCATATAATTGGTGCTGTTTAAATGCAACCATTTCAAAATATTTCTCATTTTTCATTTGGTTGAAATTTGAAATCTTCATAATTAATAGGAGACATCTTACAATCTCTTAAGAAATATCTAAAAATTATTTATCTATTGACAATTTGTTATTATGTAATTATTTATTTTATACTATTTATGACTAATCACTTTTGAAATATAATTTTTTCTGTTATGTGTGTAAATAATAATTTTGAACAGAAAGACTTATTTTAACTAATTTAAAACAGAATTTCTAATATTGTATTTATTAACCTTTATAATAATTTTACTTTGATTTTAAGTTATTTATATTGTAACATTATGGATTTATTTTTCTTCTTATCTTGTTTGTTTTCTGTGTATTACTTTTTGAAAATTATTTTATTTGTGGTAAAAGTGTTCATATTTTTTTCTAGATTGTGTCTAGTCATAACATGGATGATTATCATTGTAGGGGCTCCGGCAAAGAAATCACGGTACAGAGTATTTTTAATTTTGCTTCAAAACTCTTATCTAAAAACTTTTAACTTTATTTTAAATACAATATGCTAATAAATTAAACTTTCACTTTTTATTATTTAAACATTTCATTAATAAAAATTTGATGTTAATATGAATATCAGTTAAAAATTATTTTTGACACTAAAAAAATTGTTTTTGCTCCTGTATTATTCTTTGGATGAAAATTATTTTTTTGTCATGTTTATATTTTTTGCTTGAAATAAATATCAAGTAATTCTAAGGCAAAACTAACTATTGCTGAAATCCTTAATGAGAAAACATATCACTAAAAAACAATTATATATTAAAATACAATTAACATGACACAATTAAAATTTCCATGCTTTGGTTTTCTGTTTTAAAATTTTGTTATCGTTTAAAAGTACTACACATTGTTTTAAAAATAAAATTCAACTATCTCATTTACTTGATAAATAACTAATATCTGGCTTTAAAAAAATATTTGAATTTTGTTTGTGGAACAGGTATTTCCTTGACTATGTAACACAATTTTGGGAAAAATTTAATCAAAAATATCCATATACTTATTATAAAAGTTATTTATAAACTCCTTTGTGACATTTTTTCGAAAAATGTTTAGAAAGCTAATAAGTATCTTCGAAAAATATACTATTTACTATTCTATATATCTTTGCAATACAATTAAATTGTAATTACGACTCTTGTCAATTTATGAAAGCCTTGTATGAATAGTAAATTTTAAAAAATTAAGTTACTCTCCCTTTCATGTTCATATAAATTCTTCCTATCTTGTTGTAAAGCTAAACATCTCCTACTTATTTCTGGTGACAAGCAAAACTTACCACAAATCTAACAAAATAAGAAAAACGAATCACTCAGATTTCAAGGCTCTGTGTCTCAAAATTAATCAAAGTGGTGTTTTCCCCGCAATTTAAATAAAACTCTGCTATTTCTTCACAAATGTATTCTAATAACTTTTTTTTTATTATTGCAGGCATTAGATTCTCTAGTCATTTCAGCTATTCATCAGTTAGCATCAAAGTTATGGTCTAATTCTAAAGAATTATTAGAAAGAGAGAGGTTTGTATCTACCCTTTAAAGTAATCTAATTTTGTAATTCGTGGTAGTATATTTTACTCTTATTTCATTCACAATAGTTTTTATACATATTTTGCTTTATTTCTGAAAATATTAACCTCTTCCTTTCTTTCTATTTTTTTTTTTCTTGTTATCCCCCTTTTTTTTCCTGTTCTCCTCCACTTTGGCTCACCCAAATGGCCACAAAACATTGAAAAATAAGGAAATTTTATCAATCTGGAAAAATTAGGGAAATGTCAATAAATTTAATTCAAATACCCAAAATGCAGCAAAATTGAATTAATTTGAATTCGAGGTACCAAAAAGTCCAATATTTTGCTGTACAAAAAAAATTGGTCATTCAATATTTTTTTTTAAATTATTTTCTACTCTAATAACATGTGTAATTGTTTTGTAATCTATTTTGTATCTAAATCTTATATGTTGTGTAATCTATTTTCTATGACTATTGGGCATAACTGAAATATTAACAATAAAATGCATTAAACCATTTACTAAAATCTGGGAAATTCTATAAAATTAGTCTGGAAAAATTAGGGAATTTTTTTTTTTTTTGAATATTTATGGCCACTGTGCCTACTCAATTTCTATGGATGACAAAAGAATTTTCAGTATGTGCTGCCTTTTTGCTATCTGTCAGCAGTGCATTTTGCAATAAATATATATGTGTGTGTTACAGTCAAGTCAAAATGATAAATTGCTTATTTATTAGTAATTTATTTCTAACATTTATTCTAACTGAAAAAAAGTAATTCTCATAGTGGCTAAAAGTTTTTCCTTTCTTTGATCTGTTGTCTAGCAGCAGCATAAATGAAATGTGTGTTTTTCTATTGCTACCTACAGAAATTCTTTCTAATAATATGGTTTAATTAGTTCTTGTAACGTATTTAAGCTTTTGTTAAAATATTTATAATACAATTATTACACAGTTGCAAAAATCAGGGAATAACTACTAACTTGCTAACTACTTGTGGTAAGTAGCTACTAGTTACTGAACCCTCCTTTATTTTGTTCAATATTTGTTAAAGTTTTTTTTTTCTTCCCAATTTTGATAATTTATAACGTATTTTCTACTCATTTCTATTTGGGGTCTTTCATGTAGTTTAGTGCTAGTCGAAAAGGAAAAAAGTGTTCCATGTAGTGATATACATTATTTCGTTGCTAAATTTAACATGGAGTAGATCTAATTTTCAAATTTATAATGTATAATTTTTTCTGTAGGAAAAAATGCCCTAAAGGGAGTGATACTTGGCTGATGATTGATGAGGTTTTGCCCCAAGGCCCTGTAAGTGGTACTCCAGAAGATGGAGATTTCACTAAAGATCTGTCGAGCATTTTGAAGAATTTAAAGCGAGTAGAACAAGGTATAGATGGTATGTATCGTTACCCTGTTATGCTCATAAACTTTATTTATTGTTACAGGGTAAAATCTATAAAAGCTATGGTACATTTACGCATGATATATAACTGTTAAAGAAAGTTTATTTTTAAAATGAGTTATAAAGTGTACTTTTTATTCGAAACTAGATAAAAATGCTTGTTTTTATATTTTATTTTAAGAAACATTTAAACATAAGTTTTTGTTATAATATCAGTGATTCCACCAGACTTTTTACAGGTCAAATTTCCAGAACCTTATTTAAAATAACATATATCTCACATTAAATGTGTGATGTCTGAAGTAATTAGTGATTCCGCCAGACTCTGGAAACTGTGGGTCAAATTTCCGAGTTCTCGTTTAAAATAATATATATCTCACATTAAATGTGTGAAGTAATTAGTGATTCCGCCAGACTCTGGAAGCTGTGGGTCAAATTTCTGGGTCTTTATTTAAAATAACATATATCTCACATTAAATGTGTGAAGTAATTAGTGATTCAGCCAGACTCTGGAAGCTTTGTGTCAAGTTTCCAGGTTCTCATTTAAAATAATATAAATCTCCCATTAAAAGATATGGTACATAAAAAGTGATTAGTTATGATAAATTAAAAAATAGGCTTAGTTATTGATTCAGTAATTATTCAACAAAGAATTGAAACCAAAATTGTCCATTGAATGTACTTAAAAGATCTAAGTCAAGTGATCATTTTAAAAGATAAGATGTGCTATATATTTTTTGATATATACTAATTGATAATGCTCATTAAATGATTTAAAATAATACTTTGCTGAAAGTAAGATAAAATAAGCAACACTGAAAACTGAATATCATGTAAAAGAATTTCAAATAAAACATGAGGTTTAGCCTAACTTTGAAATAATAAGAAAGTATAGCATCCCATAAAGAAATCTAATCGAATAAAGGGTTATTTTCAGTAAGTATTACCATTTATTTCTCATTAAAAGTACTTTTACTCAGCTTGCAAAAATATTTTTGCAAGATGAAATCTCAGAATATATTAAATAGTACTATATTTTACTACTTTTCTGAAAATGATGGATGTTACTCTTTGAATTTTAGTGCTAGCCTCAATTCTTGAAAATGGGCGAGATCCTGAGCCTGGTGTTGAGCCAAAAACAGCCCTGCCACAAAACTTTTTTGTTGTTAATATGTAATAATTATTTGCATCTGGTCTATGTAAAATCCAATTTTATTTTTATGAAAGAACAAAACACACTGAACTAACAGAGGTGTAATTTATCGAATTGTTATGCTATATTGTTTCTCTTCCTGCCATTTACAATTTTCTTAAGTTCAGGTGAGACGCATTGTACTAATATTCATTGCCTTTATACGGGGTGGCCACAGAACAAGAGAAATAAAGAAGAACAAAGAATTTTATCATTCTAGCGAAACCAAGGAAATGTTAGGGACTAAACTAAACTAAAATTCATTACACATCAGAGAAAATAGATAAATTTATGTTTTTAGACACCTAAACTCCGATATTTTTTCCAAAAAAATTCGTCTTGTAATTTAAGTTAAAGAATAAAACATCTCTTAAAAATTAATAATAAAATTTATGTCACTAGTTACAGAAATCACGAAAATTCGAAAAAATCTGAGAGTATTTGTGGTCACCCTGTTTATAGTACAGTAGAGAACCAATTATCCTGAATTTTTTTGACCAATCTCTTTCCAGCTGATTGATTTTCTGGATTGTTAAAACATAGCAGTTAAACAGTTGATTGATTTTCTAGATTGTTAAAACATAGCAGTTAAACAGTTTTTCATAATTAGTAGTAATAAAATATATCATAAGATTAAATTAATTATTTATTAATCTACAATTATCCATTTGTCTGCTAGTTAATCTACTTAACTACAGGCAGGTGAAAGCATGTTAAAGCTTAATTTAATCCTGTTAAAAACTAGTTTAGAGATTGGGCAATCTTAAACCATCTCCATCTGTTTGCCACTTATAAATATGTAAGTCTTGCGGCTTTGATGTATGAGTGTTGATGTATTGTGAAGTATGATTTTATCTTATGATTCTGCCAAAACTAAATACTCCTCAATAATAAATTATTGCATGCGTTTCTACATCTGAAAACAGCATTTTGTAAAACATGTATTACATCTTTCAGTTTTACAATTCTGTTTAACTAACTGAAGTTATGTAAACAAAACAAAAAATAATTTAAGATGTTTTCTACAAAATAGTAGATTTTGTCTTAAAACCGATTTCAACAATCTAATTGTAAAAACTTTGGATTGTGAAATTTCCCAATTATAGAAAACTTCAGATTGTGCCATTTTCTACTCCACAACTGTTCCAAAAATCTTTCCAATTTTCTGGTTTATGGATAAAAAGTTCTGTTCTGTACTATTCATTAATAACATAAAATTCATTTTTTTATTTCGTGTTGCATTTATGTCAAGTTCACAATAGCTAGAAATTATTTTAGATATGGTTTTGTTTAAATCAACTTACGTTTACAACTATTCTAATAAGTTTTACATCTTTATTGTAATTTTTCACTCATTGCACTCTATTTTATTTTAATTTTTTTATGTATCATTAAAAAAATGCATTTAATTTATATTCATTTCTTCACGGTATTTTTTTTAATATTTCTCTATTAATTTAAGACAAGTGTTAGACTTTGATAGGGATTTTCTCTTTTGCATGTGCCTTCTTACTGTCGAGCTTTTAAAATTTTTTTAATGTGCCAAATGTTTGTACTTTACATATTGTCGTGTGTTATGAGCTTCAATGTAATTGTGCATTATTTATAATATGAATGCTTTTTCACTTTTAAGTTTTAAGAAGAAAAAAAATCTGAGCACTCTTTTTGTATCATAACGTTAGAATGTTAATTTCAAAATTTAAGTTATTCAAAGTAAAGCTATGTTTTTTATGTAGTATACTCTAAATTATGAATAGTATAAAGTTTGCTACATCTTTTTTTACAATGGCTTATATCTTATTGTAGCAGCAAAACCAATTTAGCAAACATATAAAAATCGTGAACAATAGCTGTATTTGCATCTTTGCCCAAATTTTTATAAACTTATTACCATTTTGAATTGCACCAGTTTAAGATATTATAATGATATTTTTCCTATTATGTGATTATTTTTTTCTCTTGCTTATATTTTGCATATAACAAATGTTATTTAAATTGCTCTTAACTAAAAGTTGAATAGATTTTACGATTTTCTCTGTGCTAAGTTCTTGACATAAATATTCTTTTTTTAAAGTAAAATTGATTTCGTAAAAATAAATTTGATAACCGAACAACAGATTATTTTTTTTAATCAAATTCTTATTCTAGCACCTCAAGGTATCCAGTGAACATTGCTCATTTTTTTTCTCTCTTCCCTGTCAGTATTAAATGATTTTGTACAATAAAAATTTTTTTTTTGTTTTAAGATAATATGACCAACTCAAGCTCATGTAGCATTAAATTTTGTTCTTTAATTCATATGCTCATTTAAAATGTGATTACAGTTTTCAAATAATTAAAATTTTCAGAGCATTCAATTTAGGATAATTAAATGTTCTTAATTTTGTATATTAATGTGGGCTTAGGATTATAAATTGTTCTTCTAATTTTATTAATTGTATTGAGTTTAGGCATTTATAAGACTTGTAAAACCATTAGACTGCTTTTTGAGTCGTCAGATCACTTATTATTTATAACATTTAATGCCCTGAAAATTTCTTCAAATTTAAGATTGAATGAAAATGGAACACTAAAAGTTATTGAAGATGTTAGTTAAGTGAAAAAGTATGCACAACTATTTCTTTATATTTATTATTTCTTTATGTTAATTTAATTGCTGTATCAAAAAATAATTTCTAGCTTTTGTCTACTGTTCGAAAAATTTATCAAATTTAAAAATTTTATATAATAAATTATTTAAAATTGAGAATTCTTTAATACCTGTTTTGTTTACAGTATTAATGTTTAGTATAGTGTACAAGTCTCACTTACTTTAATAATTTAAGTCCTTAAATATCTTTGAAATTTAATTTATAGTTGTATTACATTTATTGTCAGTGTCTACCTCTGTTAAAATACTGTGATATTTTTTGTTCTTTTGGATTGTTCAGTGTGTATTGCAATAATTTTGAAGTATTTCATTTCTGGGAAGTTATAAATAAATTAAGAAATTTTATAGTCTGCAATTGTTCTGTATTATGATTTATGTACTTTCATCATTTCCCAGTTGTTTGTTAAAATTAATTAATTTAATTTATTTTTATGTGAGTGTGTGGTACAATTAAAACTTGAATTTATGTCAGAAAATTTATGAAGAAAAAAATAATCTTGTTTTGATGATTTGAACTAAGATTTCAGCCTATTTGAATAATTTTTATTAAATAAATATACTTAATAAGATACATTAATTATGAAATTTTATCGTATTAATTATTAATTTTATCGTTCCAATGTCATTTTATCCAGTTCCATTTCCCAAAATTATTTTTCTTTTCTAATTTAAATTTTCAGTTATGAATTGAATATTTGTGAGAGCTGTATATGTTACCGTCACATATTTTTTTTATTATATTGCGTTATTATATCTTTACAAAATAATTTTTTTAAACTTACCTAATATTCTTTTTATATTATATAGAGTTTAATATTTATAATTAATTCTTATCAATAAAACACATGGCATGTCTGTTCTTAAGATTGATTTTTAATGATGTAATTAAATCAACTGTAATTAATTACAATCATCAACATTAGAATAATGTTTTGTGTATTTGTAAATTTTAACAAGCTCGATCTATGGTTTTATGTATAAAAAAAAATTTATACCAGGCAGTTCAAAAATGACAACTTGAAAAATCAAAGGAAAACGAAAATAGATGGTAATATTAAGTTTTCTACATTTTACTAAGGAAACCAATAATTTTATAACAACCAATTTTTAAAATTATTTACAAAATTGGTCAACAGATAGTGCTGTTGAGTACAATGAAACAATGTTTCTAAAATAACCTCCATTTGCAACAACATTGTGACACTGTCTTGGAACAAAATTACCGGTATGTATTAAAAGCAAAAATACTGTTTTTGTTTTTTATCTAAGATGGTTATATCACAGATAATCTGCATATTTTTACATAAAAGTATGCGAAAATAAAGCCTATGTAACTATTTCAGTTTGAATAGTCTGACATGCATTAGAAAATTCTGTTTTATAGTTTTTACTGTTAACAATGCTGTCTGTCGACAAACTTAGTAATTAATTTTGAAACTCCAAACCTAAGCACAATACAGTCAATAATATATTACATTTGGATTATAATATATTTCGATTTCCTTCCGTTTTTCTTTCAAATAATCAGTCGTTTTCCTGAAACTGGTATATAAATTTCAGAAAAACTTAAAATTAAACGACTTAATAGTTTTATGAATTACTGTAAAAGGACTTGATTTAGCATAATATAATCATTATCTCTTTGTTAGTATTATTAATAAAAATTAAATATAAATTAGGATATAAATATTTGATCTCAAATAAAATGTAGAGTTGTGTACAATTAACTTTTCAAAAACTTATAGCCATTTCAATTACTATAAATTGACAACTAATTTTGAGTTTAGGCTTATAACATATGTGACGATAAAAAAAAAATTTACATTTAACTTGCAAGTATATTTCTATAAATGAGCCAATAAATTTTGCTTAGGTAAATTATTTTTAATATTTGCCATTATACTAATATAGAAGTCTATTTTATATATTTTAAGTATTGCTTCTTGGTATATTTATGTATATTGTATAAAAGAAACTTAGGCACATTATAAATTACTACTGCTGTTGTTTCTGGATCTTATGATTCAAACTAAAGCATTTTTATCTTGTATTGTTGCCTTAAATTTGCTAAAGATGCACAAATTTAATTGTAAGTGTTCTGCATTTGTGTAGGATGAGGAGAACACCAAGGTATGCTTTTTAAATAAAGACTGTGAGTATTTCTGTATCATACTTGCTATTTTATCTATGTTTTGTTTGAACATATGTGATTGTTTTATGCTCTTCATTACAGATGTTTAAAATATGTTGCATGCTTGTAGATGTAATATTTTGCACAGTATTTAGTTAGCTGTTTCATATGCTTTTGTGTATAATAGTTATACAATTCCATGTTATTGTAAAAATAACTTCTATTGTTCTGTTATGTATTACTTATTAATGAATTTTGAATTGTATCTGTATATATGGCAATAAATTAACAATTTTTATAACTTATCTGTTTAATTCATTTTCATACTTCAGTCTGCTTATAAAATTATGAAACAGTACATTTATATTCTGCCTGTTTAGACCAATTTTAAATTATTTTGGGTCAATTTATTTTTTGATTGACTGACTATTTATCTGGTAAATTCATGCACCTCTATGTCATTGTCGACCCTATATATATATATACAGTAAAATCTCCGTTAAGCGGACATTTTAGGGACCAAAAAAATTTTCCGTTTAGAAGAGTTGTCCGCTTACGGGAAGGGTACCCAAATAATGAAGTTTAATACAGTTAATTGTTTTTAGAATATTTTCAAAGATGTAGATATAATTAAATAATTATCTACAAGGATATTTATTTAAACTTTAAGAAAGATAAAAAAGAATATATAAAGAAGTTAGGTATAAATACATAATTCTAGATGTAGCTATTGATGAATTAATATAATTTTCCTATTAGCATAGATACTCAAGTCAGACATATGATACTGAATAGGAGCTTTCAGTCCTCAGTCAGTTTCAATTATTAGGTTTACATCCCCTTACACCTACCTATCATTTGATAAGGAACATGATTAATACTTTCTTGAAAGTTATCCTCCCATGACTCACTGTTCAGTCATGAGGACCTATGGAGTTGATTATTCACAATTGATCAGCTATCAAGTGTCTGAATAAGTGTTTCATTTATATGAACACATCAAAGATTATATTTCTGTTCTCTTTTTTACTCCAGCTGTGTTAAATACAGTCTTCAAATTGATAAGAAAATAAAAGAAATTTTCAATGGGGAAGAAGCATTGAGAGCATTTAAGATGTCATTTCAACTCCAGGGGTCTCATAACCTGTGTGGTCCAGATCAAAAGATGCCACTGTGCCAATTATTTCAGGAGAGCAGTATCATTTTCTCTCTCTCTCTCTCTCTCTCTCTCTTTTTTTTTTAAGGATATAGGAAAGTGTCAAGAGAAAGATTGATTATTTAGTTGTGAAATAGCTAAACAATATTTTTAATTATGGATAAGGCAAAAAATAAACCTGTTTCAAAAATGGCGAAAAGTTGTATTTTTTTTTCCTTGCAATTTATGGCAGAAATAGTTTTTTTCTTTAATTTAGAAAAAGTAGTGTCCAATTTGAAGAGATAGAAAATAACGTTTCAGGGCCAAAATGACTGTCCGCCTCCAGTTACGGGAGTTAAAGGTTTCCGTTTTGCAGGAGGTTTCACTGTATATACATATATATATGATTCGTTTTTTTTTCCTACTACAGTACGGAACCCGTTATCCGGAAATCAAAAAACCGGAACAAATTTCGATAAATTTTCCCGCCATTTTTAATTTTTTTTTTCCTCATAAGATTTTAGGATTTTTCATTCTTTTTTGAAATATGTTTACCTAACCATCATTTTGAAAATAATCATTAGTGTATCTTCATCGTTTTTTCTTCTTTTTAAGATTATTTCCAAATATTATTTTTTTTAGTTGGGTTTAACAATAAAAAAAAACGGCTTTTTGTAGCGATTCAGAAAACCGAAAAAATCAGTTAACTGGAATAGCGATGGTCCCGATCGTTCCGGATAATCGGTTCCCTAGAGTATTTACTTTTATACAAAAACATAAGCTTGAAAACTCGTGTAAATTTATGAACAAACACCACCAGGTTATTAATATAATAAATTATTAACACTATAGTTTTGCAGAGTGACAATGGAACATAGAAATCAGGGAAAACAGAAAAGTTAGGGAATTTTATCATTCTGGGAAAATCATCTAAATATCAGAGATTTTAACTAAAATACTTAATAAGTCGGGAAATTAATAAGTTTATGTTAGAAGTATCTAAAATGGGATACCCAGATGTCTTTTTTTCATAAAAATTGGTTTTGCAATAAAAAAAAAAATTATAATTATTTTCTACTCTAGCGGCACAAAATAATAAGGTCTAACTAAAAATTTATTATTGAAATTTATGTCTCCAAATTCAAAAAATTTGGAGAACTTAGGCCATGTTTGCTATCAAATTACAGTGCAGAACCTCTTATCCGGAAATCAGATAACCGGAATGAAATTCGGAACCGGAAATTAATTTTCGTCCATTAAAAAATTTTTTTTTCCCTGCAAGATTTTGAGCCCTTTTTGTTATTTAGAGCGTACGGCGTATCGAGTTAACGAAAGAACTAATTTAGAGGACGGATCAAAAGCCGTTTGTAGACGAATCTCACATAAGCACAAATAGCTTATATATGCTATTAATGTTAATAATAACATCAATAACATATATAAGCCTGTATATAATTTTTATTTCATGATTTCTTTCCTTATTTAAACTTAAGTGTATTATTATTTATCATTTTTAATTATTTCTAAAACTATTTCAAAATAATTATTTAGTTTTGTTTTTTAAACATTAAAAAAACGGCATTTTGTAGCGATTCAGAAAACCGGAAAAATCAGTTATCCGGAATCGCGATGGTCCCGATCGTTCCGGATAATCGGTTCTCTACTGTATTTTCTCTTTGAAGTTGGGTGGGCTTCAAGCTGTCACGTAGGTTAGAACCCCCATTCTTCACAATGACAGCTCAGTGCCTTAAAAACTAAGCCATTACAGAGTTAAACTATATATTTTATAATAGGGGTGCACAACCTGCGACCCGCTGCAGCAATCTGAACAAAATTTTTAAAAAATAATTACACTTTTTTTTGGAACAAAGAAAATACGCAAATTTGAAATGTACGCATTTAAGTTTTTGACGCACCCAATCTCCATCAATGTAGTTTTTTATCGCAATTTTTCGATGGTTCGAATTTACTTATCACTTTTGACGCTTTTCGTGTGTGCCGATTTCATCATTATTTCAATGACTTTTCGGTGGTTATTGCTACCCACTTTTAAGTAGTTTCTGAAATCGCGATTTTTGAAAGTTATGGAACTTTTTATTTGCGCAAACTTCATTTCAAATCAAAATGACTTTTGATCCCTTTTTCAGCAGTTATTACTACGCATTTCCTCTTGGTTTTTAAAATTTCGATTTCCCCCCCCCCTTATCCTTGACTGATTGGGCCTTTCCAAGGTGGACTTAAACGCTACTCCACTTCTTGTCATCGACTTTTTGAAGGTCAACAACCTACTGGATGATACTCCGTCAGACAATTGAAGGATAAGGAACAACAACAAAATTTCGATATTTTAGCACGATATTATTACGAATCACTCATTTATAGAAAACCATTTTTTGACGTGGTTTATTTGTGCCGATTTTATCGCAAAACAAATTATTTTTTAATCGTTATTTTATTGCTACACATTTTTATAAGGTTTTGAAAGTCCCTATATTTTTTGTACGCTATTGCGACACTTTAATTTCGAATATCGCATTCAAATACATCATTTTTTTACACTCTTTTTGTGGGATTTTGATAGGGGTTTTTTTTTCTGGTAGTTATAACTACGCTTTTCCCCATGATTTAAAAAAAAATCCTGATATTTTAAATACTATAGCTTGACAGCACGTGAGTTTTGAATAGCGCATTAAAATAATTACTTTTTACTAGAGCTCCTGAATTCGCGTATCGAGTAAGGAGCCTTACTTTTTACATGCTTGATTTGTGCCGTTTTTAACATAAATATAAGAGGTTTTTCGAACGTGTTTCTTTCCCGTTATTGCTGCATTTTTACTTGTGATTTTGAATATCCTGATATTTCAACACTATATTGCAACTCGTGTAATTCGATTCTGTTTGATGTGTAAATTTATATTAAACGCGGTTCCTTTTACAAAAAAATTATTCAAAACACATGCCTATTACTTTAGTACCATGAACACGAGCAAATTTATCAACACACACCGAACCTATTCTTTTTGTTTTCACATGATTTCAAAATCACATATCGCGATTCGTATTTACGCGTTTTAAAAATCATACTAGTGAGTCTTTTCGCAATTTGAAATCCACAGATCTCGATACGTATTCACGCGATTTGAAAACCACGCATCCACTTTTTATTTACGTAATTGAAAAATCACACATAGCAATTCGTATTCAAACAATTTAAAAATAAAACACCGCTATTTGTATTCACGTGATTTAAAAACCTGGAAAGGAAGAACACCATCTAAGACTGATTCCAAAACTTATTAAGTTATTTACCCTAAGATTAATACACACTGCCTACAACAGCTTCTGTCAAAAGACTGTTTTCCACAATGAATTTGGCACGCTCAAAACTACGGAGCAGTCTTAAAACAAAATCATTAAATTTTTATTTAATGGCTCAAAAAAGTGATCACATGACCAAGTAGAAAAATTTTGCAAATTGCAGGATAACCATGAAGAAATTTTTTAAACCACTTTCTACCTACTTGGACCATTTTATATCATTTATGATGATATGCCGGGAAATGATTCGTATATCATTAAATTTTAACTAAAAAAAATGTGATCAAGATAAGTTTCGTGAAGTAATGTAAATTTTAATTAATTACCAATACATAAATGTATTAATTTTAAATAGTAAATGTCATGTTAAAAAGTATTGGTCATAAAGAGTTGAAAACAATTATCACATTAGTTTTTTTTTTTTTTTATTATTATTATTATTGAGGAAAATAGTTCTTTCAAAATTAATGTTTTCTTTCCTTCCTTTTCTTCCCTATCTCAAACCCCGCTTCTTTAATTAATTTAAAATAAATGTTTTAAAGTTAAAGAATATTCTCTACTAAATGTTGAATCTTATTTTCAGCTCAAGTTGTTTGGTTTTAATTTTAGTAATTTTTAACCCTATAAACTTTCTTTAAATCAAAGTATTTAACTTGCACTAATATTAGTAACTAGAATATTTATTAATTTTTTTTTAATTTAAGTCTATGAAATAATTTTTTAATGTTAAAATTTATGTTTAAATGGACCTTTATATTATGTAATGTATGATAAAAAAAACATGAATTTTCCCATAGTTTTTAATTATTTCAATTTATCTAAATATTATTTTCTGAGAAACTGAATCTGATTTTCTGATTCTGTTTTTTTTTCTTTCTAAGTAATCAGTTTTGCAGTTTCTAACTTTAAGCATTTAAAAGTATTTAATTTTATACCAACATATTACAAGGTTAACCGACAAAAAGTATTTAGCGCATAGAACAATGATGTTTAGATAACAATTACTACATATCTATATTTACTGTCATGTCTGTCTAAATACCTTGGCATGCAGGCTTTCGTTGTTCAATCTGCAGCGCATGTGCCCCTTCACTCAAAAAGGTTGTGCACCCCTATTTTATTATAATATAATAAAATATATTGTTTAATTCACATAATAGTGGGCTTATATAAAACCATCTTATTCAAAATTTGATGTAAGCCTTCTATTATATAAATTTTTTTAATTGATGTTTCAGTCCAAGAAAATTATTTAACTATAAAGCTTATTCTTTTAAGCTCTGAAACCTTTCTGAGCTATAGTTAATCTTCAAGGATCAATTATATTTAAGATTAAATTAATCAATTATATTAAACTAAAAAATATTTTTTAAATATCACATCTCTAGACATCACTTACATTTAGTCAATAATCATAATTTTTCCAAACAATATTTCTAAAAATATATTGCATGTGATTTGACATTTCTAGTTTATTTTTTTGTCAATTTAAATAATCTTTATTAAAAATATTTTTCAAAACAATTTATTATATAATTCTTTTAACTACCTTGTCTTGTTACAAATGTAAATAAATTCAAAATTTTATAAACTTTACTAATCCTGAAAAGTTTATATTTAAAAATATAATTTGAGAAAGCATTTTTTATTCATTGAAAATATGTACTAATAAATTCTTTGAATAAATAATCGTGACAAAAAGCTTGCCATTTATTTAATATTTCTGTTTAATAAAACCAAAGGATAAAAACTTCACAATTTTCAATTCTTCACACAAAATAACACATTAAAAACCATAAAAACATTAACGCATAGTAATTAAATGCACTTAAGTAGTTCAATGAAAAATTACAAATAAACTTATTGATGTAGGACATATTTAATATCATCCAATTTACAATTCTACTTATACAAAGGAATGAAAGTATATATATATACATAAAAAAAGTTAAGATTTTTATTCACAAAGGAATAACTAGGAAATTTGTATAGATTGGGCTATAGCCCCTTAGCCTATCCCAAATATCCAAATCTAATATAAATACATAGCAGTTTTCTATTGTATTAGTTATTTAAAACTGAAAATGCTGAAATCAAATAATAATTACAGGATGATAAAGAAAATGCTAACGCCGCCCCTACCAGTTTCACCAATGTATAAAAGGAACAACCAGCAATCTAATCTACATTGCTAACATTCTAAAAACAAATAAAATATATTACAAATACTAAACAAATGGAATAAGTAAATATTTAGAAAATATATCATTTATCAAAGGAGAAGACCAACAATTTTCATTTTTGAGATCCAGAAAAAGTTTTTTTGAAAGACAAGAAGATTATTAAAGTCCTAAAACTTTTGTCTACACAAACATCACACCTTGAGATTAATGTATTAAAAAGACTGATTTTAATAAGTAAATGGAACACTTAATGATTATAGTTACTTTGAAAATGGAGAAATTGATACATATGATACGATTTTTTAAAAACATAAACATATTAAACTTTTTTTTCTTTCCAAATTTGCGACTTTGTTAAACAGAACTTTGTTAAACATTCTTTAGCTTGAACATATTCATTGCGAACTTTAATATGACAAAAAACAGGATTTCCCATGTGATTTATATATATATATATATTTTTTAAAAAGATGGTTATTTTAAATTTCACTAACCCCATGAAAAAGTTTTATTATGGTTTAATTAAAAGTTTTATAAAAGTTTAATTATAACTTAATGTTGTCATACATAAATAGCAAGCAATTCATGGGAAATCAGATGGAGTTGTCCTAAAATATAAAATGAACAAATGGTTAAGAAAGAAATACTGGGCTAATAAAAATATATTAAAGAATAAAAATAATAAAGAAAGAATAAAAATATATTTCATTATTATAATAGTCTAATACGGAAAATATTTCTTAGAAGAGAACTGAACTGTCAATTGTTTTGGAACAACTTACAGAACAAACACTTAATTCTCTCATGCAGAACTCTCCAGAGCTCTTTGACCGAAGAAAACACTTAGCTATATCTACTAATACAGAAGACTGGTTTAAATTAACGAAATATGGGACTACAGCTATGGATATTGTAAAAACTAGTTTGAAAAAAGTTTACAAGAGAGAAGTAATGAAACAAAAATTTAGAATTGACAAGAAAAAATATATATACATTTGATAATTCGATTGCATTAATTTGTAATTTAAATAATTCATAATGTCATAAATTTATAGTTATCAATAAATAATTTGTTTGCAATATTTGTTAACTTTGTACCCCATGGCAGAATCGCAGCGACACGACGACATTGTCGCCGAATGTTACCGAGTTCTTGCAGAAAAATTTTAGTTTTCTTTTCTGCAGAAAAGAAAACTAAAATACATAAAATTTGAATCATGCACTTAAATAATCACTTTTTGGAATGCTCAATTTACACGGATAATATTGAAAATCGATGTAATGTTTCGGTTGTATTTATGGCAATTATTGACATTGATTTTCACATGGTTTTTAAGTATCCAGATATATTTTAAACAATATGGAAAATACGAATCGTGCATTTTTTTAAGGCAATGATTCTATAAAGTGTTTATTTTTTAAGGCAATGATTCTATAAATTTTTTGGCAGATATTGCAATTGATTTCTTCATAGTTTTTAAATCCAATATTTTTCATACGATATTATTATTACAACAGCCTAATCTTGAAACGAAACAAGCATTTGAGGAGTCTGATTAGAGCGATTACACCTACGAATTTCATGATTTTTAATTATTTTTTATTGTGATGATTACTTACAAAATGCTACATAGTAAATAATTAGTGCGTCCCCACAAACAAAATGCCAGAATATCACCCATAATATTAGAATAAAAAATTATTTCATGTTCAATAAAAAAAATTATAAATAGTTTTTTTTTGTTTGTAACCACAGCATTGTTGTTATTTTAAATTAGTAACATATGTGTTTGTTACTATTAAAAGTATCTTGCAGAAAGATATTGGGGTTAGAGAGTTTTGTCGCAGATAGTTTGAAAAACTTCGACCCCAGGGACTTTGTAATGGCAGAAAATAGTACTGAATTGTATGCATAATTTTTTTTTTTTACTGTTGAAATTGATGATGAAAGATAATGAAGATTTCAATTAATACAAAAAAAGTAAGAAGTATAAATTAAAAGCTCACATTCCAAATTTTTATAACATCTTAGATCTTTTTCTAAAAAGAAAATTTTTAAAAATAAGAAAAAATAAAAAAAATTAAAGGCAATTATGTTAATTACTTTAAAAAACTTATATTTTTAAAATTTTTGAGATGATCTTTGTGTAAATAACTATGCAAGAGTCCAAATCTAATTCTCTAGTGTACTTACCTCCACATCTCAGACACTTCATGGACCTCTAACATATAGCTATCATGCCATACACCATAGCCAGGTCACCCTTTGAGTCATGCAAATTTAATATACAATTTCAAATACTTTACTTATTTAGAGTACACACCATATACACATTTTACGATTCAGAAGTAAAGTTTCTGGTCTGGCTTATAGTTACGGCAGATTTTGGGTTGGTCTATATTTAGCTTTGATGTATAGGTTGAAAAAATGTCTTTCTTTTCTAATACACCCTTACCCCAAAATTTATTAATTAGTTAACAGCAGCCTTTTTTGGAATATTAATTCTTGTATCTACAAAAAAAATTAAATCTATTTTAAATTATTTCATTCATATTACATGTGCAACAAATTATTTGTTTGTGACAAAAATGGTTGATTTAGTTCTTGTAAAGATTCAAATTAAACTATTAAATTTATATCAAGATTCTCTACATGAAATTTATGTATTAAATTGATCATTATTTACTAGTTTGCATGTTCATATTTACATCCATATCTATCACATAATTTATCATTATTGAGAAATAGGTATTTAAACAAGATATAATAAATAAATAAAAAATTACATTATTAAATAAACAACAGTTCAACTTTAAAGATATTTAAGTACATGTTCAGACAGAGGTATCTTTTTTGTAATTAAGTATAAATAATTTGATAGACATTAGCATGTTGCAACAATAAGATATTGATTAGAAAAATCATAAATAGCTGTAAAATGATAGCATATATTTGAAAGTACCACAACATATTCTGACAATGCAAATAGTGTATACATTCCAGATTCACAATACCAATTATGTCGAAAATAGAAATAGACAGATAAACTGAAAGCAAATAAATTGATTGACAGCAACAATAATTTTAAGCGAACAGATTTTTTCTCAGTTTTTGTAAGCAAATGATGCATTCTGTACTTCAAAATCGCATAAGTTAAAGTCATAGATACCAGTGCAGACAAGACAAACATGACAAAAAATTTCTGGTGAGCAGGAAAGTTTTCAGTAGACGAAACAAAAGATAAGCTAATTAAACAGATTATTTCAATATTCTGAAATAAATATGTTAGATATACAATATTAATCCACTTAGCTTCATTAATAATATTTCGAAAATGATTGTAGTACATAAGTGCGACTAAGAATCTAGGAGCACAATGCAGAGCAATACCGACTTGCCACACGTATCTTTGTAGATTATAACTTCCAATAGCAGTACTGATTGAAGGTAAGAAATTCTGGACATTGCAATGAGTTCTAGTTGTCTCGTCGAAATTTTTCAGAAGTGACCAACAAACGCAAAAGAAGAAACTAGCTGATGGAAGTAGTGCGACAATAGTCCAGAATATTTTAAAGGGTATTTTAATTACATATCCCATTGCGAAATAATAGATAAAAGCTGGCAGGAACTAATACAGCGTATCCAAACTGTTAAAAAGATTTCTCCATCAAAAGTTAGAGCATTTATTATACAAAGTTTGCATATTTCGACAGATTTGCTTGCACTTTAAAAATTGGGTTTTGTAGCAAATTTCACGATACAGAACGAAAGATCTGTAAGAGCGATCAAAAAGTACATTAATTAAAGAGCATAACTTCAAAATAAATCGTTCAAAATGAACAGACGAAATCTAAAGTAGAAGTTGTAGTTNAAGCGATAACGATGAAAACGATGATGTAATCGACCAATCAAATGCCTCTATTTATTAAAAAGGCGGTCAGCCAAGCAACAGCCTATGTAAAAAATATTTTTTAGTAAAACTTGAATGAGTGTGGCTGTTTTTCAGTATGAAGCATTTTTTTTAAATTTAAATTAACATTATGAAGGAAAATTATTTAATTTTTAAAGTTGTGATTTTATTTTTTTTCTTAAATATTTTTCATAATTCGGCAACAGAGATCAATGTAGTCAAAGTTATTCGTATTTGTGTATTTTGATCTCATATTTCGGCAATTTGTTGCTAAATTCACAATTTTACGTCTCAAATTAAAATAAAATTTATCCGTTCACCTCTTTCTGACATGAATATTTGCATTTAACTGATTTATTTAAAGCTTAAAAAAAGGGAAACCAAAATGTCTAGAGTTATAGGTACGCTTGCATGATCATAAAAAACTTGTGTGTTTGTTTCTATATGATTTCTAAATGTGTTTTTTACTTCAAAGCTGATTTTTATGCTCTCATACTTTTCAAAATTATGATGATAAACTTACATTTATTTGCATCTATACTTTTATTTAAAATGTGCCTATATTAGGTGGGATCAGAGAGGAATACTGATTCTTATGAAAACATGTGAAATATGCCATCTCCTAGTTTAATTGTTTCTTTAATAACATTTCTATACCATGAAAAAGAGAAGTTTTTATTTTTTAAAGGGGCCAATATATTATGATGCAAACTTTTTCTGGCCAGCTTACCCTTGTTTTAACTGCCATATTCTTTATGTATGACAGTTATCAAAAAGAAAATAGTCATTACTACTTGCATACTAATTAGTGTATATAACTACTTAATTTATTTTTGTTTTCAGATACATCACAATGGATAACCTTCTTCTCAAAAGCTGGCTTGCCAGCAAATGTTGCTGCAAATTATGCACTTATATTTTCGGATAATCGAATTCAATTGGACATGCTGTTAGATTTGTCCAAAGAATACCTGTATGATATGGGAATTAAAATTATGGGAGATGTTATAGCTATCCTACGATACGCTAAAGAGTTTCACACTCAGGTAAAACCATTTATTATGCAGTTACTAGTAGTTTTAATATCGCTCAGAGCATTAATTTAATAGTTCGGAGTAAAGAGTTATTAATTTTTCTGTAGCATTAATTTAGTTTTAAGCTGCATTAGAATTTCTTGCTGCTGATTTTGCAACTTTGAATGTTGAAGTAGCTATTCTTTATTCAATTTTAAAGGATTTTTTTTAATTATAACTGTTCAAGTTTTTAATTTTTACTGTACTTTATTTTAAAAGCATTATGATTATGAATTAACTAAATATTATATTTTCTTCACTGAAATCTACTAATTAAAATATTTAATTTATTTATGAAAATGTATGTAATTTATAATAAAATTAAACTTAACTAGATTAGTAACTTAACTGCTACATATCAGACTGTCTCAAATTGTATATTGAAAATTAATTTTCTACTAGGAATTTAGTGACTAATATGAATAAATATAACTTCAATTCCGAAATTTGCTAAAAAGCAGAACAATTTTATCCCTAACTTCTCTAAATTATTATTTTTTAAATGTCAAAAAATGTTTCATTTTTAAATTTCTATGAGTGATTATTTTAATTTGAAACTCATTCGTCATAATATCATATTAAAGCGTTTTAAATTAAAAATAAACACATGAAAATGGTCCAAAAAATTATCAGGAAACATTGATTTATGGTGGGTTTGTCACAATTCAAGAACATTAATAAGTCATTCGTTTTAAAATTTCAAAATTTAAGAAAAAGCATGTTGAAATTGCCGAAAAATATTGGCTTTAAAAATACATTTCAAAATGACTAAAGAAATTATCAAAAAATTTTATGGGTTTATGATGGACTTGTAACTATACAAGCACTACAAAAAGTGATTACTCTAATTCAAAACTTGAGTATTGTCAGAAATATGGTCGATTTGCTATTTAGAAGTGTCAGTATGTCATTGTTCTGATTCAAAACTCGTGTATGGTTAGATCATTTATGGAAATTTTAAAAAAATATATAAATATCCGAAAAAAAGATAAATAACTGCTGAAAAAATTATTGAAAAATGACGTGAGTAATTATAAATGTAATTTGTTGATAGATATATATGTAACAGAAGAAGAAAAACTTTCTCTGGGTCCTTTATTCATGATCAAATTTTTTGAAACTAAAAGGAATTTTAGGTTCACTAAGTAACTACAACTTTCACTTCCATGTTGCTAAAATTTATACATTAGTCTTCCATATTGTATAACAATGAACCAAAATTTTCAAACTTGTATGTTATAAATTGAGACATACTATTATTTTGCTTAAAATTTAGCATGTGTATTACTATAGTTAATATCATAAAAATGTTTTGTGTAATTAATTTTATAATTGAACATCACTTATTTTTCTTTTATACATATGTACTTTGTACATAATTTCATTGTCCTGTGCTACTTATGTAGAATTTCAGCTTTTTTTTACTTTTTGCCAATCTTATCTCCGTATAAATGCCAAGTATAACTATTGTTATTTAGTTTTTAAAAAGCTAATTATTTCATAAAATATGCTTATTGCTTTTTCATTTTGTATGTAATAGATCTTGTAAACAGCTGAAATAAGTTCTGAAAGCAATAAAAAAGAATATGTACGTTTCTGAAATTTCATCAGATATAGATTTCTTTGCAGTGCACTCTATTGGAATTTTTTTTTTTTCTGGTAAATTTTGGCTCTAAGCATTTCTTTGTTATTTTGAAATTCTTTAATCTGTGTTAAACAATTGAAATTCAAGTTCAACCTGCAATTGATATGATAATATCCTTATGATTTTAGACTAATACTGAATACATTTTTTCCTTAGTATACTTCTATAGTAGTTATACTGATGTATTTATTGAAGCTCAGAAAGTAAGATTTAAGAACAACTATAATATTTAGATATGTTTAGAAAAAAAAGACATGAAGATCATATTGAGAAGATAAAATTTATAAACCTAAAAAGTAGAAAAATGTTAAATTAAGTTATTGAAATTTATTAATTTTGTAAAGAAAAAATGTAAATTTTTTTAGTTATCTAAAGAAAGGATGTTTGGCGGATCTAAAATGGTGACTCCTAACAAAACAGCAGGTAAATATAGTTTCTTACTTTACTTCTGACATTTGTTTCTTACATTTATTTATCTCTGAGTTATTTTTATTTATCAGTTGCTGAAAGAATGGTCGGGCATTACACAAGGCGTTTTGCACCTGTTCAACCGCCTCCTATTCATTCTAGACTAAGTATTGCATTTTTTACTTCCATGTTAATTTATTTTTATTTTTTTGACTATTTTAATTTTCATTGCAAAATAAGTTAAAATCTTTTGAACTCAAAATGAAGTACTAATTTGTAAATTAATTAGTATAATATTGACTTCAAGGGTTCTCTTTTAAAGTGTGTTCTACTGAAAAAAAACACCTGATTTTGTGCCATAATTCACTACAAAGAAAAACAATGATGTGAATGAGCACAAACAAAACTCATTTCTATTCATTATAAAATGTATCATCATATATTCCGGTGTATTACTCCTCTTTTCAAATCCCTAAAATTGTATGAAAATTTAAAGGTTGAATTATACACTGGTAATAAAATCGGAGTTGATTGTGACCCATCAATCAGTTATAAACAAAGAGATTGATATGAATAACTGAATTTATGCCTTACAAAAACTGTTTTTAATATGCTATATGCGATTAATTTTGAAACTTCTCATATCACATTTTCTCCATATAATCTCCATATAATAATTTATTATATAATTCTCTATATAATAAAATCTCGTTTTCTCTATAAAGAGCAAAAACTGAAAGAAGATAACTTGACAAAATTTTGTAGTGTTAATAACTTTTTTTATATATTTTTAAGTTTTGAAAATTTTCAGGCTTAGATTTTTCAGCAGTCAACTTAACACCGATATACAGAAACTTTTCAAACGCCTAATCAAATATAGAGGGTCAACTTATACATCACTATATATGATAATGAGGTGAACCTGGTTTAGATACCAGCAATGGTTGGTTGATACGAATTCTGCACCTGACTCCTACCCCAGTGCGAACATAATGAATCCTCAGTGGTAGGCAGATAATGGGTTTGAATCCCCTTGCCGTCAGGCTAACCATGGGAGTTTTGGTGGTTTTTCTCTCCGTGTAACGCAAATGCAGGTTAGTTCCATCAAAAAGTCGCTCCTGATGGCAAATTTCTCCCAATATGTGATCCAAGAGTTCCATGTCTTCTGAATTAGGTTCAAAATTACAAGGCAAATCCAAAATTTGGTCGGCTGTTCAATGATGGTTATAAAATAAAATAGTATTAGAAGACTGCTCTGTAATAGATTCTACCTCATCCTCATCTGATGGGTCCCTCAAATAATCATCTTCACCGCCATCCCAAATATTTGAAATTTCCCTCTTTTTAAATAAATTTTGCCATAAGCTAGAAATTTTATTTTCTTTTTTTCAGCGGTTAACTTACACACCCAACATACCAGAGATTTACTATCTTGTTTTCAAAAATAGGATGTCGATTAATACACTGTAATATTTTGTAATTCAAATTAAGAGTAAATTAGCCTGATGTAATGAGCCAATTTTTGAATGTGTTCTCCTTCCATTTTCTAACCAAAAAATTTATATAGAAAAATTACATAACTTGCAGAAGAAATTTTATTGTTTTCAAAATTAATTTCAATGAACTTTTAAATCACATTGCAGTGATTCCACTTGCATGCTATTGTGTATCAGATACACTAAAAACTATTGATAGGATTCAAAGAAAGCAAAACTGCGTGATTCTAAAAAGGAATAAATGAAAAATATTGCTCAATAGATTTTTTAGACAAAAGATAGTAAAAAAAAAAAAAAAAACAATTTTAAAAAATGAGAATTAAATTTCTTTTTTATTAACTATATTTACTTATTTTATTAACATACTATTTATAACCATATTTACTTGTTTACTTATAAAATATAACTATATTTTTTATTAACCATGTATCTTTCAAGTATAGTTTCATATACAGTGTAGCCACTTTTCATCCAATATAGATCGGAATTTTTATTGCCGTATATTAAAAGCCATTCTATTAACAATATTAAAAAATCAGGACATCCCATTATTTATTATAAGTAGCTTATAGCCAAACTGCTGCCAAGGTAAAATTGCTGTTAGGGTTTTAGTGCTGTAGGCCAATTGTTTACAAAGTGAAGTGCATTTTCTATTATTTGTGAAGTTAACGTGTAATTAAAAAAAAATTGATTATTTTTTCTTACAGCCTATTATTTAGCATAATTTAAACGTTATACAATGTCTTTTCAATAGCACCTCCTCAGAAGCCAAATCTGATTAGTTTAAAGAGGAAAAATACCGAAGACACTGTAGTGAAGAAAGCCAGAAGAGTTCCTGCTGAAGAAGAAGGAGCTTATAAAATTAAAATGCCATCAGGAACCACTGCAAAAACTCGTCAGATCTTACAGCAACAACAAAAACTCCCCCTGGGTAATTAAGTTTAAAATTATGTATTATATGTATGAATATTTTATTTCTATTGAAATCGTGAGATAGTTTCTTAATAAGCATATAACATTTTCAAAAATTAATTAATATCCAATCACTTAAAATAAAATTTAACTCGATACAAATTTAACCCTTAATGAAAAGTATTCTTATTTGCTCGAGATGATATTTTTTTTTATTATTTGTTTTATCCTGTTCTAAATTCCTTGTGATCGGGGATTTCAAGGTGAATTTAATTTCATTTCAAATTGAATTACATTATAATAAAGCGTATTATTTTTCAAAAGAGTATCAAACGCAAAGTAATGTCTGTATACAAAGAAAAATTGCAGCTAATAAATCCTTTAATTAAATTTAGTCATATAAATAACCAAAGAAATTTTTTTTTTATTATAATATTTTTCAATTATTTTTATGGTCATCCCATAACTTAGGATTTGATTGTTAACAAAAACTTACAATTTCAAAAGGTCAATGGGAAAAATACAGATTGATAAAGAAAAAGAGAACTATTGGCTTAAAAAATTGAAATGCTTCCAAACTCTAACAAAGAAGAATGTAGAGTTTAGTTGAAAGTTTCATAAGAATTAAAATTTTCCATGCGCATCTATTTTCAATTAAAAGTGGGCAGGTGATTGTTAAAAAACTTTGTTTTCATAGAATTGAGCTTGCATCCAATCAGCATTCTCTGACACAGAAATAAAATGCCTAGAGGTGGAAAAATGATGTTTTCTAAAGGCTATTCCAATTTTAAGTAAATATATTTTTGACAATCTCCTTCCGCCCTTGTCCACAAAAATAAACAAATCACTAATCCCCTCCATCCTTACATAAGAAAATCCTCATTCCCTTCCCTTTGTTTATTGTTTTTAGGTACCAGTGCACCAGTCCAGGAGGTGCACTCAACATTCGGTGCAACCGCAAGGACCAGACTGCCCTTACCAGGCTTATCAGCGGCCACCTTAAGTCCCTTTCTTTTGAGGGTAGTATTAAAATCTACCCTAACTGCCCCAGGTGCCACAACATGCAGGCTTCCCCCCAACATATACTGGACTGTCTNTTCCGCCCTTGTCCACAAAAATAAACAAATCACTAATCCCCTCCATCCTTACATAAGAAAATCCTCACTCCCTTCCCTTTGTTTATTGTTTTTAAACAATGAGAAAGATATAGTAATATCAATAGTAAATGTCAAAGTTTAAAAACTTTGACATTTACTGTAACAATCTAATTTTAGAATGATGCTGAGTCAACCTTGCCCGGCCCGAGGGTCGAACCAGGGGCCTGTGGCACGACAGCACGAAGCGCTACCGCTCAGCCACCGGGCGTCATTCAGAAAAAAAAGAGGAAGAAAACAGACTTCTTTATCGGCTCGGTTAACAGAAACCTTGGTTAACCAAGGTTCTACTGTAATTGAAATTGAACGGCCCCATAATAGTAGCTCACACACTATAATTACGTAAAATATTACCTGTAGTTTTGAAACATTCTAGAACATGATGGTATTACTTGCTTTGTGTCAGACATAACAGTGGAACTAAACAAATAGTGAACCCCTTAAAGGACAACTAATACCAAAAGCCTCTTGGAATGCATTTCAAAGTGGACATATACACATTGCATTCTTTTGTAAAAAGTTTTTCTGAATTATTTTTATTTATAACTTGTAGTTTTTCATTTTTAACAATATTTACAGGATATTTTGAAATCGGTACCCAAAATTCTTGTTAAATTTTCATACATGTTTATTGTTGATGCAGTGTGTGAACCTAATAATTTTTTTCCATGTGTGTGCATGTGCACATAATTTTTTAAATAAAAAAATATCTGTAAGTTAAGTATTTATTAAACTATATTTTATGGGTACATATTTGTTTTTCTGATTCTGCCGTAATATTAACAACTTTGATTCATATCAGCTTTCATTATCTTTTTATATATTTTTAGGGGCTAAAAGATCTGTTTTCTCTCGTCTTGGTGACAGTGCTGTCAGCAGTTCTACAGATACTGCTAAAGTAATATAAATTTGTTTAAATTCATCATGATAACTATTTTAGTTTCTAAGTGCAAATGGTATTGTTTTTTTTTTCATTTCATTTTAAACGAATAATTTTAAATAATGTAATCAAAGTATATGAAACTGACATGTTGTATCAATATGTCTGTTTCTAGTTTCTATACTATAAATTATACTTAAAATAAATCTGTCAAAATAAAAAAGGCATAAACAGTAAAATGTGTATTAGTTTTGATTGTTTTTCTATTTACATACTCTGATTGTATCAGAATTTTTCACCATTTAATAATGTAGCTTTCAAAATTGGCAAATTAGTACCTCACATTATTGAATAAGAAAAAGAGGACAAGAGGAGAATACTTCACATTCTGCAAATTTTCTCTAATGCATAACACATAAAGATGCAATGTGAAAGAAAAATGTATATTTTTCTCTCATTTTATTTTCAATTACTACAGTGTTTCCCCAACTTATGACTTTCGTGTACCCTTTCTAAATTTTTCGTAACGCTTTGTACCACTAATAAAAAATTAATGTATTTTTTACTTTAAAAAATTCACAAAAGTTAAAAATCACAACTGGCTGTTGACACCACTAATTATTAACTGTTAACTCTGCAAAAAGTAGCCAATAGAAAAATACATAATGGTAAATATTCATGGCTAGCTTTGTTTTGAAATTTGTTTTTGAAATTTTCGTTTGTTGCAAGAACGCGTACCCCCTAAACTGTTCCCGTATCCCTAGGGGGTACGCCTACCACACTTTGGGAAACACTGAATTACTATATTGCTCACATCCTGTAAAGGTTCCATTGATGAACCTAATTTCTTTATAAATTAGTCCCTAAAAATGCATGATATTCTACTTACATACTTAATTTTTACTACAAGTTTATTAATTACAAATTTGTGTTCATTGTAACCTTTTAACCCTAAGTTGTGTAGTCTACACATCATCTGACATTTTAAGCTACATTAATTTTTTTAATTCTTGATTTCAAAGCATTTATAATTAAGTACTACTAATCTGTATCCAAATATTGCCAAGATCATATGTAAAGATAGGTATATCTGATTGCTTACATCTAAATTTTGAAGAGTATATGGTGTATTTCTTTCATTTGTTCTAAAAACAATGTTAATCTGTGGTAGTTTTTGCCATGATTAATAATTTCAGCCCTAAAAAATATTCATGTTTTACTTGATTAAAATTTAATTTTTTTAAAAATTTCTAGGTATTAAATGGAATTCATGAAATTTATAAATGTAATAATTTTTTTGTTAGAGTGCAGTTAAAACAAATGCATCGTCTGTTTTTGAACGTCTTGGACCTAATAAAATGAGCTCAGATGAAATCCCAACTTCTACAGTATTTAGTGATATTGATTTGCAAAAGAGGAATACTCCCCTTCCTTACAAAGGTGTCTTAAAAATGACTGTTGGTAAAAAACGAACAGTTGTTTCTACTTCACCAATGAAAGGTAAAGTTTTGTATATTGATATTCATTTGTATGAACAGAATTGTTTAACTAACGGAATTTTTTTTACTTTTTTATTTCTTTTCTTATGCTTAATAATTACACCAATATTAACTGTGTATTAAATATTGCATTTCTTAATCTGAACATTTGCTTTGTTTCACATGTATCTAAATTTTTTACTTTCTTAATATTTTAATTTTTGAAACTTGTTCGTCTTACCTAAACATCGTCTAGCAGTTTAATTTATTCTTAGTAATAATAATATTAAATATTATTGTAGTATTATTTAAATTTGTGAAAAGAAAAAAAACTTCTCTCTCTTTTGCGCTTAAGATTGTCAAATATGCTTGACTTGTCTTACAAAAAATTATTTATCTGTATGAAAATATTTATATTTTAATATCTTCAAGGTTATTATTTATTGTCATTAATATCAAGGTCATATATATAGTTGATTATAACTTACATTTTTTTATTATTACTGTATTAGTTATTATAATTATCACTGAATATAAGTGGGTTATCACTATAATATATCACTCTAAGAGTTTATATATCACTTTTAAACCTTTGAAAACTACTGAATGACTAATGATTGATCAATTCTTNTCTATTAGTTATTATAATTATCACTGAATATAAGTGGGTTATCACTATAATATATCACTCATAAGAGTTTATAAGAGTCACTTATAAGAGTTTATATATCACTTTTAAACCTTTGAAAACTACTGAATGACTAATGATTGATCAATTCTTGATGAAAGCTCAAATTGTTTTATTTATATGGCATATTTTTTTATATACATATTTTTAGTCAACTTTTTTTTTCTTAAATAATCTGTTGTAATCTGAATAATACTAACTTTTTAAAATCCAAATTTCTGTTAAATCAAGGATTAATGAATATGATAATAATATTCTAAGATTATTGTGATTGATAAGAAAAATCTATGATGACTGATCTACCTCTACCTCTAAAAATACTAATACCTCTTAAAAAATATGTAACATGTAATAAAAGTCTAATACCTCTTAAAAATGAGCCCTGGGCAACAGCCCCATATGCCCCTGCCTTAGTCAGGCTCTGTCTGTCGTTATATATTTCTGTACTCTTTTCTGTACAGTTCTTTGGTTTCGGAAGTTGTAAAGATGACTCAATCACCGTACAATGGACAAATCTCTAATTTCTTAACTAAGTTTGCTAAAAAAAAACTAAGTTTAAGGATATCAAAGACTTTAAAAATATAAAAATTGAATGAAGAGTTTCCCTAAAGGAGACTCTTAAAGTGTTTCTGCCTTAACAACTGGGTAACAAGCTGCATTACACCAGGAGGAGATTACTTCAAAGCATATTAAATTCGTTATGTAATTCTTTTTCATATTTTTGTTAGTTATTAGATCAGTCCTAAAAGTTAATAATAGCTCGTTGTATTGCATTTCAGAACTTTGGATTATTTATATTACTAGTTTCAGTTAATAGCTTTTAGGCTATCTGTTAATGATTTATTTTCTCATTATATATGTTGAATCATGTGTATTATGTAATAAATATTTAATTTGTTTTATGTTTCTTATAACACAGTTGTTGATATCTTGTATCTCTTTCAGGAAATGTACGTGCCAGAACTGTCATAAAGCCTCGCCAAGAGAAACTTCCGAACATCAATATCACTAAAACTATTCGAATAAACCAAATAAATTCAATTCTTGCTACCAGAAAGGAATCAGCTCAAACTTTAAAAAGGCTTGGAGCAGGATCAAAGTCTCAGGGTCTTTTTGGTAATTTACATTATTTCTTATGTTATTTTTTTCTCTGAACATGTATATATTAACTTAATATTTTTGATTCGTAGTGATGAATAATTAAGCAAAAATTAATGATATAGTGAAGTTATTAACTTCATATTATTAATTTGTAGTGATGAATAATTTAGCAAAAATTAATTATATACAGTGTAACGTCCCATATCCAGACGTCCCTTTCCCGGAAGGGTCGATTTCCTGGACACTTTTTAACAATCAAAATAAACAAACATCTCTCCATCTTCCCCTTTCCTTAAAAAAAAAAAAAGGTCTTTTGACACATTTTCTCTTTTTCTAGCTTGCACTGAACCTCTGATTTATGCATCGAACCCATAAATCACCAGAAAGGGGAAGTGAAGATCTACCAAGACCATTGAGTGACCGTTAGTGACGCTCCTCCCTTGGAATGTAGGAAAAAGAGGGAGATTTGTTTTCAAAAGACCGCAACTGAGTCCCCTCCCCCCCTCCTTTCCCATGCAGGTGGCTAGTAAAAGAGGCATTTCCTGGAACCTTTTTATTGAAAGAAGAAATACTGTGGAAACGGGGTAAGCGTTAAGGTGGAGGGGGAGTCAAAATGGAAAATTTGAATAGGTCTAAAAGGATACACGTCCTTGAGAAACAAAACATTCGTTCTTCCCCATACCATGTAATATTTAGGAGGCGGGGGGAGAGGGGGTAACGTTCTTTCTTTAGCAGATTCTTTTAGTCATAGAAGAAAAAATAAAGAGAATCTGATCAGCGTGCCCCGCCTTTATGCTTGATTGATAGCCAATGATTGGAGAGAAAACAATAATTTGTTACTTCCCCACCCTCAACTTAAATGATCTCCTCTTTACACTTATTTTCTTTCATAAATAAGGAGGAAATGAATTTTTCTCCTCCTCCTACCCACCTTAATGAATGACGGGAATTTCCCTTTCTTGCTTGAATCATTCTAGTTAAAAATGACGGATTATTATTTTCATATGTCAATATTTTTTCGTTTTCTATATTTTAAGCAATTTTTTATTCTAATATTAAAACATTATTCCCTTTAAAAATAATGTTTATTTATTTTTTGTTTCTTAGATATAGATCATTTAAAGCTTTGTTCCAGAATGACATNTTTTAAGGAATAATTTTTTTTTTTTAATATTTCATATTTTATTGATTAGATATTCTAACATTAAAACATTATTCCCTTTAAAAATAATGTTTATTTATTTTTTGTTTCTTAGATTTAGATCATTTAAAGCTTTGTTCCAGAATGACATGAATTTCCCCTTCCTGCTTGAATCGTTCTAGTTCAAAATGGCGGATTAATATTTTCGTAACCTTTAATTTTTTTTCGTTTTCCATATTTTCAGCAATAATATTTTTTTTCTAATATTTTATATTTTATTGATTAGATATTCTAATGCTGAAACATTATTCCCCTTGAAAATAATGTTTATTTATTTTTTGCTTCTTAGATTCAGATCATTTATTAAATCATTTTAAGCTTTGTTTACCTTGGGGGGTCAATTATACGGAAAAATCTATTATACGAACTTCTGGAAGTCCCACCGATTCCGGATGCGCGACTTTACACTGTAGTGTAGTTATTAATTTCATAAGTTTATATAAGTTATTTATTGTTGTTGTTGTTTCTAATGTAACTTGCCACACTAGCAAGCCTGCTTGGTGAAACCAAGCAAATTTAAGGCAGAGGGTGCGTTTGTTTTTCAGTGACGCAATCTATGGCCAAGAAATCGTCTTCAGCCACACACACGTCATATCCGTTTATAGGGCGGACCCATTCATTCATCCACAGATTGTAATTTTTGACCTGGATCAAAGCACGATCGATCTTCAATACAGTACCCCCAGAGCTATTGATTTGTTATGGAAGCATGGAGGACTTTGCGACTCCACAGATTTAATGTGCATCAGTCACGGGGAGTCTTCGTCTGGCGTGTTTCGAACCCACAAACTCTCGGGCATGTGCCCGGCACCCTACTGAATGGAAGTAAAAAATTTTAAAAAGAATTATCCTGCATGGCTTAAAAGGTGAATGAAGAATTTTTTATCATCTGAACTATTACGGCAAGAGTTGAAAGTGATATCTAATCTAATCTAATACGGATCCTAGAAAGGTTAGAAAACATTTTTAAAGAAATTTTAGGAAGGTAAGATCTTTTGTTAGTCTATTGTGCAAAATGGCTAACAAATAGAATTGAATATACTTGCTATTGTAGTGAAGAAGCAAATTTATGACAGATTCAAAAAAAAGAAAGAAAAAAAAATCAAAAGACGCTGGAGTTCCAATTAGTACATTGTCAACAATTCTTAAGAATAAAAGTAATATAGCAGTATTTTTTGCTTTGATGCTTTAAAAAAAATTATCTTCAAAGTTAATGTCCAAGAGCACATTTGAAGCCAATTGTCCATTTAGAAAGGGCAATAAATAAAATACCATCCATTTCAAGTAAAGAAACATTAATGGAATCTTTTTATTAAAGAATTATTTCTTGTACATGCTGTTTTTTATGGGTTACTTTTTTTAAAAAAAAAGTATGTAAAAAAGTTCTTTATTCTGCTATTGGCAACAAGTAATTTTTGATAACTCAAGTATGGATTTTTAAAATTAAATGACAATGAAGTGTTAGTAGCAAATTTGTCAAAAAACTATTGAAGCAACTGTTTTTTTTTAAATTCTTTTACTGAATTATGAAAAATTTGTACACTGCCTTTCAAAGAATGGCATGGTTTTGTTAAAATTAGTCCAATATTAGTCATGAGTAAATATTTTTGTAAATTATGATGCTCATTCTTATTAAAACAAAGAGTTGAATTAGTGTAAATGTAATAAAAAAGTTTCAATTTATTCTGTATTTCTTGCACATTGGTAATTTTTTTCAGCAAATATGTGTATATGAATGATAATCTTGGTACTTTTACCTGTCAGATTTTCATGAAATTATATTCCTAAATTAAACTCTCATCACCAAACATGTTTTTATGAGTAACGTCAAATAATTTTATTTAAAATAGGTGGAGCTATATCTCATAGACTTGGTGTAAAAGGCAGGTTAGGAGGTCAAGTTTCCAATTCAAATGCTCGAAACAAGATATTACTTTCAAAAGTCAAGCTACCAAAAAAAGGCTCCTCTAATGTTTTCGACAGGTTAGGAAGGTAAAAAGAGTTCCTTACTTATCCTATGTTTCTTCAACAGTATCTATTTCTTGTTGATTCGTTTTATTTAAATTTGCTATTATTCTTTTGTTAGTTTTCTATATCTCAAATTAAGTCAAATATTCATTTCCATCCAAACATCTCAGTGTATGTAATTTTCAAACCATCAAACTTTATCACAGCTTTTCTTGGCATTATTCATGTTCATAATATAGACAGGGTGTGTAGCATTTTTAAAAAGTGCTTATTTTCAATTTTCTATTTTTAAAAGCCCTTAAATGTGCTTTTTTCATTGGGTGTTTTTAAAAATTGCTTAATTTTCCCTTTTTCAAATTGAGATTTTTTCTTTACTATGTTGATTTTCGCTACGAACTATGCAAAAAAAAAACAGTTCACATTGTTCTATTCAACTTTTTCACAATTAATTCAACTCCAATCTATTTCGGCGTACCGTCGGTCCGTAGTGTATGAACTGACAAAACAATACCTGACAAACAATACCAAAAAGTCAAAAACAATACCAAAAGTTTTTTTTGACATGACGGTTAAAACAAGATAAAACCGTCAATTGTCAAAAACTTTTCAACCCTGCCTAATTAGGATATTTTTTAAAGTGCTTAAAAATATTTTTTGAGTGCTTAAAAGGTGCTTATTTTTTGTTTAATAATTTGGCTACGCACCCTGATAGATTTTCGCTGTATCAGAAATACCTAAAATTCCAAGATAATTTTAAATGCCTTATCATTAAAATCTTGTTGATTTGATCAAGTAACTGTTTTTGCTTTTGCACATATCCTTATAAATCAAACAATATCTACTCTCTTCTGTGAAGCTTCGATAATAGGAATATTTATCTTAAAAAGTTCCAGTTTATGTGTTTTTAGTGCTTTAACTATAAATTATAGTTTTAACTAAACTATGTGTGCCTATCATTGTTAACTAATCTTATAACAGGTAATGCTTATTTCATTATATTTTTGGCCAAATGATTTGTTCTTGTATGTCATTTCTTATAAATAATTTCTCTAAAATCTATTGTTGGTATTATTAAAATGGAAAAAACTGAATAAAAATTTTTAGGCTTTTAAGAATTTCCTCGAAATTGTATGCATGTTATGCACTCTCTAGAGGTTTTAAAATTATTCCTAAAAACGCTTTTACAGAATAACCTAGGTTGGATTTTTATTAAAGTTGCTTCTCATCATTCTTAATTAGCTTAACTCATAACTTAGAATAGTTTGCCTCTGAGAATTATCAAGCCTGTATTCATAGCCTATATCCATAATGTCAAATACAGAGAGAGAAAAAACTTTTTTTTGGGAACATTTTTCTTTTTTATTATTTGGTACTAAAATGCCCACAATAAAAAATTGGGAGTTATGAGTTTTGATAACTACTCAAACATTCTGCTATATGATTTATTCTTTTTACTTGGTCAAGAACTCAGACATAAAAATAAAAGTTTTTTATTCTCTAAATAAAATACATCAAATTTATTGTATAAAAAAATTTCTTATTGGCAACTATTTTAATTTGTGTACTTTATTGTAAATATATCACAGAATGCTTAATTGATTTTGATCTTTCCATCTAATTTTTATAAGTAGTTTTAAAGATTGATTAAAAAGATAAATTACACACATTATTTAATCAAAATATAATTTTTAAACTGTAGTCGCAATAAATCCTTTTTAAATCTCTTTCTTAGGTAGTTTATCTGGAATGTACAAATTTACACTGGATTTTATTTTTACTGTACAAGAGACGATATAGCATCTTTTTCATTGCATCTGCAATATGGAAAGTTGCAACAAGGCTGAAGCCATGGTTTCCAGATAGTATTCGAGAAACTGAACTGGCTTGGCACATATTCAACTTCTCTCTCATGTTTTAACTTTGCTTTTTCCGCATTTGATAGAATTTTATAGTAATTCTGATTTATTTCTGATGAGTTTTTCTCCGATGGGTCATCTGTGATGTCATACAACAGTGGATTTTGGTGATGAACAACATGATCTCCAAAGCAATGGCACACATATTGACATCGTTCAGTTCCAGGAATAAATTTCGGTGTAGTCCAGTGTATTTTCCATACTTTTTGTTCTGTAAGAAAACATTGTTTAATAAAAAATGTCCCATTTATATTTGGATGTGATTTCTTTATGTAGAAGTGTTTGTTTGATTTTCTCAACTTTGCCGTATGTTCAACTTTATTGTATTTTTTTACTGGATAAATTGTTATTGAAATTTTTATTTAGTTTAATGGAATTGTAATAAAATTTTTTATTTATAACAGCAATTTAAGGGGGGAAAACATTTAGTGACACTTAACATCCTATTTAAATTTTAAAACTTTATTTTTTTATGTCTAAACGGTTTCCTAAAGTACAATATGAATAAAACAAAATTGAAACATGCAAAATAGAATGAGAAAAAATAAGAACAAGCTAGGAAGAAATATGTTATGTAATACAGACGAAGCTTGGCCCATGCTTCCCACATATTTCGCTTTCCCTTATGTGTTGTCTTTTAACGGTACAATCACCAACGCTATTCTTCTTAGATGGTTAAAAATACCCATTTAGATAGGCCCTGGTATCTGCTAGTTTTAAAAACTTTTGTTCAGAAATTGTACCGACATTTTGGAAATATATTAAAGTTCTTCGGTTTGAGCAGAAAAACTACTCCTGGTGATAATGAAGCAGAAAATGAGGCTTTGTTTCATGTTTAAAAAAAAAAATGTCTCAAACATCACGTATGCTGTTTATGCATCAGTTGATAAAAATTTAAAAACTTCTGGAGTTGTAGGTTGGATGAATAGTTGCAAAAACTGAAGAAGTGCTAAATAATATCAATGAAGATGGCAAAACAGATCAAACCCAATGCAAACTATTTATTGGTACTGTTAGTAACTAAGACTTGTTAACTCTTATTTATTTACACTGAAACCATGTTATATAATTTTAATGATTTTGAAAGACCTATGTTGTAACTAAGAACAATAAAAAAAAATTACCTTCTTGTTGAATATAAGTTGCAGCATGAATAGTTTGCCCACAGTAATGGAAGAGAAATTTGTGTGGAGTCTTAGTAACTCTGTCTGTTAACATAGGAACCAAAGATTTTCCATCTATCAAACGATCTTTAGGTGGAGATATGTCTGCCAATTCTAAAATAGTGGGGAAAATATCCATTTGTGATGTTGTAGAACTTATTTCTCCAGTTCTAATAGCACCTGGCCAAGAAATGATACCGGGAACTCTAATTCCACCTTCCATGCCACCCATCATTTTGCCACCTAAAAGTTGAAAGTCCAAAGATTTTTCCTTTAAATAAATAAAGATTAGTGACGAAAATAATTAGAGGCCTCATTGAATGAAAATGATTAACCCACATCTTATTAAAAAAAAATCACTCACCATATGTTAATAATTATATCTAATAAATAACACAACTTTAACAGTTAGGAATAATTTTAACTGTTAAAGTTTTGTTCATTTCTGGCCAGTGTTTTCTATGTTGATTATAATAATGCAGAAAAATGTCAGAATGAAAAAAATCCAGTTGATTTATAAAAATTAAAAAATATTTTTTTCGCCATATTTGAAAAGTTAGTTTAACACCACAATGTTTTTAAGCTCATAAAAATTGAGAATTAATAATTGAATTTAAGATAAAAATTCTCACCAAATTGCTTATTTGCTAAAATTAATAACCTTTATTTTAAATATTTGTATATTTTATAGTCTAGTCAATTATTTTCAACAATATATATAAGCATTTTGATTTCAGATGTTCAATTTTTGTTTTGTTTTTTTCCTTTTAGATGAAAGAATTTATTCAAAGTTACATAATGTGGCTGGCATCTAAACTGTGAACGAATGTTCACCTAAATGTTTATTGACTAATAATTGCAGGTGTTTATAAAAATATGAAATTTTTCCTTCTTCCCTGATCAATAAACATCTCTTGCAAACTTTAAATGATAAATGTAAAAAAGTATAACTACCAGTTTTTGAAAGCCAGACAGTTATATTGTTCAAAGTGTATCAAATCCTTACCTCTAAGAACACCATTATAACCTCCTTCTCTCTGCCCATCTCTCCCTATTTCTTCAATATGTCCTCCATTGTCAGATGAAAAATAAATGAAAGTGTTATTCAGCATATTATATCTTTCTAAATCAAGAACTATTTCACCGACAGCCCAATCCAGCTCCTCAATGTTGTCACCATATCGTCCATGCTTACTCTTCCCTGCAAACTCATTTGAACAGAATAAAGCAGTATGAACATGAACAAATGGCACGTAAAGAAAAAAAGGATTTTCTTCTTCAGATTGCTTTTCCAGAAAACTTCTCACTTCCCTTACAAAACGCTGAGTCAGTCCTTGTAACTGAACTGGTTGTTCTATCACATTTAAGTTCTGCATTAAAATACCATTCAAAGTTTTCAGGTTCAATAAAAATGTGACAACTAATGCTGGAGTTATCGTGAACAGTAGCAGGATAAAGATTGAAAAATTTTTGTGTTTTTTAAAAAGGAATATGAATAAAGTGAATCCAGAAATAGGAACGAGTGATATATAGGAATAAAAATTAGGTACATAAGCTGTGATGACACTTTCACCATCATTCCCCAAATCTTTAAAATTGGACAATGGTAAACCATAAAAGTAATCAAAGCCATGGTTTAGTGGATGGTGACAGCCATCTCCCTTTTTTATACAATCATTTCCCAGGTGCCATTTACCTGAAATGATAACAAAATCAGTATTCCTTACATAATTCTAAAGAAATACCAAAATTTAGTATGAATATATTAAATGTCATACCAAATGTGAATTTATATCTAAGATGTTATAATAAAAATGCTTAGAACAAATCATTTTTGAAGTGTGCACTATCATTTGTTCAGTTACTGAAGACTATCGAGTGTAGTCAGTTTATTAATCATTACCTGTAAATTTCAAATGAGCTCATTATCATTAGTTCACCTAGAGAGGGTTAATAACTAATTTAAGAAAGAAAAAAAAAAGATTGATATTTACAGAATATAATTTACTACTTGTAACGAAATTGCTTATTGTTTTACATTAAATACTCAACAGAATGAATTTTATAACTAGTAGCTTGAATAAATTTTTATAATAACTTACAAATCTAGAAAATGTTCTAGAACTAGAATATATTTTTCTAAAATATATATTTATTTGTATGTTGCGGATAATTTAAATTTCAGGTTGTGACACTTTAATTTTCAGAACCACTTGTGAAATAGTTAAAATTTTAATAATACTTTTAAAATATTCCACAAACTCTTATTGAAAGCAACAAATTACTGTGTTAATATGGATGCCTCATTCTCAACCCTATTACCATGGACTTCTCCATACAGATTTTCTTTGCAAACTTTAGAGTTATGTGAGCATGTTTTTCTCCAAAGTTATCATCAAAAGCTGTGGTAGCTCAGGGGATAGAAAATTCACCTTCCAATGAGGTAACCCAGGTTCGAATCCCAATGGTGCCTGGTTGATAGGAATTCTGCTTCCAGCTCACACCAACCACAATATAGACGAAAAATATGTAGGTCATAGGATCATGGGTCAGACAAACTGTGGGAGGTTTTTGTGGTTTTACCGTCCATGTAACACAAATGCGAGATATTTCTATTAAAAAGTGGTTTACAATTACTAGTCTGTCCCAATACTCGATCCAGGAGTTCTCTTGTATTTAGGGCTGGGTTCAAAATTACAAGGCTACCGAGTTGAAAATTGGTAGTCGCAAATTCAGAATTGAGTCGGCTGTTCAACGCCAGTTATGAAGTAAATAAAAAGTCAACTTCACTGTATGGGTGCTATTGATATGTCTCAGTATGCCATGAGGGAAAATAACTTACTCCCTGAGGTTGAGGAAAAGGAAATTAAGTTTTATTATGTCAAAGAATAAATCTTTTTTTCCCCTTCCTATTGAACCTATTAAGTCTTTATCTAATTCCAAATTAACTCTCTAGATAGTTATGGAATTAAACAAAGCAGTATTTGGACATTTAAAATGAAAATATTTTTTTATTTTATTCTACCAATAATAGCTGTATTGTATTCTTTTTTCTTCAATGCTTTGGCAATGGTGATTTCATTCTCTGGAAGTCCTCCACTAGCTGCAATAAAGAAGAAAACTTTGTTCCTGTCAGTACTCTCCATTCCTAAAATAAAAAATTACATTAGAAAGTGAACCTCACTGTTAGAGCAGTTAAAAGTTGTTTTATATAATTAACAAAATTATTTCATTTCATTAGAAAATTGCAATGAAAATATTGTATATCTTTGTTAGGAAATAGGAAATGAAAGTGTTTTTCTTCTTTTGAACTTGTTAGAAAACTTAGAAGCAATTTTATGTTCATAACAAATTTACTTAATTCTGTAACTGTCAAGTACAATTCTAGTTATGAAGAGGACCTGTTTGCTTTATTGCTCAAGTATTGCAGGCATAGATATGTCATTTTTGTTAGATAGGTGGACCATGTCCTCCAAGTCAGTATCATTTATATGTATACAACAATTTTTTCTAATTCTTAATAAAATAAAATTCACTATTTAAAATTCAAATCAATGAAATAAACTACTTCAAGGATGGTCAAGTGCATTTATAATATGTCTCAGGTCCACCCAGGTCTATAACTAGTCACTGTAATGTGTTAAGTAGTTTTAATATAGGTTTCTGAATTTATTTTTTGAGAGGAGAGAATAAAAATTATATCTGCAATACAGTTACTATAGTTCTCTAACTTACATAAAAAATTGAAACTATTTTTCTATGAAGAAACAGCACTCAACAGGTATGTTTTGAGCAATTTTCAAAGGGTTAAAAGATACAAATAAAATTTATCGATGAAATTATTCTTTATAAAAATTTAAAAAAATTAAAAACTGGAGACAGATTGAGTACCAATATTTTAAACCCTGATCTAATTCTTAACAATTTAAAATCAGATTGACAAAGTTAAAATCTGTCATGGACTTAACATTCTGATGTCTTTAATGAAAAGGCAGTAATCAAATTCTGCTTTTATTATTGCTTTTTTTATTAGATTCCTATTATTGATTTTATGGTATTACAACACAGTTAAATGATTGGGGATATCTGCATCTAATATCCATATTGTAGTCATTTGATTTTATGTACTAACTATGTACCAAAGGATGTTTATACTTGTAAATATTGTAAAAAATTCATATACTATACTTCTTTTCACTATATAAATATATGTATAATAGTGTCATGCCCAGGAGTCGTTACAATTTATATCCTTTGAGTTGTTTTAGTTAGTAGTCTGTTTTAGTTTCTGGGAATATTTCAGCATTGTGATGTATACCACATTAATCGCCAGGCTTTGGCTATTTCTGAACTATGACCTGCAAGTAACTAAATATAAATTTTTTTTAAAAAACACCATAGAAGGGGACAGATTTGCAAAGTATAACTTATAGCCACCTCAGGGTAAACTTTTACATGCTTTTTTGCAAAAATTTGCAAGATTATAATACATTTGGTGTTTTGGCGAATTAAGTTATCATGACCGTTCACAATGCGGAAATATTCTCTTTTCGCATGCAACTACCATGTTTGGGGAAGATTTCCAAATTGTGATATGCAGTAGAATAAAGCGATCAGAGCGAAACTAACGAGTAACAAAAAAGAAGGAAAAAAAACATCACAGAAGGTGACCAACTAGAAGGGTATAACTTGTATCCACCCCCAGGCAAATCTCTAATTTTTATTAAAGAAAATTTGCAAGTTTAAAATCCATTTAACGCCTCGGCGATTGCAGTTGGCATGATATATTACGATACGGAAACATCCACAAAAAAAAAATAATGTTTTCAGGCTGGCACCTGTTTCTCAAAATCTGTTTTATCTCGAAACTAACGGACTGCTTTTATATCTTTGGATAGCAGCATTCTAATCATATTTTAAGTCAATTTCTTTTGCGTAGCTTTGTGCTACTCACCAGATCGAATAGGATATCTTCCGGTAAGAAGGGCCGCTCTGCTAGGAGTACAGACAGCAGCAGCAGTTAAATGGTGAGTTAATTTTAAACCATTTTCCGACAATTTATCAATATTTGGTGTTTTAATTGTATGATTTCCAAAGCAACCAACATCACCGTATCCTAAATCATCTGCAAGAAATATAACAAAATTTGGCAAACTCTTAGCTGCAGTTGCTAGCCTAAATAAAAAGTAAAAGCTTGTAAGTATCACTTGTGTCTTCATTTTTAAGTAATTGTAAAAATTAATTCTACTTATTTGCAAATATTTCCTTATTACAAAAAATAAACATTTTTCATAAAGATAAGCTACATAGAAATAAAGTATATTTCAAAAATTTCTGAGCAGACAAAGTTCTTGTTTATTTATTTATAGCTTAATGCTTTTTTTATTAGTTTTCAACGGTCTACTTTTGTACTATCAAAGCTTGTTCTTGAAAGCTTTTTTTTAGGAAACTTCCGGTCAGCTGACGCTGAGAAAGTCAAGAAGAAGAGCGTCAGAAAAACATTTACCACTGCTGACCTGCATAAATCATGTGAATAAAGTGCCAGGTATTTGACTTAAACAACGAATTTTGATTTTTAAATTAAAAAAAAGTTATCTCATGTTTCATTTAGCCAGCCAAATGCCTCACCAGCTAGCAGAGTCAGACACTTAGAGTGCAGAATTTTTGAACTAAGCTAGACACTCATTTTAATCCATATTATCATTCAGTTTTGACTCTATATAAAATTATTAGAATCTTTGTTTATAAAAAGAAAAAAATTCTTTAAAAAAAGTGGCAGTGGTGATGAAGATATAGTGCTTAAGGAAATACCAATCTAATTCTGTATTATTTATTTAATTGACTTTTTGTTCATTTAATATCATTCCTAAACAAAAAATTTAGCCACTAATACCTAAAACTATATAATCGACTCTCTCCATAGAATTCACTCATTGCCAAATGTGTCTCTTCGACTTGGTAAGTACTTGCAAGCGCCATATTGTCACATGTTCATTTTTGCGACTCACATGACCTGTTGTTTGGCCCCGTGATCACTACCACATTACTTCCTGGCAAATTCAAAATATTTACTCCTGATCACATGGATATGCTCGATGAAGAATTAGATGCCAGGTAAGTATTAATAATGTGTTTTCTAAAGAGCAGTTGAATATTCAGAGCATAAGCAATCACACTTCCAATGCAACCATCACAAAAATTAACGTTCATGACGATTGGTGATCGTAGCAGGAAGTACTGGTTACCATGGCTTTTAACCTTAAAAAAAGTAATAAATACTTATCTATACTGTAAAATGTAGTTTAGTAAATAATGTCAACAAACTTTTAATTCTATTGCATATAAATATGATTGTAATGGATATTAAATGTATATTTTTGTAGATATGTTACGTGCCTGTTTCTGTTAAAATATTTTTGGAACATAAGTCAATCTTTTTATTTATGTATTAATTAAAATTTTCGGATGAAGGTGAAGTATTTGTCGTATTTCTGCGAAAACCTGATCATGCCGTAAACGCTAAAGAAGATTAAATTCTATAGTGTAGATTTGTTTCAAAGAAGTAGTAGAGTTTGTATGTACCTGTTATAAGCTGGCTGAGGATATCTAAGAATTAAAATGTTCAATTGATTTGAATACTGAAACTGTTATCACCCAGGCTCTTGAGTACATAATTATGTGTGTTCGACATTGCATTGTGTTGATGTGTTTGCCAAGTTGATATTGCTTTGTTAAGGCATTCTTGGTTAAGTAAATAGGTTGGTGCAAATTGCTGATTTCTGCTTTCTATTTCTTACTTCAAAGCTCCAACCCTGGTGGTAAATGTCTACTATTGGCTGTGAAAACTCTTAAACTAGATATTTCAATTGAAATGCTCTTGACTGCTCATGTCTTACCAAATGCTTATCGTGTATATCTTAGGTCTAGGAATAAATGTTGCATTATTGAAATAGCAAAAAGTAAACTCATAAGAAATGAAAATCCATTAAATGTGAATTAAGACTTCTACTCTTTCACTAGGTACACACTTGGTTATCCAAATATTCTATGGGCATTAATTTATCTCTGATAATAATGAATTTAAGTCATGGTTGATCAAATTAAGTTCTCAAATTAGTGTTTTACTAGGTACACACTTGGTTATCCAAATATTCTATGGGCATTAATTTATCTGTGATAATAGTGAATTTAAGTCATGGTTGATCAAATTAAGTTCTCAAATTAGTGTTTTACTAGGTACACACTTGGTTATCCAAATATTCTATGGGCATTAATTTATCTGTGATAATAATGAAATTAAGTCATGGTTGATCAAATTAAGTTCTCAAATTACTGTTTTACTAGGTGCACACTTGGTTATCCAAATATTCTATGGGCATTAATTTATCTGTGATAATAATGAATTTAAGTCATGGTTGATCAAATTAAGTTCTCAAATTACTGAATTGCAATTATTATAGATCAGGGTCCTTTCGTAAAGTAAAAAATATGATAACTGCAGGCCGACAAAATCTACTTTTTAAAAGGTAATAAATAATTAATATTGTAATGAAAGCAGCACACTTTGTTCTTATCGCTTAATGCAAACCATTCCAAGTAATTTAACATTTATTACACAAACCATCTGGCGCCTCGACTATTGTAGTTGATTGCAGGCAGATGGCAAAATTTCTCCTTTAAAAATTATTATTCAACTTAAAATCAATGTTATGCAGATAGAAGGTGAACGGAAATAGTCGATTATGATTCTGAACCCAGGGTGGGAATTCTCTTTGAAAATGGGAAAACCTTATAATTCTTAGAATTGAAAGGCACAGTTTAAAACCTAGACTTCTTAGAGAAATTTGTCCTTAATTCTGGAAGTTTTTGCAGTATCAGTAATTAGGAGCATTGTCATAAATATTCCAATGAAAATTTCATCACGCAATTTTATAACAAATGTTTCAAACTGCTATTCGCTTTTATGCAACTAATTATGTATATTATTTTGTAATTAAAGTGTGGTTTTGTTCATTTATTTATTCGTCATCAGTGCTATTTTAATAAATATTCTAAATTTTTCTTATATTAATAAAAAAATTTCATTACTTTTTTTTCACCCCTTTACGATCGGTTAATTTTCAAGAAAACGGTCATAAAAGTGCCTATTTTTTTGTATTAAGTATTTGATTAGTGCTGCAACTAGTTTAAAATAAACTAACTATCTACAGTTACCTTAAAAATATCCTGGTACCAGAGCTCATTCTAGACAGAAAAAAGGGCAGGGTGCAAAATTTAAAAAAAGGGCATTATTATTCTAAAAAGGCAATAATTTCGTTTTATGGGCCTCACCCGTTCTATTAAAAAACATTGTCAATTAGTAAAATAATTTTTTTTTTTTAACTTTACTAAAAGTAGCAAGGCAATCATTAATTACTAATTTTTATTAATAAATTAACATATATATCGAGTTAATGAGCTAATTAGCTTAGTAATTTATTTAAAATGCATGCATATATTAATAAAATAATAAATGTATGTTTTTAAGTGTCTGTAGTTATAATTTAATAATTAAAATGATTAATAATAATTATAATTTAATGATAGTGGAAGTAGCTGTTAACTTTCAATGACAAGTGCAACCAGGGGGTGTGATGGCTATTTTTCCTTTCCCATATAAATCTATGTATTGACGCAATGACAAACTAAATAAAAAGAGTTAAAAATAACAAAAGTTTAAGAAATCCATTGTAGAGTTTGGGGAAAAAGTAAAGGGTTGAGGAAAGAAAGGGCGAAAAGGGTATGGAGTATATTACATCAGGGCACTAATTTACTTTAGGGGCAACAGGGTAGATTCTTTTGACTAAAAAGGCAGCAGGGTGCTGCACCCTGTTTACCCTGCCTAGAATGAGCTCTGCTGGTACTGCTATCAGGTGTGTAAAATGATAAATAAAATGTTTTTCGGGCAGAAGAAATGAATTAGTTTTATTCTTATTGGTGTGTTGCTACTGAACACTCCAGCCCCTCAATATCACGGGAGCGAGAAATAGCGGGCAAAATCTCACCCCATCATTTTCACAGGAGCGAGAAGGTTACGCCAAAAAAAAAATCCAGCTTTCATTAATTTATTTTCTTTAAGGATAATAAGCATGTTTGAGAACTTCCTATCTAAATTTTACATTAAAATTAATGATAAAAAATTTTAATATAAATTATGAAATATCATAACTTTAGGCATGAAATAATAAGTTTTGCTACTTTAAATCATAAAAATTTGGAAAATTTTTCTCATTTTACTAACTATGTATTATATTTATTTACAAAAAAGATATATTACTATTTTAATATAATAAATTGAACAATATTTTTCTATTAAATGTTTTGATTAAAATTATTGCAAAATAAATATCTGAAATTTGTACTGAACATTCTAAATATTTAATGCTAGAATTTTATAAAATTTACCATTTTAAGTGATTTTTTTTCATAATGTAAATACATGTTTTTTATCAGCTGACACAAAAAACATCCTTTAAAATATTAAGAAAAATATTTCCATGAGCATGTCTTCCCCACTTCTTCGAGCAAATCCACTACATTAATTATTGTTTTCCAAGTCTAAAGATTTTTAATTTGTAGCCAAACAGAATGCTTATTATTATATTTAAAATGGAATAGTCTTTGATTTGATAAAATTTTATTAATGCTCCAGTGTTCAACCCTTTGAGCATTGATTATCATTCCAAACGTTAAACTGCAGGCTTTTCCTATGTTATTTAATAGAATTGTTCTGTGTACCACTCAAATTTTGTTACAATTTTGGCTAAGGGCTGAACACTTGAGGATTAGTCCTATTTATTAACTGCTTTGCAAAAAAATACACAGTAAAATATTATAAGCTTAGTAAAAATCAAGTGTATCTCAGTGTTTATAAAAGTGTATGTGTTAAAAACCTAATTTTTTTATTAATTTTTTTTTCACTTGTGAAATAATTATTAAAACATTCATTTATTTATTTTCAGAGCAGCACGTGCCATCAAGACTGAAAAAAATTTCCTGCAACAAGTTTATGTAGATCAAAAGTATGCTTTCTCATTTTTGATTTTATTTTTTGTTTGCAAACAACATTTTGTCACAGTTAATTGCTGAGTTTATTTTAAGTAAACTGAGCATCAGTCTTCTCTCATCAGAGTGTCAGAATATTTGACTTTGGCGGATTTGTTCTTTATTGTGGTCATTAACTATCAATACCTGATCAGACCAATTCCAATCACTATAATAATGGCTTCTCTAAGCCAATTACTACTTTTACAATTACCCGTTAAGTTTTTTTCTTTTCTTCTCATTTCCACCTATGGTTCAGTTGTCACCAAAACTTTGCAACCACATGGGTGCAAGTCTTCCTTCCCCAGGACGGATTTCCGTCTTTCGAAAATGTCCGCGGACGGAAGTAAGACGGAAACAAGACAGACTCGAAGACGGAAATCGGAATTTTTTTCTTCTTCTGTCCTTAAAAATATTTTTTAGGTCTACGTTATTGGTCTACTTTCTTATGTCCTGTTGTTATTTTATCAAAAGACAGATGAATAAGTATTTTTTGTACAGTATTTAAACTTGATGTATTATGGTAAAGCTTTCTTAGATAGTTTGCATATGTTGAGGGGGTATTGTGTATGTTAGGTATTTCAGTCAAAAAATTTTCAGTCTTGGCCTTTTTTCCAACTTGCACCCATGGGCAAGATAGTGCATTATCAACATGGCAGAGAAAGAAAAATATTGTAGGTTCAACTAATAAATTTTATGTAAACTATTGAGTAGTGGCACAGTNGTCAATAGCTACGTAACGTGAAAAATTCTCGTCCATTTCATTTTCTTCATTGCTGATCATTTCTTCGAAACAGTTATGAGCCCCATCTCCATCTCCATTGAAGCTTCACGTTGACTACATTTAGGAAACTTATCATAGTTTTACAACACTTCGAATTTATCTTTAAGACTCAAATCCATCCTTTTCAGCATGCTGATAAAATTTAACACCAAACGAACTTAAAAATGATATGCGTTCTAACTATAATTTACTCAAACGGCTGAAATAATATGGGACATGCACACAGACAGTTTTTGGAAATCTATTCATATTCTCTGTTAAGATAGATAACAAAAGAAACTTCTCTCCCTTCTATGGTTCATTCAATAAAAAGTAAGATAGGAATTCGACCCATGTTGAGTGAGATAGGTTTCTCCAAACTTCATTCAAGTCAAGGAATTAACATTGATAAATTGATTTCTATGAACTCGCCGCTTACCACCCACATTTTTCCTTAACTCTTACACTATGTATATCGCAGAAAAGTGCTAACCACACCTGTTTCACAGGTTTGTGAGTAACTGTTGCTTCTTCTAAAAAAATCTTTAAACTTCGAAAAATAAAATTTTATAAATAAGAACAAAAAAAGCTGAAATATTGCACCTTTGATTTATTATGAAGTCAAAATTTTGATTTTAAAAAGCGGCAGCATTGATTTTATTAAAGGATGTTTTTAACATGCATTAATATTGTAATGATTTGGTTCTTGCCGATTTGATTTTATAAAGCGGCTGATTTTATTATCCGGTGATTTTATTAGCGGCGGGCACTGTATTAATGAAGTGTATGCTTCATTACTAATGAAGTGTAATAATACACATTAAATTAATAAACTGTAATAATAAATTTTCTTTTTAGAGTTGCAATGGATGTAAATGGAGATGAGAATGCAAATGCCGGGCGATGGGAAGTTGTAGAGGTCATACAAGATATGAACACAAATAGAAATATTCATTCTGATATTATTTGTTCTGATAGTTTAGGGTAAGTTTGAGTGAAAAGCTACAAAACTGTTCATTCATTTAGTTGAGCACCATATCAAAGCTTACATTCATGTAATTTATAATAGGGAGATAGATAAGTCTTTTTAACTTATATTTGAGAATATATGCCAAAGTTAAAAATTTATGAGATAAGGATAATTATAAGGTGTAAAGTTAAAAAATTGTGAAGATGTAAATAAAAATTAGCTAATAAAATGTATTTGCTGGTCACTAGAATGTCCACTATTTCCTATCTTTAAAGAAAATAAGAAAAAAATCGCTATTTTTAAATTATTGACAACTTTCAAATTTTTATAACATGTTTTAACATAAAAATAACATGTTTTTCTGTAAGTAACATGTTTAGAGGTTTTCAAATTGATCATCTTTGGATTAAATGTACAGCTATAAACCTATCACAAATATTTCTGCTACGGAATATTCTTGATATTTTGTCACTTACCTTGCCCAATGATTTTTTTAAGAATTATTTTTCTTTCACTTTTCTTTTTCTTTCTTTCTTCCTTCTTTTTCAAAGGTCTTATGAAGTTCATCGTTATCTCTTGTCTCCAAGATGGACCAAATTGAAAAAACTGTTTGATTCAAGTTTGTTGATCAAATTGATCTCTTTTTCTAAGTGTAAGAAAATTAAAAAAGTGTACCTTTCACTATTTGATGTTGAATTTAGATTTCAGAAAATGTTTTGTAGACCAAGGAAACATACCATCTTCCAAAATGAATTTGTGGTATATTCCAATCAAAATATTTATTTTAAAACATTGTCCATTTTTTCTACCCTGTACATAAATATGGAGAAGTAAAGGATTTAAATATTTTTGTTTTCAATTTATAAAATTTACTTTGTTTTTAATTGACATATTTTCCTTGATCAATAACTATTAAAGTTTTACGTGTTTTACTTTAATGGAACATCAGACTCACTTATAACTCTCTCCTGAGTCATTCACTAATGTTTCTGAAAAAGACAAGTGTATTCAAAATAAAACAAATCTATATGTGTAAATAGGGTGTTATCAAGATTTAATTGTTTATCCAAGTCAATGACTGTAAATTCTTATATCTAAATATATAAATAAAATAAATCAATGGTTTATGTTGTACTTGTTATGTCAGGTATTTTTATAGATAATTTTTTATTAAGTTACTAATTAATTTACAAGTTATTCTAAAACAGAGTTAGCACTCCGTAGACAACAATGCCTTTTTCTCCCATTAATTTTACAAATTTATGCATTTCTAATTTTCTGAAATATTTTGATGTTTGTTATTATACGAATCTGAATGAGATTAATTTTATAGTTCCCAAGATAAAGTAAATGCAGATGATCCTCCAGCAATTACAGATGGTAATATACTGATTCTTTTCGCTATACTTTATTTTATCGACTAAATATAGATAAGCATTTTAAATTTTTTGATATTATTTCAGGTACAGTCACATATCGAGTTGTCCAACTTTCGGCAGATGCTTCTCGTGAGGATGCTCCGGCTACTCAAATAGTTACTACATCTGCAGCATTGGTTGGAGGACAGCAAGTTGCTCAAGCAATTATTGCTAATCCATTCAATACAGCTAATGGAAATACCAGTCCTGGAGCAGAGGGTGTGTTTATATGTTCAGTAATTTAATAGTTCTGGGTTATATTAAATGCAGTCAGAAGCCTATTATAATATAAAAATAAGTAAAATATTCAAATTTTAAGAGAAAGACAATTCTTACCTGCCTTATAAATATTTAAAAAAAAAAAAACAATTTTTTTAAATTTAAATGTAATAACATATTAAACACTAAATATTCTTGAATCTACCAGGTATATTTTCTTTTAAAGTTAGACTTATCGAATTTACATTGCATTAGTTACAATTTAAAAAAAAATTGTAAAAAGACCATGGGGTATTAATTCTAGGAATAAAAAACATAATACTTTTTAAAGTCAATCAGATTTTTTATCATTAAAATACATCATTAATGTCTTGAATAAAAGAGGATAAAATTTTCGAAACGAGGGGAATTCTCCATGAGATACTAAAATCTCAAATGCATTAAGGTTTTAAATTATTTGAAAATTGTATTTGAAAAAATAATTTCTTAGAATTATAAGTTTTAAAATCAAAAATAGGTAGATCCAGAATAAGCTTCAACATGATTTGCTGTTACACTTTTGAAGCAAATAAGATTTTTGTTTCTTTTTACGAGCCCTTCTATTTGTAGCTTATTACTATTGTTTACTGTTGATACAAAAATATTCCAAAAGGAAGTGATCTATATTTTCTTTAAAATATTCTTCTCTATTTTCGCACTAAAGAATTCTTTTTCATATCATCATAATGTTATTTAGTAAGTGTCTTTATGCATACTTTAATATTTTGATTTATAGCATCTTTCTCATTAAAACATTCTTTTTTGCTTCTACTTATTACTGAGGGATAATTGCTGAAGAAAATTTTTGCAGAAGTATATTTTTTATTTTATTCTGATAATTTGTTTTTAATGAAGAGCTGTGGTAAAAAATTTTATGCAGAACTAAATGCAAAATATTTGATTCTCTAATAAATTAATAAATATATTTATTGCTATGCAAAAGTGTATGAAATTGGTGTGTTACTGATGTTTCTTTGCTTGTAAGTGTAATATATAGTGGGAACACCAACCGGGTTTGCTTTTGTTGTTTTGTTCTTTCTTTCTTCATTTGTCGAAATCAGTCATTATGCTGATTGCAAGCTAGCTATGTTTTTTCTTGGTGGTTTTAATTTATAATAGATTTTTCTTTTACCAAGCTCTATCTTCAATAACTCATATTTATTATTAAAAATTATTGGCTATTCTAAACATTAACTATGAAAATCTAAAAACTATTTTCATTAGCTGGGAAAAAATTCTTTTGTAAAAATGATAAATGGGAACAGTATGAGTTGCAAGTACTAAGAATAAATCTACTAAAAATTTTAAAAAGCATATAAACTCAAAAAAAAAAAAAAAAATTATGCTATTACTATTAAATACTTTTCATACCGTTTCACCACTTTTTCAAATCTTTTGTTATTTTCCCCTGACTTATTTTGTATGCTTAAAAAAATTACATTTCAGTGATAAAAAAAAATTGGATTTTTTGGATTTCCTTTACAGCAAATTTTAAATAAAAAAAAAAAATCAAATCACTGATAAAATTTTGACATTGGTGTCACAAAATATTTTAATGGGGTATCATCCTTTTTCAGAATAACCCAATAATTTTAGTTTTCCACATTCCAGTTAAAAATAAATAAAAAATTTGTTGTAGTTAATTGTATGTTAAAATTTTATTTGTTCCTTTCCTTTATTTTTCTTTTTAATCATTTGCAGGTCCTTTTTATGTTATGATGTCACCACAAGATGTGTTACAAACCGGTCAACGAACTATAGCACCAAGAACTCACCAGTTTAGCCCAAAATTAGAAGGTGCTAGAACAGCCAGAGATGAAAGGCGTAGGGCTACTCATAATGAAGGTAACATTTAAGAGATTTGCATAGCACTTTTCCGATTTATGATTAATATTCACAGGATTCCTGACTTAATACTTCATGTTTTTCGAATTTTGATTTTTTTATATGTCAATTTTATCTCAACTTGCGAGTCACACATGTGATTGCGTAGTTCCCTCAACAACTGCATTTCATGTATAAATAACTGGTGCAAGCAATTTTAAAGTCAAACGGCATGATTTCTATCACTGTGTTGGAAAAATCACATATCGTGAATAGTATTTACACAATTTTAAAATCCAGCATCATGATTCATAAACGCGTGATTTAGAAATCATGCATCTTGTTTTGTATTCAGGCAATATTAAAAATTACATCACAATTAAAATTTATGTGATTTTAAAATTTAGTTTTAAAATTCATATTCTCGCAATTTGAAAGTCACGCATCATGATATATGTTTTTGTGATTTAGAATCAAACATTGTGACACATATTTTCATGTGATGTAATGTTAAGAGTTGACAATCTAATTCATGGATATAAAGCAAAAAAAGGGTAAGTTTTGCCTATAGCCTATATATAATTCAAAACATATTCATAATATTTATTTTTATGTTCATGCATGTAGTTAAAAACTAATTTAATTTTTCTGCTGCTATTTTTATTATTAAATTTATTGTGCAAGGATTGTCCATGTCTATATCAAGGATTGAATTCTTTAACTATTTTGTTGTAATGTAGGTATTTTAATTTCTTAAAATAATATGACTCATAATTTGATGCATTTTATTACCTTTTACTTTAATATGTAAGTATTAATTAGATTAAAAAATGTTTCTTAAATTACTACACTGAAATTTTCTTGCCATTTGTTGCATTCTTGAGTAATAACATTTTATTTCCAGTAATCAACGTGTATGTTTTTTGAAATAGTAGTCCAATTTTATATGAAATATCAAATGTAAAAGTGTTTGAAAAGAAATCTTAGAAGTAGACTGGACTCTGATAAAAGTAAAGAATAATAATAACTATTCTTCTATTTTCAGTGGAAAGGCGTAGAAGAGATAAAATTAATAATTGGATTGTAAAATTATCAAAGATTGTCCCAGACTGTACTTCAGATCATACAAAACAAGGACAAGTAAGTGTTTTTTTCTTTCCTGTTTCCTCTTGGTTGAAATGTGTTGGAGTGTTGGTTGAAATGTGTTGGTTGTGTTGTTTTTAATTTTATACCATAAGAATTCATAAATGTGATGAAACATTTCTTTGCATTATGCTTAGTTTCTTTTAGGAAATTTAAGATGAACTTTTCTGTTAACATTCTTTATATCAAACTTTGACTTCTAAAAAATTTGCAAAATATGGTAAGAGCGTTTCTCAAAAGACTATTCATTGCGAGCGACAGATGAAAATGGGTAATCGTGTAACATCAAATAATGAGACGGTAAATATTAGGAAAAGTAATAAATTTATAGGCTTGAGAAGTAATCAATTTATATTAAGCATAAAAAATTTACTGCAAAAATATTTATGAAGAAATTTTTTTATATTTTATTTTCAGCGGATAAAACCGATCAGTTTGAACAAACACTTATCTTTTTTACGCAAGTGTTATGGTTACAATAGACCTCTGGTCGACGTGCCTTACTTGTCAGAGCTGCCCAATCTTTAAATCTAAATCTTATGCAAGTGCATAACGGAAATGCGCTTACTATGTTTCAGTTTTATCGGTATCATATATACTTCAATTTCTGCAACCTTCTTTACAAGCAACATCACAAGTTTTACAATTCTTATCAACTGATGCAAAAATATCAAACATGATGTTTGAAACATTTTATTTTTTCCCCCATTTTATTTCTTCATCATTAAAATAAAATAACAAATGGTGGTTAAATTTCTAAAGAATAGGCATGAAAATTGGCTAGTTTCAACAACGATCTGAATTAGTATTATTAACATCATACATCTGTTTGATTGGGCCTTAAAGCGAGATGATTTATATAGGAAATGAAAGGTCCTGGAGTGAGACTGAAATGTAAAACTTTTTCTCCAACAATTGAGACATTTATTAATCATAAATGTACCCTTATACAGTTTAAAATTAAGCTTCCTAAAATAAAAATAATTAAAAGTTTTAAAAAATGTTTGTTCATTATCGCCATTGAGTTTTCTTCCTTTCACTCCTCTCCCCTTAAAACCATAAGATTTTTTTCACAGTGACTTTTCAAGGGCTTCTCATATTTTACATATTTTCAAAAAACTGTCGGTTTTTTGTTATTCTGTCTTCTTTTAAAAAAAATTAATTTTTACTCTTAGCTTAAAGCTCAAAAAAAGAATTTCAGCAAACTTGTATTATTGTACTTTATAACATCAACCTGAAAAATTTTTCATACATTATTTAGTGTTTTTTTTTTTTTTTTTAAATTTATTTTTTGCTTTTTCAAACAAAATTTTATCTTTTCCATATTGTTACTGCAGTCTTTCTTTTCCTACATAGTTTTATTCCCAGAGCAAGGGAGGTATCCTTGCTAAAGCTTGTGATTACATTCAAGAATTAAGAAACTCATGTGCCCGTCTGCCTGATGTGCTGAAAGAAAATGAACGCCTCAATATTGATTTAGATAATCTGCGTCAACAGTATGAAGAGTTAAAGAATGAAAACCAAGCACTTAGGGTCCATATTCAACAACAAGGTGGAATAGCTGTTACAACAATCAATAGTACATAGGATATGAAGTAAGTAATTTTCTATGCTACTTCATCCACGTACTTTTGCTTGCAGCTGCAACAGCATATGTACCAGTCAAAAAACTCTCATTGCGTCACTGGATCAGCATTTGTACGGGTGGTTCTCTTTCCCCTATATTCAATGACCACCATCGAACCTGTCATTTCTTCGAGAACCCCCAGGAATTAGGGTAAAAAAAGTTTAGTAAAAAAGTCTGCATGCTTTCTATTTGATTTGGTTGAAAGATTTTTGTCTTTTATTATCAATTAGCGAGTTATGAGAGGTGAGAATTTCTTCCATTCCTTTTGTAGTGCTAGTTATTTTTCATTCGATATATTTTCAACGTCGTTATTTTTCCCGGCCTTTTGATGCAGTTGTTTTGTTTGTAACACTTCATATTCTTTCAGAAACATAAGTAAACTTTTTTCTTACATTAGTACAATTTTTAAATAATTATTAAGGGCATTCTTGTCTTTTATTAAAGGAAAATATTGTTACTTGAAAAAAAAATGAGTTTTAAAAAAATATAACTTTTTTCTCTTCATGTGTCAAATATTACAAATGAAGTAAGCCAAAATATGTATAACTATGCCAAAATATCTGCCGATTACGATGCACGCTACAACCCTGCCAAGGAACATGTCATACAAATTGCAACAAAACGTTTCCTATTCATAACTAGTTAAAGTAGCTACCTCCCACTGAGTAAGTGGGATATGAATTTCTGCAAGAAAGCGCCGTAAGGAGAGAATTTTTTCATCAGACTAGCCGCAGCTGAAAGGTTAATAAGAAAATACCTCGCTGCAATTTAACTTGTCAAGGGTTTGCAAAGTCTAGCTATAGGGCTGTTCTATCATTTAGAAGTGTATTTGCAGACTTTAAAAGCATATAACTCAGTTAAAAAAATTTGAGCACTTCTAATAATTTTAGTTAAAATTAGTATTGGTCTCAGTGTAAAGGATTCCAAGCCTTATTTTAACACAAGTTATTAAAACTTCACGATTCTCTTTATTGAGTTATAATTTTTTAAAGTTTTCCAATATGTCACTCATAAATGGCGGAACTGCTCTGTAGTATGTAATGTTGTGCTTAAAAACTACTGTTTTTAAATTTTTTTATTTATTTATTTTTTTACTTTAAGCAATCATAAATGGAAATATTTAACGCATAAGAAAATTATGCAAGAATATTATGATTAAAGGTTAACTTTCAAATGGTCGATCATTGGTCAAAATGACCTGATATTTCCTCTGAGTGTGCATGAAGCATTGGGAAATTGTTTTGCATAAGAAAAAATTGTTCCAAAGTTGACCAATAGATGGTACTATACTCATCAAAAGACACTTAACCAATAATGTGATTTATTGTTGTAGCATTCTTCTGTTCAAATCAAATTTATGTCGACAAAATGTGCCACCGCTGATAGGAAAAACTTTGTTTTTTACTGTCTTTCTAACAGATAGAGTTAGAAAAAATCAGACGTTTTAATTTTAATCCAATTTTTTTCAATTATTATTTAATATTTGAATAAAATGTGTATTAATAACATGCTTATTATTATTAAAAGCAATGTTATAACTAAAATATTTACTATTGCCAACTAAAATGGTTGAATTTATTTAATAAGGCCACTCTTATCCGTATCAGTTTTTTTTATTTATTAGTCTATTTTGAATTTCAAATAATAATTTACATACATTTCTCCTCTTATTATTATTATTGATAAAACCAGCATTATTTATGAAATTATACTTTTAAAAAAAATTTTAAACTTATGAAAAATATCATAAATTATATTAATCCATTAAAAAAAATTAGAATCAAAATAATAAATAAATTTAATAATAAATTAAAAAATCTTTTCTTTTTTTTAAATCAAGTGATTTGAATGATGCTAACCCTGACAAGCAGTAATTAAGCATTTTTTTTTTTTTTTTTTTTTAAATTTTTCTATTCCAAAAGAGAAAGAAGAAAAAAACAGTTCCTCTCGAGTTAATTTAGTATTATCTGTAAAAAATTTTACCTGCTATTTTTGAAACCCTCTGAATGGTTTACTAAATTTAAAAAAATATGGATTTCATTGAATCATTTCCCTAAACTAACTAAAGCATTAAGAAAAAGAAATTACCCAAATTTTACCAGGAAAAAAAAATAATTATAAATATTATTATAACACTGGTATTTGCAATCTTTTTTGTATCCCAATTTGTTAAAAACTAAAATTATTAAAATAGTGTTAATTAGATTATATACCTTTTCTATAACAACTTCTTTCTTCTTTTTTATTTCAGATATTGCTTGATGTCTTGACATCTTTGCCTTCTAATGAAAATGAATTGTTTTAATTTCCCCAAATTCATGATCACATATATCATAAACTGCTAAAACTATATATAAAATAAGCAAAGTGACTGCAGTTTGTATTATTGTTATGACTTTATAAAACAAATGCATTTGTTATGCATTATATATATAAATATATAAAACATTCATTAAAACTATTTTGTATTCAATCTGAAATGTTTATTGAAAAGGTCACTCTTTCTCTGTTTTGCCCATATGTAGATTATATGTAAATACGGTTGTAGATCTTTCCATCATTGCTTTCACTGAAAGTAAAGGCATAGATGTGTATAAAAGTTATATAGAAAGTTATATGTTTGTATTATATTTGTTTTATATTCATCTAAGTCAATCAGAGCAAAATTTTATTTAGGAAAGTGCATTTTTTAATGAATTTAAAAGTTATTATTATGTTTTTTCTATAGTTAATTTATATATTGTTATTTTTTATCTCTTTGAAAATATTTGTGTTCTGATATGACTATGCCAATGATTGAAACCAAAAAAATTTGTTTCAATGAGATTTATTCATTCATTGCCCTTTTTTTATATTATTATTTTATGCTTATTTTTGAAGTCACTCTTTTAAAATTTAAATCTCTACTCAGTTTTTAAACATAGATAGCTAAACTTTTCTCAAATAGACTTCCAGCCATATCAGGCTGTTAAATAACACTTAGACATCTTTTAAGAAAAGAAACTATAAACTTTCACTCTTATTTTTAAAAAAAAAATTTGAAGAGTACTTCCACTAAGCAATACGATTTTGTTGGATGTTAAGGAAATATAAAATGTGCATATTTTTCATTTGAGTCGAACAATCAGTTATTCAATAACATAGTTTTAAGTTATCTAGGTTTAGTAAACCTGGCCATTAAAAAAGCAAATTATCTACCCTTAGCTAAAAATCTACCCTATTTTAATCTTAAATCTAAAGATATCTTTTGTTATTTAAGTACTTTGTTCACTGAGCTGCCGCCACTTGCGTATAAATCGAAATCTTGAACCATCTTTTTCTTTAATACAGCCTTCATTCTTTTGAATGTACGCTACAAGTTGTTAATAGGTCTTTTGTGATATGCTCATAGCTGTTTTTAATACTGTGTGATGGAAGAGTTTTGTATCTGAATGATAAACTCTCAATTTCATCCCACAAGTGCTTAATAGGGTTGAGATCTGGGCATTTTAAAGGCCAGGAAAACAAAGTGAAGTTTCCATCACATTTCTTATGCTAATTCTTTACAATATCAGCAGTGTGGTGAGGGTGTTATCCTGTTGAAAGTACTATACTCCCCATTGAAATTTATCATCATTACATAATGTACTCCATCGACGACAATATTTAGGTATTACGTCTATACAATCTAAAAGTAATGATTTTAAAACAGGAGATAAGCCCTATAGTAGTAAGAGTGAGATACTTCTTAGCATTAAACTATGAGGTAGTCATTTAGTGGCCGCTCAGCTCAGAGTTCTATTAAAAATTTTGATTATGATAAATTAAACTTGACAGAAGTGAAAATGCTGTTAAATTTATAAATCTCATTGTTGAATATGTTAACATGTAGGCTTTTGTGATATTTCATATAAGTTGGATTAGAATTAAAATTCAATTCTACAGCATTCAATTCTTACACAATTTTCTTGTGTATTATTTAGTTCCTATTCTTTAGTTTTCACTAATTGTAGTTATCTAACTACAATTAGTGAAAATTACTTAAATATGTAAAATAGACACTAACTTGCATATGGTGTCTCCATATACTTAAGATTTGACATTTCAAATATGAATATATGTATGCGAAATATTTGATGAATAATTTAATTTTATTGCTAACTAATCTTATCTATTGCTTTTGTACTCTTGGCGATGTTTGCCTGACTTCTACAAATGTAATCATTTGACTGACTTCTACAAATATAATTATTCCTATTCCTTTAAAATATTTCATGAGCTTTTATTCTTTTGTGTATCTAAAACTGTTCTTTTCAAAATGTTATATCCCTTTCTTCTGTGCAAATTTTCCTTTTATATTAAGCTTTTAACTGTATTAATATTTCTAAACTAAATATTCAACTTCGTAAAATATTTTATATAGTTGCAAACAAAATCAGTGATGCTTTTTTTTTTAAGAAATTTAATAATGTTTATTTATAGTTAGCTTTTTTTGTTATATTTTGTGATAGAGAATGGTATTTCTGCATTTAAAATGTACACAAGTGACTAAAAAAGTTTTTTCAGTGCCTTTCGAATTCCACCCTTTCTGTAGATAAATGTTATTCAAATAACGTGAACTGCTAAACCTGTAAAATAATTTATAAATATATACATGTTGCATATAGCACTACGCTAACCAATTCATGTTTTCAATATTAAAAAGAAAATGTAGCAATATTTCTTTGTAAATTGTATAAAGACAGAGAATTTGTATAAAGTTATTTGCTATGTTCTATTCTGTGTTTTGGAGAGAGTTTTATTTGAAATTTATTTGAAAAATAAAAAATAAATACTTGAAATGTTAATTTCTTTTATTTCATCTAACATATTGTATTGTCCTTCAACTAATTTTTTATATTCATTTTTAAGCACAGTAGAATCTCGATAGTTCGAGTTTCCCATAAATCCGAGCTAGAGAGAGAAATCAGTCTTGCTTCCAAACAATGACCAACACACACACAATACATGGAATGATTTAGGATTGGCTTTACGATGATTACTACAACTGAATGTTGAAAAACAAATTTGTGTGTTAAACACTGAAACATGTGAACATTGTGTTTAAACAAGACAATTATTTTAAAGTACAACATGATGCAGTAATATAGTAAATATTGTAACTGGGTGTGATGCAATATATGTACCCTGATCCTCTAATGTAACTAAATTTTCTTTAAAAATAATATTTATTAAATTTTAAGCTTTTGAGAGTTAGAGGTAGGCTCGGTCCCGTCCATCTCAAATTATCAAGACTACTGTATATTCAATCTGCGATATAATGGTTCCCACCACCTAAACAAATGATAAAATAATTGACAGCATTCCTCCTTCAATTTCATTTAAAATATGTATTTATTGTTGGTAAATCCTTCATCCAATATTCAAACTAAAATTTTGACTTCTGTGGTTAAAAATGAAACTTGAAGAAGTATTCTACAGTGGAGCCCTTTTATAATGATCCCACAGTTCGCAAGCTTTCAAATTAAACTCCCAAAAATATTTTTTTTCTCAAAAAAGTATCAACGAAACAATTAAGTAACTGTGTAAGTGAGATAATTGTGCTTGAAGGTTCAGAGCCAGTTTCTTAACGTTCGGTTAAATTTTTTTTGTGAGGTGATGATGTAAGTCCCCTCGTTTTCTCTTTTTTGTTTGACAAGGTAGGAGGAAGGGAAAGCAATTAAAAAAATTTTGATGATAGACCACAGTCTAGGGTAGAGGCGACCTTGAAGCCAAAATTCTGTGAGTCGATCACTATTTCAAAGTTTCATTAGTTGAAAGTTCGAACAATTCCTCCTGAATCTGAATCTCTGCTGTTTTAATCTTCACAAAATGGTTCATAACCCCTGGAGGGGTTTTCAGGGATAAATCATCTATTAAACGGTGAGAAAAGTCCAACCGTGAAGACTCTTGGTGTTGACAATATTCTTTAGTATCAGAGGGAATTTCATCATTCTTTTTAAGATCCGATTAGATTGGAAGTTGTCTGAACTTATTCCGCTTCCACAAAATGAGTTTATTTTAAAACGGCAGATATAACTGATTTTGTAGTGATCAAATTGAGTTCGTCGCTTTGAAGTTTTAAATTAACACCATTAAATTTTGCAAATAAATCCTTCAAGCATGCAACGTCTATCTTAAATTCTAACAATCCGTCTCTCTCAGACATACATCTCTGACTTCGAGGAACTCAAGCACAGAGTCGAAAATATTCTAAAACCTATTGAGACAGACGCCTTAGGAAAACCAGAGAATCTCATTATGTACTAGCAAGCGATTGAATTTTTTTTTTTTTACACAGTTTTTGAATAATCGATCGTTGAGAGCATTACTGCGAATTTTGTTCACAGCAGAGCTCGACATATTTTGCAATGACTGATGCAAACAATCACTGAGATTTTTTACAACTAAATGCTGTCTGTGAATTACGCAGTGAACAGCTAAAATATGTGGTACCACCCTCTTTAAAAAGGTGATAAACCCACGATATCGACCCATCATTGTAGGAGGTCTATCAGTGGCAACATATTTGAAAGAGGAATGTTTTTCTCTTTAAAGTAATCTTAAAAACAGATCTATCGATTTACCTTTGATATCTTCAATCAAGCTTCTTGCAAAAAGCATTTCTTGAATAATTTTTCCGTCCTTCACAAACCAGACGTACGCCAACAGTAAAGCCCCATTACTTGGTAAGGTTGACTCATCAACTTGAAGGGAAATTCGTTGGATATCAAAAGTTTGCACAAGGAAACTTCAACTATCTCATCAATTCGTCACCGCACTGTATCGTTGCTTAATAAGATATTTTTGATTATATTAAATGCGGCTGGATGGTGTAAAATTGTTTCTAAAACTTCCTTGCCAGACGGCAGAGTCAACGCTTCACCGATGTTAAGAAAGATTCCTAGATTTAGCAATTAATTTTGATATATTATAAGAGGCTATCAAACTATCGTCGCATTTTTGTGATGAGGTTGCTAGTGAGCCTGAGGCCGAAAATACCTTCTAAAACTTATCCTCGATGTTCGTGAAAAATGACAAATCTATATTTTGTTTGTCAGGATGAATTTTTTGCACTTTGTAACAAAGTAAACATTTGCGTAATTGAGAGTTCTTCTGCGATTGAACAAATTCGAACTTCAAGTATGTGACACTGTATTGCCGACACTTCTTTTTGTTAACCGACATTGTTTGTGGCAGCAAAATACAAACGATGAAAGAAACCCATATTCCTCAAAATTAATAAATAATTTACGATAAAGAACTAATTTGAGCACGTACCTGGTCAAATAAACAATGAAATCGAATCATAATCTGGGGGAAAAACTGAAAGGAAGCGAACGATAACCATCCTAAGAAACAAGGGTCAAATCAAACATTTATACTGAAAGCGCATGCACTTCGCTAAATAGCTTGAATTTGACAAAAACAACTGACTCATGCTTCGGATTGAAGAATGGGTGTTACATAAGTTCGTTTTATTGCTGGTACAAATGCTGAATCGGATGAACTTAATTTGTCAAATTAATTTTTCTTCAATGTTAATTTTAGATTAATTTTATTTATGAAATTAATCTTATTCTAATCATTTTGTATCGAAGTTTTAAAATTAAATTTGAATGACCAAACATGCTCATCGCCCCCTTACCGCTCAAAACAAATTCAGCGCCCGTCAGCATATTCCCACCGCCCCTGTTGAGAAACAATGAGTTAATACAAAGTCTGTTGCAGTAATTTTGAGCGATTCAGAAATTTCCGTTTGTTTTTTTGGAAAGGATTTTATTCTGCATATATTCCTAATTCAAAAGCTACTTCTATTAAAGGCTGGCTGCAAATTTCGGATTCAATGCTTGTTTAAGGGCCATAAGAGACCTATTCTCCGATTAAAATATAATAAACAGACCAAGATAAGGAATTAATTATAACACTTAAATAGAAAATTTCGAGTGGTCTTTCATATTTTAGAGAAAATATATCACATTTGAGAATTCATATTTTAGTGAAATATGAGGCCCACGATACCGAATTATATACCGAGTAAATGTTACAGGGTTCCTACTTTTTTAACAAAGCAAAAATTAAGGACTTTTTTTTAAACAAAATTAAGCACTTTTTTTGAAAAATTAAGGACCTTAAGACTATTTTTAAAAATAGTATGATTGTTTATCATCGAATATATATGCACCGCAAGTTACAGTGCCAATTATTTACCTGTCTTATAAAAGAAAATCAATAAATAATAAAAAATAATAAAAATTTTTTTAAATTTAAGTACTGATATAATTGTATTAATTAACAAGGCTCATCAAAGTTGGACCAGGCAATTTTTGGCAAACCAGGGTAGAGTTTTTTAAAAATATTTTTCAGATTGGCATGGGTTAACGACATCTATGAAACAAATATATATTCCATTTTTAATAATTTAATTGAAATGTAAAATTAGGATTTACAACTTTTTTCGTATTTTTAAGAAAAAGAGTAAATAAAGAAATTTGGGAAAAAATTATTACAAGTTTTTAATAAAATGTTTAATTTAGATAAAATGAATTAATACTAAGAATTAGAGATATGCATGAGAGTAGTTTTTTTTAACTATGTTAACTTAACTTAAAGTAGGTCCTATTTCAAGTAAAAACAGACCATACTAATATCTAACCACCTTAAATCATTCCACTTTTTTTTCATTAAGCTTAAAAGAAAATTTTTCAAGTCATTGCACTAAATTTTTGTATGAAAATTTTTATAGAATAAGATTTATAATTTCTTGCTGATTGTGATTATTTGACAAGATTTATAATTTTCAAACCAATATGTTTATTTGTTTTCAGTGAAACATAAATAAAAGGGTCTAAAACGATTTTTTAAAGGTATCAACACATTTCTATGGCCTTTGCCTGTAGCCCCTTCACACATATCCCTTATTGTCTCTCTAAAATGCCCAACTCTTGATGCACGGACTAATTCTAGGTAATAAAAGAACAAACTTTTGTTATAAAAAATCGAACTGAAAAATTGTTTCTATCAACTATAGTGACCCTGTGGCAGAATTTTTTCAGGCTTTCTGTGGCCAAACTTCCCTAGCACTAGTATTTTTCTGCGAGACACTTTTAATTATAGCAATTACTAAATTAAAGTAACAGAAAAATTGTGTTTACAGAAAAAAGTATAGAATAAAAAATTTTAAAAGTTTTTTATAATTATAAATGTAGTATTTCTTTAATTCTAATATTATAGGCGAATTTTTTTAATTATAAATGTAGTATTTCTTTAATTCTAATATTATATCCTCGCACTTTTTAGGACTAATTATTATAACACACACTAATTATTTCCTCTTTCGAATTTTGTAAATCCATTACATAAATCAAAATTCGTAAATAAATGGAACGATTATTAATTAAAATTCGTATAAAAATTAAAAATCTTAAAGCCTGTGGCAGTAAAACCCGAAACAAAGATCGACTACGAAATCACGCAAAAAGGACTCTTTAAAAAAGAGAAGCTCAAATAAGTGTTTTGGTTGTTATAATAAATAAGATTGTATTTAAAATATCAGATTTCAAACTTTGTGGAAATCGATTGCCAAAAAATCGATTAAAAATAATTGAATCATTACATCAAAAAGTAAATACGTAATTCGAATTTCCCCTATTGTCTAAAATATATCGGAACATTTTAAAACCGGAATATCAATAACTGCCAAAAATACAATCAAACACCACACAGTTTTATGATACTCCTGACGTAAATTGAGTTTGTTAAGTTCTGGGCCAATGTCACCTTGTCACTGTAATTTTGTTACAGGGTATAGTAATGCTGAAAAATTAAGGACTTTTGAAAACCTTATACCAAAATTAAGTACTATTAAGGGCCCTTATTTTCCAAAATAAAAATTAAGCAGTTCTTAAGGACTTTTAAAGACCCTGTTACTTATAGCATCATTTATTGAGATTGAAAAGTATTTTGATCTTTTAGGCTTAAAAAGTTTTTCAGAGAATCACTAAGAATAGGTTTCATTATATACCCTAACTGTTAACTGTATTTATTTGATGTTAATATTAAAGCAAAGAACACTTTGCTTTAATATTGATATGTAGAAATTTAAGTATTATTAAACTCCTACTTTTTTTCTTTTCATATACATATATCAATAAATATATCTTTTCATATCAATGTATATAACGTTGTTGAAGGCTGAAGGGTCAATATGGAACAATGAAGCAGCGAGTTCGTGTAGGGAGCCAAAAAGTGGCTAGTACGTGCACGATTTCCCCCCAGTCTTATAATGTTTCTAAAATAGAAATGCCACAGAATTAGAGCAATGCAGTTCGACTTCAGGAGAATCCACGTGAAGCAACGAAGTGGTGGCTATCTGAAGGTGGAAAACAATGTGTAACTGCAAAGCTGTGAGTCCGTGTAAGTGGATCAGCTGGTTGCAACAGACGACTAGTTATTTAATAAAATATAATCATAAAAATTTATTTTCGATGGAATTAACTTTGGATGAATGCATTTTATACTTGTGTGCCAATATTTTTCAATTTGCTTAAAAAATTCAAGGTAGGGCGAATTACGCAAAAAGTATTTTCAAAATTAAAAAGTCCTAACTTTGGACTGCATTCGAGTAATTTATTGGAGCCATATTTTTCAAATTGTAGCTATTCCTAATATTTTGAGAATCAGAAATTAAAGTTTGTCGGAAAAAAGGTATGCTTATTCAGAGAAAGTATGTCTTTGTGTCAAATTTCGTGACTTAAAATAGTGTCTACATTAATTAGAAGATTTGGGGTCACCGGACCATTAAGATCGAGTTGTAATTCATGAAAATTACATAATTAAATCAAATGTTACTCAGGGCGTAGCTTTTCTTTTTTTGTGCACAGTATGTTACACTTCGTAATTAAAATGGGATTAAAAATATTTAATTTTTATACAAATCAAAGTCAAAATTTTTAATTGATTTAAAAGAAAATATACAACAGTTATTTTAATTTATTAAAATCTAAGTAAAAAAAAACGAGAAAAAAAAATCGATTTTATACAACAACTTTTTAGTAAAACATAAAAAGCACATGAGTCATTAGATTTCAGAATGTTCAGGCTATTAAATGTTGCTCTCAGTCCCCATCCAATGATAATCTTCCTCGGATCCAGGTGGTAAAGGCTCTTTGGTCATAAGTAAACCATTTTCATATAAGGAAGTTGCAAAAGATATCTGAAAATGAACAATAAATAAAATGAAAAAAGTAGCTCAGAATTGGCTATTTTACATAAAAATAAAAAATTTTTCACCCTTACGTTAGTAACCTCAGAGTGACCTCTCAAATCAGATTTCAAATCTCCCTGATTTTTCCCGGTAAAAAAATTTTAAAACTTCCAGGTCAGAGGTTTTTTTTCTTCTTCACTTAGTGCAGAATGGGCACTTAAACTCCAAGAAAAATGTCAATATTCTAATGAATATTATTAATAGAGATGTAACGAATATTTGGCCACTATTCGGTATTCGGCCTAGCCGAATACTGAAGTTATTCGGCCGAATAATGAAGTTATTCGGCCGAATATGAATATTATTAGATATTTAGCTGAATAAATTCATAATAATAAAGAAAGATATTTTTTTACACGTGCTTTTAAATATATTTAATCATGAATATTGCAGACTTACATTTCACTGCATTAATTATTAGAAAATCTAACATTTACTCAAGTTAAGTTGTATAATACATAAGTGTATTTAATAATGTTACATAGATAAAAATGTTTTCTTGTTGCAAATTTGTTATCAAGTTGTTAAATTTTTTTTAAAATATAGAAAGTTTAGAAAAGCAAATTTGTTAATATTTATTTCATTTTTAATTCAAAATTTGACAATTATTTAATTGCAAAATTAAATTTCAAAAGTGAAACTTTTTAAAAAGTTCTCAATTTTTTGGGTTTTAATAATTTTTCTGACAAAAAAGAAAGTTAAGAATACATTTAACAGTAGTAATGAGTTCTTATTTTAAATAAAATAGCATATAAATTACAAGTATAACTATAACTAAAATATGCTATTATTAATTATTTAGATTTATAAAAGCCATATTGCCTTGTTATTGGCATCAAGATATTTAAATTATTACAAAAAATAAATCAAGTTGTTAAAATTTTTTTAAATATACAAAGATTAAAAAAGCAATTTTGTTAATATTTATTTCATTTTTAATTTAAAATTTGAAAATTACTTTAATTACAAAATTACAATCAAAAGAGAAATTTTTAAAAAGTAAGTATTTGGCAGAATATTCGGTATTCGGCCCCATTACTATTCGTTACATCACTAATTATTAAGAATGTAAGTTCTTTAATATATATTCTTAAAAAAATAATTACATAAATTAAATTAATTTTAACAACTTAGCGAGATTTTGTTAATCATTTGATTAATTTTTATAGCTTAAAAACTGCAGGGTATCTGCTACATTTTAGATTTTCAAATTCATGACTTTACATGACATTACGAAGTTATAATTTTCTCCGACAAAGACACAACAATAAATTTTAAAAAATCAAAATCTTTGCCTTTCATAAACTGCTTAGTCATTTAGTAACCATCATAGTATTTTATGTGGCATTCTTAACTAGTTGAACAGGGTAATAATGGAGCAAGTCTTGATGCAAGCAAAGTATTGCTAAGTTGATATTTCGACCGTTTGGCAATAAATTTCTGTCGAAAAATGGGTATAATGATTGATCAATTTAAGAAACTTGAGGGTAAAATTGTTTAGATTTTCTTTACAACTCCCTGATTTTTTTCAGGTTTCTATCCTAATTTTCTTGACTTTTCCAAGTTTTTCACAGAATAAAAAAATTCCCTGATAATTCCAGGTATTCAAATTTTTTCAGGTCAGTGCCCACCCTGAACCTCATGTGTACCCAGAATGTGTTTAGTTTTTTTTCCTTTTCCATACAATGCCAGCAAAGCATGTGAAAGAAATGTTTATGACAAATCGACAGCATTTATTTACAAATAATTTTTATAACAATGATTTATTCCCTATCATAATTCCAACAATTAACAAGCCTCATTAACCTGTACCAATTTAATGCATAAAATCTTAAAATATTTTATAAAATATTGAAATGCTAAATTAGTTTTTTCATATATGGCCAGTATAGCATGATAATGCAACAGATTTGATTGATCTTTTGATACTATAGAAATTTCTTAACTATAAGTTACATGCAATAATAATTACAATTTGAATGTTTAGTGAAAATAAAGCACACCACTGTTAAAAAGTTAAGCATACTTTTTCATATGTGTCCAGTTTAAAAGTATGCTTAACTTTTCGACACCGGTGTAGAACTAGGTAATATATTTTTAAGAATATATGGATTATTTTTAATAGGGAAAAAAAAAAGAAAAAGAAAAAAAGATTTTAAAGTTGTTCGGGAATCAGGTTTTGTAGTTTATATATCATATAAGCAATATATTATAACATTGTCATACATGTAAATGAGTCATAGATGTATGTAATGTGTAGTTTGCACTAACTAAATGATAAAAAATTTTATCACAATTTTAAGATACACTATCCAAGTAGGTAAAATGTGTATATATATATATAAACAAAGCAAAGAGACAATAAAGAATTAAAGAAAAGAGAGATTAACAGAGAAAATTAAGAAAAAAATAATAAGTTTTATTTACTGCACATAAATTGCAAGACCCGTAAAATAAGTTAAAAATGCAAAAAAAAAACAATATTTTTAAAGAGAAGAAAAATTATTATTAAATAAAATATTTTTAAAAATATGAAAATTTGTTAAAAAAAATTAATTTTAAAGAATTCAAAAGCCTGAATACAAAATTAGGTAAAGATATAATCGTGTGAGCTGACGACAAGATTATATCGTTCACTAGTTTTGTTCTTTTGCTTTTTAATTTTTTCAATATTTTCCTTATATTTCATTGCATTTCTTTGTAAATATATTACCTTATCCAATGTATCCTTCAGAGGTATATCTCTCACTTTCACAAAGTCTGGATATTTATTAAGGAGAAACAAATATGAAGGAACTGCTTCCATTTCAAATTCCACATAAGTTGCTAATGATTCTTCCTCAGAAACTGGCCTGGGGTCTCTTAGATTCTCAAGAGTATGATATAATCTTGGATTGTTGTCATCAATAATTAATCTAAATCAAATAGATAGAAATTTGAATTTTATTTCAAAGCCTAACATGAAACATTTTTTTTTTGGCTATTAACTACAAGTTGGATTTAATGCCAGTAAAAAAATCCTTTTTAAAATTAGGTCACACTAAATTTTTTTATATTTATTAGGCTCCAACCATTTTAGTTGAATAAATTTCTTGCTACAATATAACAGATATAATTTTAATATAACTAAAAAAAAAATATTAATTATATGATTATTAAGTTACATTGTTATTATGTACAAGAACACTTACCACTAAATGCAAAATTTCAAATGTTCTAGTCTATATTTTGTGTGCTTATTTTTTGAACATTTTATTTACATCATAAGAAATTGCTAAATATTTCTTTTGAATATGAAGTTCTAAGAAAAATATATATATATATACATATATCTGGTGAAAAAGTGATACTTAAATAGAGTTATAATAGTGTCAAATAGAGAAAATATATATGGTAAAAAGAGATACTCAGAGATATCAAATAGAGAACAAATGTGAAAATAATGTTAAATATAAATATTTTAAGCCTTATTTTAATTATATCAAGTGAAATCAGAATAAAATGCAAAAGAAATTTCAAAAAATGCACTTCAAATCTTTAACACAAAAAACATCTTAAAAAATTTGATGACTTAGTGATTTTTAAGTCGTGAATACAAATCTCAATGTGAATTGAATTGAATTGAATGTAGGGTTTAGTGGCGCAAGGTCCAGATGAGGACATGCTGCGCTACAAATCTCAATGTGTGATTTTTAAATTGTATGAATTGGGATTGCACTATGTGACTTTTAAATGTCACCAATGCCAATTACAAAGTGTAATTTTTTAAATCACAAATGCAGTTAGCGAGTAGTTATTTTTAAATTGCAGAAATATAGATCACGTTGTGGGATTTTTTAAATCGAAGGAATGAGGATCATGATGGGCGATTTTTAAATAAAGCAAATACATATTGCGATGTGTAATTTTTAAAACTGCACAAATGTGGATCGCATTTGTAATTTATAAATCACATTAATACAAATCCTGATGGGCAATTTGTTTATCATGTGAACACAAATTGCAATGTGTGATTTTTAAATCACACAAATACAGATCAGGATGTGTGGTTTTTGAATCACATGAATATGGATCATGATGTGTGAATCTGATTCATGAAAATCATGATTTTTCAATGACTTTCCAGGTATGCGGATACCTTGCGAATAAAATAGTAAATAATTATTAAAGTTAATTTTTGGTATGTAATTTTTTTTGGATAAACAACTTTATAATTGTGTGTAAAAATGTTTCAATTGACTTAAATTCTTGTGAAACAGTGAAATGCGAAAAAATATTAGCATTATGGAATTAAAAATTTTGATAACTCTACTGACAAAACTATAATGACTATAATTGCTGTTGCCACTATTTATCCATTGAAAAATCAGATATGCTTATTCAGAGAAAGAACATTTTTGAGTCTGATTTTGTAATCGTCTGCAAGAAATTATTAGCATATTCGAGGTCAAATACTCAAACCATTAGAATGCAGTCCTAGCACATGAAATCTAATCATTAAATCAAAAGTTTTTCAGGATGATTTTTTTCCCCAGCTATATGCGTCCATATGTATGTAATATATATATTTCAAATTTGCATATATATGCAGAAATTTTTCTTAACATAAAAACTTTGATCGATTTTTATCACTCTAACAATGTTTATTTATTACCTGAAAGTTTCATGATAATTATGAAAAAAATTATCTAATGAATCCTATGGTGATTCCTATCCTAGGTGATTCCTTTTATTAAAAACTATACATTAATTTTTAAAAAAATGTGTATAGTCTCAAAGTTTTAAAATTTTTAATTTGAATAAAAACAAATTACTCATTTAATAGAAAACTGAAACCAAAAAAAAAAAAAGTCACCAAAATAGCAAAGACGACAAGATAATTAAATGATAATTTCACTGGATAATTTTTTTTAAAAACAAATGGTTACATAAAACAATTTCAATGCCTAATAATAGATTGAAATACACTTGTAGGAAAAATGCATATGACCATTAAGCGAAAAAAAAAAGAAAAGAAAAAAAACTCGGGAAAACCCATTGTTCTCTGGGAAACTCACAATTACTTCCAGCACTTAAAGAGTTGAAACTGAAATTATCAAAAATAAAAGTTGTAAGGAACAAAAATGCAATTGTTAGATGATTTTAAAAGGATTATCACCTTTTATTCACACTGAAAGGTAAAATGTATGGGGTTTGTTTGCCCCTTTCGAAAATACAATTCCAAATTATTTGCACAGAAAAATATAAGCAGACACACCAGCAATAGCAAAAGAAAGACTCTATTAAACATCATTGCAATCCCCACACACGCTTTTAAATCATCAGTTTCCAAGCTATAACATAGTGAGTTCTGATAAAACAAAGAAAGACTTCATACTTGAAACACTTAATTGCTTAGATGGCTTTTATTTTTAGATGCATAAGAGGCTTTTAATTTTTAACTCCTTTTTAAGAGTGAATTTTTTATGAACAAATATTTTTGTGACTACTTTGATATAACAAGTTTCCAAATATTCCTCTTTTAACCCGAGTTATGCTCAAATTAGAAAAGTTATAATTACCGTAATTGCAATTCTAAACCAATATATAGATACTTATTTTTTTAATTAGTTTCCTTGCATTGTTAAATTAGCATACCAAGGATAATTAGGACAAGGTGCATATGAAATTTTATCAGTACAAAATATTTTACCTAAAAATACAAGACATAAATCGTTAACTACGATTCAACTTCAAAAGATTTACGGGTCTTATTAAATAATTTAAATTAAGTTTAAACATTAACTCAAACCGACCGGCCTGTGTGGGGGTCAGGGAACTGGCCTTGCACCAGAAAGGTTCTGAGTTTGAATCTCGGGCAAGGCATGGATGTCCTTTCCTTCTCTGTACTATCAGTCCTTACTGTGGGAGCAACATTGGCCCACTTAATATGGTGCCCCTGAAAGAGTGGCAGCAAATCTGCCCTTCAGATGTCTGTATGACGAAAGGTCATTCACCAGGTGGGCATTGGAAAAAAGAAGAAAAACAGTTTAAACATAAATACCTTTGATTTCTCTTTTTTATCAACTGAACTTCTGTACCCTCTTTGATCAATCCTTTTAGATTAATCGCTCCATGCCTCCAGTAACTTCCATTACCATGTAAACTGCGCTCTTTTTCAACTACAAGAGTTTATATTAGTATAAAATATAGAAGTTAAGACATATAATTATTTATTTTATACATGAAACTATTTGAATAAAAATAATGATTACAATTGGAATGAAAAGAGAAAAAAAAAATAGTGTGTGGAGTCCCTCCGCGCGGAAGAAGTTAAACTTCGTAACCTGCGACGTTAATTATTAACATTGCTTACAATTCGCAATTGATCGCATCATTTAATTATAATTTTTGAGAGGAGAAATACATAACAAAATCTATAACATTTACAATGGGATTATGATAACTAAAGTAAGATACGAAATGCTTGAGTTCTATTTTTTCAATATTTCTTGCAAAAACTGCATCAATGGTAGTTCCCCCTTTGGTTGTTGGATCATTCCTACCATTTATCATTTCCAATCCAAATTTGTCTTTAAGGAAGGTTAATAATGTTTCAGCTTCAGGTAACGAGAAATTCACATTAAAATCTCCTGCAAGGATCACAGGCCGTTCACAATAATCAATTTCTTCACCAGTAACGTTTGCTAGAGCTAGTGAACCTGCAGTGGATAGTGGCAATAAAGATTTTTCAATAAATAATTTCATATCCCTCATGGCTGCATTTGGTGAAATATAAATGGCAATTAGAAAAGAGAAAACATAACAATCAATTGATATTCACAAGAGATGTAACCTTCATTTTTTACAATTGTTATCCACTGAGTTTGAAAATAAAAAATACTACCCTATTAAATTATATGTGTACAAAAACAAACTAAAAAATTATTTATAGAAAAACAATACTTTTATGACTTTTATTAATTTTATGCTAGTGAGGACCAAAACAATATGGAGATGTATGAGGGAAAACTGGATCCTACCACGTGATTTCCCGGCCAATAAAAATGAAGCGTTAAACGTTTAACGCAAGCTTGTTGGAAGTCCCATAAGAAGTATAACTTCAAAAAAAGAAAGAAAAAAAAACTGTTGCATAAAGGATTAAAACTGCTTGTAAGTTAATATGTATGTTCTACATTTTTCCTTATAAATGCAAATTAAAAAATTATTTTTTCAAAACACCAGTATTTCTCAGATGTTTTTTGCTACTAAAAAACATATTTTTCCATGTTTTGATAATTTAACATATTTACAGGTTTGGAAAACATTCAATAAAACAGAAATTGTCTCTGTTTCAAAATTAAAAATAATTATAAAAATTAGCAAAAATTGAATGCATAATTTTGAAGTAGCTAATCATAAAAAATATGATTACATGCAGAAGTTAATATTAATGCAATAATGTGCACAGATCGGACAATTAAGGAATAACTTACTTTTGGTAAATGTAGGTGGTAAAGATGTTTCAAGGAATTTTAGAGAATGCAGATCAGCAGCTTCATCAACATCAATGTATGTCATGGCTCTTTTGGCAAGTTCTTTGATTTTATTTATAAGTCCATATCGTTTAAATGCTTTCTAAAACAGCAACAACAAAGAATTTACTTTTTAAAAATAATACTAACAGCAATAAATTTTTTGAAAAAAAAAGTTAGTAGCAGTAGAAATATTTTTTTTCCATACAATTGAAGATGATGCAACAAAATGAAAAATTATAAATATTATGCTTAATATATTAGAATAAATTAAAAAGTAAGAAGAAAGATAAATAGAAAAAAGAATCAAATATTTATTTAAATTAATAATTTAATCTTTAAATTCAAGCTAAACAAAATAATTTAAAAGTAAATAATGAAAGGTAACTATTAAAAGATACTTTTAGATTTAAAATACAGTGCAAGTCATATATAGTCAGATTGATACACCATGGAAATTTCAACATTATGAGTCAATTAGATAGGAGAACCTATGAACTTACATTAAAAATAGAGAAAGAGTACGCCAAGTAAAAAAAAAAGTGAATTTTTGTTATAACTAATTTTTGCTGTTTTGTATCTTCTCAATATAAAAATACCAAGAATAAAACATTGCAAAGAAGTAAGACAATAATTATAAACAAGTTGAACTTGCATTTATCTGAAAATTTTAAAACTGAATAAAAGTTATTTGTTTATTAGATCATATAAAATAAAGCAACAGTAGAAAATGTATGCAAGTTTTACAGGTGAAATTAAAACATTATTTATTTAAGCAAAACTGTTTTGAAAATTTTATCAAACACATCTGCTTTTAATAATTTAAATAAATGCAATAAATCTGATATCATCAAAAAAGTAATTGCAAAACAAAAAAGATGTGATTGCTGAATGAAGAAATGATCTGAAATTTTTTAAGAAGTAATGGTTAGATTTAGATTATGTATTTTTGGTTTCACTATCAAACTAAAATGTCTTTTCTCAATGTGTAGTTTCATTTTGCTTTTGTAAAAATATTAAATAACGGACTATTATTTTATACACAAAAGTAACATTTATAAAATGTAAAACGTGAAAGAAAAAAGTTTCTATCTAATAATGTTTTTGCTCATCAATACATGAATTAATTAATGTATTATGGAATTTTGATTTTAAAAAAAAATCTCACTTTCTTCTCTTTTTTGCATTTGATGAGTTGTTGTTCCAGTTTTTAAAAACCATGAAATATGTAGCACAAATTGAAAAAAAAAAATAGTCTTGTTAATAAATAATATCATATTAAAAATAACAGGATTTTAAGAAAACAATGCAAAAATCAGTAGCAATATGTGCCAAAAAAATCTATTCAACTTTTGATAAGATCATTAATTAAATAGTAAACACTCAAAACTTAGATTCTAATTTCTATATCATAATAATATCGTATGGAATACATTGGGATTTAACTAATGCAAGAGAAAACTAGCAACTGTCATGAAAAATAAAAACCAAAAGAAATACTGATTGAGTGTAAATCCAGCATGTTAAAAATAATTGCTCAAACATGCGATCCAATATCATGTACCATAATAATAAATAAAAAATAGTGGGATATTAATATCCATGACTGAACAAATCCATGACAAACAGAACTGCAAAAAACTGACTGAGAAAATAGCGGCAGTCAACTCAAAGAATTACTAACCAAATGCCCAATTCTAATTCTGTGTGTCATAGTAATTACATATGAAAAATAAGGAAATTTTAAAATATCTTGGAAAAATGCATAGCAATAATTGCTATAAAATGATAGAAAAAGCCGCATGGATTTACTACGGTATCGGTGCAAATCAAACGAATAAAAATATGATTGCAAATTTTGCACGGTATAAGAATAATATAGGGTTCGTTTTTAAATACCATCAGAAAATCAACAGCAATAATGGACAAAAAATTTATTGAATTACCACATAGATTAAGATGGAGACTAGTGCATTAAAAAGTGACTACTTAAATGCAAGAAATTCGAAATTTCCACGTTGTAATATCATATTAAAAATGTTTATTCTACTTTATGCAGTTAAGGACATAAATATATGGTATTGAATTGATAATTCTTGTTACAAATCGGAATTTCTAACAAAATAGACAATTGTAGATAACCTCATACTGTCTAACATTGATCACAAATTAGGCTTATTGCGTCTGATATGGTTATTAAATTTTTTTTTCAATAAGCAAACAATCATAAATAGTTGGAAAATTTTTTTGCGTTATGAACTTTACACTTTTGTTATATTTATCCATGGCAATTAATTAATTCATCTTGAACATAGCTATAATTAACTTAGTTTAGACTCACTCCCGTGTTCTCGAACTTAATTTGAAGTTACGTTTCACTCTTACAAATCTGCGTAAAAAAAAATAAAACGTTTTGTACATGAACGAGAATTCTGGGTAAAAGGAATATGGGATGATGATGGTAAGAGAGAAATAAATCAGCAATGAGTTTTACGGAAGTTACAAAATTAAAATTTTAGATTACCAGTACTATCAAGAAAACTTTATCAGAATATGAATTTTTAATTCGTAGAAGTATATGAATCAACAATCTTGAGATATGAACTAGCTGTTAAATCACAAGCCACCCAATAACGTAAAAGGAAGTAGATTGTGGACATGGTGAACTTTGCCTCATGACACAATGTGTATTGAAAAGTACAATGAAACGATCTCATAAGAAGAAAATTCACGCCCATTTTTCAAAAATTTGACTAAGAAGTCAAATTTGTGTTTTGGTGCAAAAACAATATATTTGTTTCAGTTTATGTCAGCTTTTTTCATTAGGCTCAGGTGTGCGTCTCCTTTATGAAGCCATTTTTTAGCATTTGTTTTTTTTCATAACTAAAAATTTTTTTGATAAAATTTCAAGCAAACCTCACTACAACTGCAGCCAGACTTAATGGAAGTTAAGAGACATTTTTTTAAAAGAAAATCATAACTAGCACTTACGGACTCAGCAACACAGGTACCTATATAATCCATATAGTCTTTGGAAATGGATTGTCTAAATGTAACATCATTCAACATGGCTCTTTCCACAGCTTTACTGGTAGCCTGGTAAAAGTTAACAAAATGTTATAAAATAAAAAAATAGGAATATGAGTAATACAATGACTCAATTCTATTGCAATAAGAAAGAAGAAAAAAAAGAAGAGAACCTACATTTAAAAATTTTACAAATTTCTTCAAAAATGATCAAATAAAATGTTTTTATATTCATCTAAATATTAAAGACTACAGTAAAATCTACATAGGATAGGCACTGTATAAAGTAATGTTCTTTTTAAATTAGAAGTCTCAATCTCACAACATAGATTGTATAAACTGGACATTGTTTTACAGGAAAACAGAAAGTTAAAAACAGCAAGAGTCATAGAAATTTGTTTAAGTAGAAAAACTTTTCTCTTATTGGTGCAATGATACTCATTCATTTTTTCTACAAAAATGTGCAGTTGGAACATGAATGACAAAATTTAAACTATTCAGTTAAATATTTTAGTGAGTTTTATAATTTAACAATATGCAAGTAATCAAGAAGGGTACTGTAATTATAGTATTTCAGACTTATAATATAAGAACACTAACGAAGGAAGAGACTTTAAAATATTAAGCTATTTAAAATATTTTTTTATTATTTCAAAATAAAATGTAGAAATATTGTCCATTATAGCAGACTTGCAATGTGCAACAGAAAAATTAGATGCAAATAGAAAATAAAATAAAATTTTAAATATGTACATCTTTAAAATTGTTAAAATATTATTCACTACGAACCAACAAATACATCAAGAATACGTGTTTCACATAGCAATCAAATATTTAATTTTTATTCAGTTGTAATAATAATCCTTTCTTAGAAACTTTCTTTTCAAGTTTTATAAATTTTATTAATTATTTTAATGTGATTGAATCTTATTCTTTACATTCAGAGTTGCCATTTTCAAAAATCATAAGACTGAACATTTTATTTGAATTTGTAAAATCTGACCTAGCCACAAGTGCCGCAATATTTATTAAAACTAATAATATTTTACATCATAGTGAATTGATAAAGGTATGTTGTGGATAGTGGATTAAAAAGAACCTTTAATTGAATTATTACATTAAATATACCTTCTATTAAAAAAATTACAAAACAAAAAAAGTTATCCAAATTTACTGTCAAATGTTGAAGGAAAATACTATGACATCCAAAATTAAATATTTTTAACAATTCAGTCAAAATAATAACTTTATTCCCTTTTTAGCATTAACAAATACAATTTTTAATTGTATATGTAAATGCTTGCTCTTTACGAAATCAAGATTTACTAAGAAATTTATCTATTTAAAAGAGGTTTTACTTATGATCGGCAAAGCAAATTAGAAATTCAGATTTCTTCAAGATATTAAAATATTCTTGTTTCGAAGTTTGTGGTATCAAGATTCAACAGTATACATTTTTACTGTGTCTAAATGATATTTTAAGTAATTTATAATAATTATTAAATGATTTAATTCTAGGACAGCAAGAGAAAAGAGTGAACATATACAATCTTTAGAAGAAAAAAAATAAAACAATTTACTGTAAGGAGAAAATCCCCCCAAGTGTTAAGCTGGTTGGTTGAAAAAGTTAAATGCAGAGAATGACGATCAGCATCAGTAGCTGCCTAAATAAGAAAAATATATCAGTTAGGATAAATATGAATTTTATTTAACTATAAATATTTCATCAAAAGTAACTTATAGTTCATACAGCATCAAAAGTAATATTTCACATGAAGTACTGTTAACTATGATATCTTTCATGAAACAAATTCTTAAAAAATTTAATAAAATAAAAATCATTCAATAACAAATCGGTTGAAAGTTAAAAGTTCGTTACGATCTATGCAGTATATAGAAAGGTGCAAACTTTATAATCTAGCTTTAAGTAATCAGAAGTACATAATATCTAACAGTTACTTCAGGAATAAAATAACACAAATATATACTCTTAGCATATACAAATTCAATTTAGCGGAATTTTAAGACACATACACTACTTAATTCTATATAGGTATATAGTATTAATAAAGTTTTGCATGAATTTACTATTAAATAAAATGAAGTAACACATAGATAAGGGTACAAAATTGAAGATTATACATTGCTGAAGTTTTACACTACATTATGAAGAGATAAAATTGATTAGGTGCTTGAAATCAATGCTCTCTAGTCTCTGGTTAAATTAGAACTGTATTTTTATCATTATGTATTTGAATCACAAATATGAATGGTCACTATTGACATTGCTCAAGCAAAAATCTTTTAGACAGAATGACATTAAAAAAAAAAAAAAACAGGTTTAACCAAGTTTCTAGATTTTAGTAATTCATGTTAAAAGAATAGAGAGTGAAAAACGAACACACAGATGTACTTATCGAGCTATCTAATTTACATAACATTGATGCCAATCACTTAACGTTTGATATTAATTATTCAGAATTAATTGAAAAGAAAAATATATGCTACCGAAAGAGGTATAATCAAAAACCCCAAATTTCGATCATTAACGTTAGCTGATCAACACATTTGATTGACAGAATATAAAAAAACTTTTTAAGTGAATATAAAAAAAAAATTTCCGGAACGATCGAAACCCTCGCTATTCCGGATAACTGATTTTCCGGTTTTCTGAATCGCAACAAAAAGCCGTTTTTTAAATTGTGAAACCCAACTAAAAAAAAAAAAAAAAAAAAAAAAAAAAAAAAAAAAAAAAAAAAAAAAAAAAAAAAAAAAAAAAAAAAAAAAAAAAAAAAAAAAAAAAAAAA